GCTAGCTAGACTAATGTACTAGGAGATCACGTGTTCGCAACAAATACTAACCTTATAAGAGAGGAAGAGAGGATGATATATAGAGGAGAGTAGTAACCACTTTAATTTATATCTAGGCTATATGACCTCGGACCTAGTCGCTTCGCTCCGTAACTATTATCCGACGGCCTAGGGCCGTCGGATCGCTAGTAATAATATAAATATAAGAATATTATTTATTATAAATATTATAATACTCTAGATAATTATTTTACTAGGAGATATCCTTTAAGACCTACCTCGTTAAATACTATATAAATATAGTAACCCGCGTAATTATAGTAGACTTAATAAGTACCTATATCTATATCTAGTTAGATAATTATGATTCTTTCTTAATAAAAATAAAGATCTTAAGTAAATACTATTTTTATATAATCTAGACTTTTAGTACTACTTAGATCTTCTATATTATCTAGATCTCTTATACTACTTAGTAATCCTATTTTTAAGTATAATAACCTTTTTTCTAATACTACTAATTTAACTATCTCTTAAAAAGGTTAATATACTTCTAATAGGAATAATCTAGCCTATTAGATACTTAATTTTAGTACTTTTACTTATATAACGCCTTATCGTTCTATATTTAATGGTTTTCGTAAATATATACTACTTATATAAACTATAACTAATAACGTTTTTTATACTAAGGGCTATAGTAATATAATTATATAATTAAGTTCTATAAATATAAGTAAGCGTTTAGGCACTCTTTATCTTAAAAAGTATAGCTAGCTCTAGCTTTAAAATCTAGCTTAATTTCTATTTTAGATCTTAATAAAAATAGTATCACTACTCTTTTTAATAAAAGGGTTATAAAACCACTAAATTTAGGAGTTAAAATTATATATACTAATATTAAAGGCGAGTATTATTGATTAAATTACCTTAGTATAGATAGGCTTAATACGATATTAGAAGCGAATTTAATTTAGTATACTATTCTAGTATCTATATTTATAGCTTTTACTTCTTATTATATAAAACCTATTACTATTAACTTAGCTTATTATCGCGCTTATTATACTAGTGAAGCTAAAGTAAGAAAAATAGAAATCTTAGCTAATAATATATACTTAATTCTTAGTATAGAAGTAATTTACTCTTATATACCGTATATTAAAGGAAAAGAATATATCCTCTTATTTAGTTAGAAAAAGGTTATTAATACTAAACCCGGAGATATACTTTATATTAATATTTATAGCCCTATTTCTATTACTTTATATATGGATAGCTTTATTTTTCCCTTTTATTACTAATAGCTAGAAAACTTATATCTTTTCTTTTTCTTTTATAATAAATATATTACTATATAACTATATAGATAACTATTCTATCTTAAGTTACTTCTTTAGCTTCTAATAAATTATTATATATAATTATATAATCTTATAATTCTTAATCTAATTTACTAAAAGAGACTGACTACGGGTATACTGATTTTACTACCGGCACACTATTAACTAAACTCTTTTTGGATATTTCCCGCTAGCCGTAATTTATTTATAGGCTATCGTATTTAATATAGTACTCCCTTAGTATTTCGGATAGTACCCGAATCTTATCTGGCACCCTATCGCGAATATAGAATCTTACACGCTATCTATACTATTATATAAAAATAAAGCTATTCCTAGATGCTGATTTAATTAAGTCTTTTCCTACCGAAAAAGGGGGGTTTAGTGATATAGGGTTTAAATAGTCATATAATTATAAAACCCTCCTTTTTAGTAGGAAAAAACTTAATTAAATCAGTATCTAGGAATAGCTTCATTTTTATATAATAGTGTAGATAGCGTATAAGATTCTATATTCGCGATAGGGTGCTAGATAAGATTCGGGTACTATCCGAAATACTAAGGGAGTACTATATTAAATACGATAGCCTATAAATAAATTACGGCTAGCGGGAAATATCCTAAAACGGGTTAGTTAATAGTGTGCCGGTAGTAAAAATAGTATACCCGTGGTCGGTCTCTTACTAAAAAAAGAGCTAAGCTCTTATAATATAAAATCTCGATTTAGAAAATAGTTTTCCTATCCTATAAGATATATATTAAATATACTTAGATCTTAAGTTATTTGGTATTATACCTAAGCTACTTTAACTACTATAGTTAATATAAGGTTTAGAGTATTTTTTAAAAGATTAAAAGTCTAGATTTTAAAACCTTTCTAATATTCTTTTATAAACTCTTTTTATTATAGGATTTTATTATAAAGGAAGTTTTCTATAAAAAGGACTTATCAAAAACCTAAGATATATTTCTTTAGAGCTCTTTTAAATAGTATTTCGAGATCTCTAATCTATCTCTTATATTATATTAGTAAAAAATCTTTAGTAAAAGTCTTAATATCTTATTTAATTTCTCTTTTTTACCTTTTTTTCGCTTTCCGTATCTAAATTATTATTATTTTATAAGAGACCGACTACGGGCACACTGTTTTTACTACGGGCACACTATTGACTAAACTCTTTTTGGATATTTCCCGCTGGCCATAATTTATTCACAGGCTGTCGTATTTAATATGGTACTCCCTTAGTATTTCGGACAGTACCCGAATCTTATCTAGGCACCCTATCGCGAATGTAGAATCTTGCACGCCATCTACACTATCATACAAAAATGAAGCTATTCCTAGATGTTCATTTAATCGAGTTTCTTTCTACCGAAAAGGGGTTTAGTGCGAAAATGAAGCTATTCCCAGATGCTGATTTGATCGAGTTCTAGTGTAAAAATGGAGTTTTTTCCTACTAAAAAGGGGTTTGGTGCAAAAATGAAGCTATTCCCAGATACTGATTTAATCGAGTTCTAGTGTAAAAATGGAGTTTTTTCCTACTAAAAAGGGGTTTGGTGCAAAAATGAAGCTATTCCCAGATACTGATTTAATCGAGTTTTTTCCTACCGAAAAAGGGGGTTCGGTAATTAGGGTTTGACCAACCACGTGATCACAAACCCCCCTTTTTTAGTAAGAAAAAACTACATTTTTGCACTGGAACTCGATCAAATCAGCATCTAGGAATAGCCTCATTTTTGCATGATAGTGTAGATGGCGTGCAAGATTCTACATTCGCGATAGGGTGCCCAGATAAGATTCGGGTACTATCCAAAATACTAAGGGAGTACCATATTAAATACGACAGCCTATGAATAAATTATGGCCAGCGGGAAATATCCCAAAACGGGTTAGTCAATAGTGTGCCGGTAGTAAAAACAGTGTGCCCGTAGTCGGTCTCTTTTATAATTTCTATTTTTTCGACTTTTTAAGATTTCGTTCGAGTATAGTAATTTTTTATTATAGATTTTAGTATTCTAGCGTTTTTATATATTCTTATATCTCTTAAAGTATCTAATCTTCTAGAGATTACTAAAATAGATCTAAAGCTAGATCTTCCTCTTCGAGAATATCGGGTTTATAAAAAGGTCCCGTCTCGGTAGGGTTAAGAGGGAAGTACTCTTTAGTTAACTATATTATCTCTTAAATTTTAGAGATATCTTTAGAAGGTTACTCCCTTTATCAAGAGGACCTCCGAAGACGTTATTTACCCTTATTAATTATTATCTCTCTTAGGTAACTAAAGAAGAGGAATTAGAATTATAAAGGAATACTAGGTTTTTAGACTAGCACCTATTAGTTAGGCAAGAAAGATAGATAGAAGAGAAGATAGTATAGTATTCTTCGTATAGAGAGTAATTCTTGCTAAGATCAGGATTTAGGAGAGAAGGGGATCACCTTTTACCTCTTCGTCCCTGACCTATACCCATCATAATGAGAAGCTCACTTTCGTCATAATAAGAGTTCCACCTTACTCTCGAGTCAGGGTATCACATGATATCAGGATAAAGGATCTTATCAACAAAGGGTCAGGCACACATGTGAACTCCATCTTCCATGATCTTTTTCTCTTACAGAATTATACTAGCGTAGCGCTAAAATTACTACTGCACCGGTGTTATAACACCTCGCAGCACCATATCGCAGCGCTAAAATCACCTAGGTGCTGCGGGACTTGTCAAGGCCTAAATTTGATTATCCTTAATGCTTGAGACAGGAATTCCCCCAGAAGTTGAATTCCAGAGAGAGGGCGGTAATTCTGCCAAAGATATCTTCTCGCCGCCTTTCCACCAGTTCCATTCCCTCCCTTATAGTGATAAGTCCACAGCTTCTGGATCACATGTCAAAATTGGAGCATCACATGATATCATCTTCAAGGGACGTCAGATATGCCTTATGATCTTTGGGTTCCTCCCTATGATCCTGTTTACGTTATAGTACTTGTGCATGCTTGGTTATGCTGTACATATATATCTATATGACGTACTCCGTATCTGTGGACATATTAGCATCCTAGTCTGTGTAATTGTAGTCTTAAAAAATTATACTTAGGAAAGTCCACTCGCAAAGAATCAATTGAACCCTGACTAATACCTGCACAAGGCTGCCTAGGCAGCCAAATCGACTTGTTCATGATATGAATATAAGTACTAGAAGGCTTAGTTCAATATTGTGATATTGATCACGTGTATGGAGTATCAGAGATATCACCGACACCTAAGGCAGTAACTTGCTGTTCCCTACCCCCACCATTTTCCCGAGTCCCGCAAAACGAGTCCCGCAAAACAAGTCGGAGATTGTTGTGTCTACACCCATGCTCACACTCCTCCATATCGCGCCATATTCCCTCATTTCCTGACTGATCACTCATCCTGCGTATCTCTTCCTCAATCTCAGCCTACTCACACACCCTCAGCTTTCCCGCAAAAGCCAGGTGTGCGTAACATTTCAGTTGTTTCTGCATGCGATAATCTTTCAGGTACATCGTTAGTAACACCTCCAAGCTAGTTCTTCATCAAACCCATCGCCTGAACACATATAATGGGCCATATTGATTTTAACAATGTCTACAGCTGAGAGATCTCCCTATCACTGTATCATCTCATTCCGTCCTCCCAATGGACATCGATCCAGCCAGGCGCAACAAGAAGCCGCGTCTTCTTCTGGAGACAGAGCGTGAAAAGCTTGATGAATTTGTGGACTCTATCCACTACTCGGCCAGGTAAGGATGCCGTACCTTTATAGTAGACATTTCCATTGACTCCACCATATAGATACAACGACGATAAATTCGAATACCGCCATGTGCAACTCCCGAAGAACATGCTTAAGAAAATCCCCACTGACTACTTCGACAGTTCCAAGGGAACTTTGAAGTTGCTCTGGGAGGAGGAATGGAGGGCTTTGGGTATCACGCAGGTACGTCGGGCACAATCCAAGGAATTCAATTACATAAATTCTAACATACGCAGAGCTTGGGATGGGAACATTATGAGGTGCATGAGCCGGAACCTCACATCTTACTATTCAAGTTCGTACCCTTGAATTTGGCCCGTTGGCTGTTTCACTGACTATCTTCTAGGCGTCCTCTTAACTACCAACCCCCTCTGCAACAATAAATTAGTCATTGAATCGGCGGCGTTGTCCTTGAAGATTTAAGAAGTTGAGAAGACCCCATTTCGTGGTTGTTATGACAGGCGCGCTCGCATTATTGCCTATTAGCGTCCACAAACACTTCATATTCGAAGTTCTGGAATGAGACCAGTTTCATTTTCTCCCTTCCCGCCATTCCATTGACACACTAGACCACGTTTCCTATGTTGTGTCATATGGAAGACCCTCATTTGCCCTATCACATACGCCTTAACGCTCCAATGTGACCATCAAACCAATTCCCCTAACTGGATAGAGGTGAAGCCGCTGCTGCGCCCCTGCGCTTCCTGGCATTAGAGTGAGTGTCTGGAAATATCATTTCACCCGAGTTATCTTACATTGATGAAAATAGTGGATGGGACAAGAACTTCCACTATTTGGTCCATCCAGTCAATATCAGAGGGAATGGATATAACAGCCCCCCTCCTCTTAAAAAAAAAGATTTGCAAAGAACCAGACAGATGTGTATATTATGCATGCACTTGATATCATTGATCACTTGGTTCTTAGTGGCTAGTTGCTCAATCTCACCGAGTAAGTCGCTGTGTCACTAATCATTAGCAAATCAGGTAACATCTAGGGTTATTTATAAGTATCTCATCTATGTTCATACTACCCGCTATCTTTGCTAGCCGGTCATATATTGTTGGTGTCTCATCCCACCACGCTGATACAGAAGTGGAACCACCTACATACCTAGTGTTCAAACGGGTCGTAGAGTGCATCAATCATATTGGCCGAAAACAAGCCCTTCACTAAGGTACTGTTTAGATGTCGACTTTAGCTGTTAGTCCTAGAGCGTGAACGTAGTACACGATTCGTACTTTCATATTTTTGCACACATGTATGGGTTCATACGTCGCCCTACTGATAGGAAGGAAGTCTCATATAGACACATACATGCTCACATGAGATACATTGACTACTGGGTACATACAAGGTATAATTTACATCAGTGACATCCATCCATTCCAATCCTGGGAAATTGAAAAAAGTGCCAACATAAGGCCCCCTTGATAAAATGGGCTTGAGTTGTAATTTAGTTTGCATTAAGAACATGCGACTATCAAGTACACGTATAACACTCTTCAACCATCGGTACTTGATGTTTAGTGGAGAGAGATTTGAAAGTCTACATATATAGAAACACAGGCATGGACACGCTACCCTAATTGTCATGACTGCTTATAGAAATTAATGGCGAAAAGGAGGAGGAAGTGGGGGGAGGGAAGGGCCCAGGAACACAGCAAATATTTATGAATATGTATGGCAACTATGGGAAGACGGGCGCAACTTGAGAGACGAAGATTTCCGTGGAGTTAAACAGAACTTGAACAGAAGTTAAACACATATAAAGGCAGTCTGGAGGAAGCCAAGTCTGAAATAGCTTTCAGTTGAGTAGAAGTGGATGAGCATCATCGGCTCCCCAATGCTCTCTGCCTCCTCATATTCAGCTCCTTTAGTGTCATCTCCACTGTTCGCCATTCAGATTTATCTGGATCATACTCGCCGCACACCTCAAACCGACAAAATCCATTAGGTCCCTTTAACCCAACCGGTCCCGTGATAAAGAAAGCCCCACGGCGAGCGGATCCTTGTTTTTGGGATCGTTCATGGCTCAATCGCAATTTGAATGCTTCTGATGCCATATGAAGGTTGGACCCCGGGCCGAGGTCCGGCAACGGTAGCCGCTGTAATAGAGATATAAGGGAAGATGGGTGGTAGTTGGAGTTCTCCGTGTTGGGAGGCATGTTTTCTTTGAGTCCATCGGTCAGGGGTGGTTGTAGTTTAGATTGATCCTGTTGGCCGATCCAATTCCCTCTCTCGTTGCAAGACGTGGCAGATGAACCATCCAAGAAATCAAAGGTGTCAAGTGGCTCCCCTGCGGGTTTTCTGAAACGATCCAGTTGCCTTAATACTAGTACCAGATACGCGTCCCTGATTGCTAGAGCCACATGAACTGGTTTCATAAAAGTCTGTAACCTGTCACCAATTTCAGGGTCCATCGGCTTTGTGACCCACGCTATACTGTCACTTGTAATCTCCAGTCTGGCTACTGTCAGTATCTAAACCCAACTAGGATTCGAGGAATACAGACCCTGACCGCACGTATCCAGGAGGGGCCCGGGCTGGGAATTGATGCACAAGCCAGAATCCTGTTATGGAGAGGGGAGCCCCAAGTATTTGTGAGATTTGATCCCCCGCGCTGTCAAGAACAATAGTGGCAAGCTCATCTAGACTTGTAAGCCAATGGGTTCAATTGGATGTGTAATCAATTTCTCACCTCTAAGCTGCTGGAGCTTTTTCTGATTTTTAGATAACTTCACAAACTGTTGCCATTCACGATCCGATGCTGTGTATAACTCCCCTTTCTGCAAACGTGACCAGGCAAGCGGTATGAAGAGCGGATCCTCGTTTTCGGCCTCTTTCCCAGCGACTTCGCTGCTTTCTCGTGAGTTTTCACGTGGGCCTATTCCCCCTGTGGGAGCCGCATGAGATGAATCGGTATCTTCGGTATCATCATCAAATCGTACCAGCACGAAAGTACTCCATAGATGGAATGCAGTGCCGTACAGAAGGCATTTTGAGATGAACGACCTAAAGGGTTGCCATTAGTCTAGCCCAAACACATTATAGTGACTTCAAATGAGATACTTTACCTAATCCAAGGCCGCCTAAATCTTACATGCTGCACATTCTGTCGATTCAAAAGGTTGGATCGAGAGTGTGTAGGGTGGAAAAGTGACGGGTGCGTGTGAGAACTTCGAAGGAACTGCCTGAGCCGGAGCATTGGGAAAAACCAATCCCTGCGAGAGTTCTCACTAGAGTATCATCTCACTATTCGAGAAAGCAATGGACAGAATCCTACTAGATAGGCACGCCGATTTGTGTTGTTAGGGTCCACTAACCAGAGGGTTTGGGCCCAGCCCGGTCCCGGGGCGGGCTGTTTGGTGGATTATGTAACATGTAATGTTCCCCTGAGGCGCTTCACCTTGGAGCCGGCAACCTTCTAAACCTGGAAGGTGAAGGGTATCTGAGTAAGATGGGAACAATGGACGTCTACCACAAGGTGGACGTCTACCTAGGTATTTCACTATTTGTAACAATCTCTATGACATTAGAACAGCCTTGGAACCCAATTTCATAACGGAACGGTAATCAACGAAAATCTATACTATTTTCTATATTCCGTTGCATGTGGTCGGCCACGTGATATCTTATCGGAACACCTCGTACTTGGATGGATCTTCTGTCCTTGCCTCCTCGCTGTTGGACAACCCACAAACAAAACCTCCAGACACTCCTCAAGACAACCTTGATGTTTTCATCGCAAAACTTGCCAAGATAATCACTTGATCCCCGATCCTCCCCAATTCTAGTCGGCAATATGCGCTGGGTGTCCGCCTTGATAGCCCTGGCATCAGCAAGTGCATTACAGGCAAATGCACTGGATACTACAATCTTCACTTTCTCTCCCAACTCTGCAAGTTCCACAAATGCCAATTCCCAACAACAAACAATAACGGAGGATGAGGCCCGTCTCGTCTTGGAGCTTCGCATGAAGTCACCTGTAGAATCGGTCCTTGGAATGGTGGATGCAGACACTGTGGATTACTTGAACCATTTTGCCCAGGATGATATCATGCTTTTTGGTGTGTCCAGTAAGGAATTTCCTCCCAAGAGAAGCATGTTGGTTCTCGAAGGGGTAGACCAGCAACATGGTAGGTGAAATTAGAGTGCAGTCAGTAAACCTCAGCTAATATTTCTATAGTCCTCGCTATGCAAAAAGCCCAACCGATCCATCTGCGTATTCCTCAAGTTTCCTCCTCATTCATTGGATTCGATCCCCTGGAAACCTTGATTGGAACAGCCCATACTGCCAAAGAGGACCGTGGGCAACACTGTACATACTTTGATGGTGCTAACAGTGCCACATCGATGATATCCCAGGTAGTTAAGCCGGCTCTCAACGGGTTTTAGGTGACTCTTGCTAATATTTACATGATGCCAGACTGCCAAGGAATGCCTGTCCAGGGATCCTATGTTTGCTGATGACTCTGGCTTGCTGAGCCATGACTTCTTTTCGCTAGTTGATTCAGTGGAATCTTGGACAAGCAAGGACCGCAAGGATTCAGCTCTTAGATTGTCCTTCAAGGTATGGAGTTTTTCTCTCCAACTAGTAAACTGATCTCTAATACCACGTCACCAATTGCAGAACTCTTTTAGTGGTTCACCTCTTGGGGCTGAGTTTCTAGAAGTCTTGCTCCTCCATCTAGCCAGGATATCATCAATCACTGAACGTGAAATCACGCTCTTGCTTTTACCACAGGGTATCAAATCAGAAGGGTCCACCAGCCGACATGTACGACGCTTATCAGCACCAGCCACCCAATATACTGCATTCAAGAGGTCTGCGCAAGATTCATTATTGCAGTCAACCTTGACGCCCATTTGCCATGCTTCTAATAGTTCTTGTGCTGAGGCTACTAACAACTGCTCTGGGCATGGCTCCTGTTATCTAAAGTACGGAGCGGGTGTGGATGGAACTACAGGGAATTGCTATACATGCCAATGCCGTAAAAGCATTGTTCAAAATAGTGATGGCACTACCAAGACAGTGCAGTGGGGAGGATCAGCTTGCCAGAAAAGGGACATCAGTTCACCTTTCTTCCTTATTGCAGGTGTTAGTGTCCTTGCCATTGTTATGGTTGGTAGTGCGATTGGAATGCTTTTTAGCATGGGCGCACAGGATCTACCTAGTGTCATCAGTGCTGGTGTAGGAGGCCCTAAGTCTCCAATGTGAGGAATTCAAGGGCTACATGCGGGTGTTAGGTGTTGTTCCTCTCTCCCGGGGCTTTTATCTTTCTAGAATGTGGGAGGTTTCATGTTTCTCACTTTATCTATTCATCAACATGCCTAGCTACATAGACGCCTGGATGTCATATTTATTAGAGGTACGGAGTAGATTCCGCATTCTTCTGTTTTTGCTTATGTTGGGAAAACCGACCTGTACCTAGGGGAGACTGGGGAAAGCCAAGCCAGAGGATAATTATCACGAGAATTGCATACATATACATTGGATACCCTATGTATGTAATATATAGCACATGTCAGATACTATGTACTCAGATGTTACACATCAATAGGAATATCTACTTATCCATTTCAATCCACTAAATCGACCAACAGTCACTGGCCGCCGATAGCATCGTGTGGACGAAATTTCCCATGATATGAACTGAGTAAGGGAGATGCAAATTTTAATCCATAAATCTTCAGCTAGAAACAATCAAGATCCTCACAGCTGATATGCGCCCCAGTCCTAATCGCACAAAATTCCGATAAATTACACATGTGAAGTCATAAACAAGGAAATAAAACTCCAGCCAAGCATTCCAGATGTGGCTGCAGCATAGTGGTATTTCGCATATAAGTCAAATCGTGATCGAGCAGGAAGAGAAGGGTGTCCGGGCATCAATCATACGGTACCAGCTTCGATTTGACGGGGTGTGCGTCTTTCCAAAGGCAGTGAGGTTCCATCCGAAGCTGGCGGGTGAGGCTCTCTCGACGAGGGTAAATGGAAAAAAAATTGGCGGAGTCGATTTGAGATTGATTGCGACCAGGTAGGCTGGCCTAGAGGGTCCAAGGAATGGCGTGAGCCCCAAAATCGATCACGCCTGCCTCGTAAATGCTGCTCTCGGGATGGGGGGATGACTTCTTCATCTGGGGCGCCAGATTGAAATAGTCGGTTAGACAAGCTCATTGGGATACGAAATCCGTTTTCTCGACTCCCATTCCAAGCGACCCTAGGAGGTCTTGGGATTGTATCTGGGCGAGCCGAGACAGTACGGTGACCCTGCCGACCTGTGGCAGAGTGTGATTCACTCTGCACGTGGGGTTTAGGAACATAGTAATCGGCCTTGCATAGAGGGCAACATGCCCTTCTGCTTGTCAGCCAGGGATCGACACATGAGGCATGGAAAGCATGCCCACATGCAAGCCCTCGGATATCGTCATCATCCTCGATGATATCTAGGCAAATCGCACAAGAGTCGCCAGGGTTAGGTAGAAGATCAGCAGGAACAGCATTGCGGATACAACCTCTACCGTCGTTGTCCCCCTCGAGATCAACGCTCGCATTTTCATTGGCCAGGGAATCTTGCCATTTTTCTTCATGGACATATGAACCCAGGCTTTGGTGAGCGGAAGACGTCTTCGAAATCCCGGGGACCTTCTCATCTGAGACCTGCACTGAAGCGACGGCATGTAACTCTTCGGAGGAGATTTGTAACGCATCGTTCATATCCACTCGTTCATGACCCTTCGTAGTCGGTGAGACTACAGTTGTGCGGACCGCAGTTTTTATGGCATCATTTTCATCCTTTGGGCTCTGCGGTCTGCTATTCGGGGCCGTGATACCTCCTTCTGTTGAAAGACCCTGGTTGGCGCGAGATGATCTCCACACTTTGTACTTGACAAGTGGAAACCGCCCGTTGACTTCATCCATCGTCATTAACCTTTTCTCCCTTCTCCTGCGATGGGTTCGCGGCATGGTAGCCAGATCTATGGCTTCTCCTACTTCCTCACTGCGGAGCTGACGATTTCGTTGGTTATACCGAAAGCAATATTTGACTCCAACAATGATCCTGCAAACTGTTAAGACATTATCCCCCAATCTGCTGAGAAGGCTAATCTGTTGGCCTGGGCAAGAGTAGTTGAGGCTGGACAACATACCATAGATTGGTAAACACCACGCCAAACCCAAGAGCGACGAAAAACAACAAGGGCGAGCTGGTCGCACTGCTTGAGCTCTCTCCGCTGCTACTGGCAGTGGTAGTGGCAGCAGGGCTGGAGCTTGATGTCGCAGTTGGAGACATCCCGACCAAGAGCCAGCGAATTTGTAACCACACTGATCCTGCTTGGGATGTGGCCACTTATTTATTGTTGGAGTCTAAATACCCCCGGACCCAATTCTTCATGCCTTGAATTGTGTGGACAGGGCAACCCCGTTGGCACTTGTTGGGCTAAACTCCGGTAGATCAAGTCTCAAGCGCGAGGAAGTCTTTTGTGGAGAACAACTCAAGAAAACCATGCCATGCGATGACAGAGGGAATATTTGATGGTTAAATTTGATGGCCTATCATGCAAGATTGACCGTAAGCAGATTACGCAGAACTTCCTGCAAGAAGAAGGCGGGTGCCGAGAGTGGATCTCATATCATTATCGATAAAAAGTGTAGGTAGACAACACCCAAGTAAGGCGAAAAGAGACAGGAATAGAGGAGAAGTGGCTCCTAACAGGGAGGCTCCTGGTTGATTCAAGGATACATTCGGATCACCCGTCAGCACTGACACCTGAGGCCTATAATCACGGGACTTTGTACAATTCAAGTCTACGGTACCTCTGTGATTGGTATACATAAGTGTTAAGTGCCTATTTATGTACGTTGGAATCCAGATTAAACCAGGTAAGGCAATTCGGATCACCTTCCAGTTTTCATGGTTGCAAATGAACCCTGATGTCTTGAACTTGTGTACAATACGTGTATACCGGATACCTCTAGAACCACCGTCATCTGATGCATGTACCGATCTAGGTACACACATATGTAGGGGCTATACACTAGCGGATAAACAATGTATGTAATATAATCTGAAAGGTTTCGGAGTGCGTACCAGGGAATCCGTGGTGACTACAAGTCAAGCCTCTCTACGGAGTACTCCATACTGATAATCCCAGATATATCCATCGTGTACCTACCGATATAAAATCTATTCCGTACCTGACTTGTAGTTCATATGATTTCCCGAGGTCCATTGAGGTACATACATAGTAAACCCGATACATAAATAGCAGGACAGATACTCCGTACAGAATATGGAGTACTGGGCTAGCATCGGTGGGATAAATATACATACATGTACACAGCCTACACTTGTATTCATTCATATCGATAAGATAAACGCAGAGCAGCTCTTTAGGTAAATCACTGACTATGGATGGTCAGGGGATAGTAATAAAGCGCACACCTATATGTAACGGGTGCCTCATTCATGTCAAATAAATAAGTCAACATATAACTGTTATTTTTTTTTCTATATACCCTATATCCAAACCACCTGATATTCCATATAGAACTGGAGTCCAGTACAAATATGATGACTTAAGTCCTATGTGGCCGCTGTGACCTCCCGTACAATGCTCCAAAACCTTCGGGTTCACCTTCTTGCACATGTATCTAAACCTCTCCCATCCAAACGTTTGGAAATTCCCCCACCATGGCCGAAGCTAATCCAGTGGTTTTCTTTGATATTGCCCTAGGTGGTAAGTAAAATAAAATTACTGTCAAATGAGCATAGAACATTTGACACGGTGCGAATCAGCGCAACAGCTAAGTGTATTTTGAAGGTGAGGCTTTAGGACGAGTGAAAATGGAACTATTTGCCAATGTTACTCCACGAACAGCGGAGAATTTCCGTCAATTTTGCACTGGCGAGAGCAAGAACCAAAAGGGACAGCCCCAGGGGTACAAGGGGAGCAAATTCCATCGAGTGGTTTGTGAAGCAGCTTCCTTGGATATTGACGTTAAGTTAACATGGGTTGCAGATCAAAGATTTCATGATCCAAGGTGGAGATTTCATCAACGGCGACGGGACTGGGTCATGTACCATCTACGGTACGTCGAAATTTGCCGATGAAAATTTTACTCTCACACATGACCGCGCCGGTCTCTTGAGTATGGCTGTAAGTGTTGACTTCCAGAGACTGGGACTCCTGACTAAAACCAGTAGAATTCGGGGCCGAACACCAATGGCTGCCAATTCTTCATAACAACTACGGCTACGCCATTCCTGAACAACAAGCATGTGGTTTTTGGCCAAGTGATTGATGGGATGGACATTGTTCAAATGCTTGAACACACCCGCACTACCAAAGACAAGCCTAACCAAGATGTAACGATCGTGCAGTGTGGAGAAATGTAATGATTCCTACAGAAAATCAACAAGATCTCTACAGATTTAGATAGACATTCCTTCTCCAATCAGGAAAAGAGTTGAATTTCGTACTAATAACCGAGATTGTTTTTGTTTTTCTTTCAATATCTCCGAGTAATGGGCACAAAAGTCTTTGTAGGTTCTTGTGTCTAGAGCTTGAACTTATTGAGATAGTCCGCAGCCAGTGAGATAGCCTCCTCAACATTTTCAGCATTGGTACCGTTACCAATGGAAGTAGCTCCTTTGCCTCCTGCTTTCCCTCCCACAGCACCAGAGACAACGGCCGCCCAGTCGCTTGCCGAAGCACCTTGGTCACTCAGCGCCTATATCAATGTTAGCAAATCATTGAATCTACAAGAAAGGATTTCTCTCTTGCTCGCTCCAACTTAAACGAGAAGGGAAAGGGATAGATAAAGTGCCCTGCAACTCACCTGAGAAATGTAACAACCGTGTGAAACCCGACCTTGCTCAGAGTCGGCTGCCAAAAGATAGACACTCTTTCCCTGCATTTTTGACTTGACATGGTTCAGAGATTCGCTAACGGCCTTCGCATTCGCAGAAATTGGAAGTCGGACCACAAGCCACGACTTGTCTTGATTTTCGGGGGCCTCGAAATAAGAGGTAATGGCATCGACTGCTTTCTTGGATTCCAGCTTTTGCTGCGCTTTCTGGCCATCGAGGACCTGCTTATTGATCTTAGCAAAACGTTCGCGGAATTTGGCCTTCTGAACGGCGGAAATCGTAAGCTGGTTGAGGTCCACCTGGACTTGCTTAGCCTCCCGCTCCTTTTCAGGGCCTAGTGGCAATGCATTGAGATGATCAAGGCGCTGCCCGAATTCCTGGGCAACTCTCTGCACCTCATGCGCATCCTCGCCAGTGACCGCAATGATACGGCGAATTCCCTTAGCAATGCCACTTTCCTCCAGGATAACCAAATCCTTGATATCGCCTGTCTTTTGGACATGAGTTCCACCACAGAACTCAATACTGACTTCCTGCCATCGGGGATCCTTGACATTCTGCAAAATCTCCTCCAATTCCACGCCCACCGAGACAACACGAACAGGATCCGGGTAAGTCTCGCCAAACACTGCTCTCACGCCTGATATTTGTTGGGCAGTAGCGAGAGGAACCTCCTGAGAGTAAACAGCGCAGTTCTGTCGGATATATTCAGTTGCCTTGGCTTCGATTTTCTCAAGCTCGACGTCGGAGATTGCGCTCTTGTGGGAGAAGTCAAACCGCAGCTTCTCAGCGGCCACTAAAGATCCCTTTTGGTCGACACCATCGCCTAGAATTTCCTTCAGAGCGAAATTCAGAATATGAGTTCCCGTATGGTTGTTCCGGATGGGCCAGCGCCGCAGCTCATCGTATTCGCAAATGACGGAATCGCCGACAGTGAATTTTCCGTATTTCATAAAGCCAGTGTGGAGAACATAGCCAGCATATGCCTGGACATCGCCGACTTCCAGCTCCGCTTGCCCGTCAATAATGATTTTGCCGGTATCATTCTCCTGGCCTCCCTGTTCGGCATAGAAGTTTGTGCAATCAAGAATGACGCCAATCTGAACTCCTTCTGGGATATCATCAGTGCTGTCATGGAAAGCCTTCCCGTGGTAAATGGCCTTGACGCGAGAAGTGATGTTGCCTCGGCCGAATTTGGCCGAATCGTCCGTTTTGTGTACGTCATTCATTTTCTCCAGCTTTCCTAGATCGTGGACATCGAGTTTGACTGCATTCTCAGCAGCCTTTTTCTGACCCTTGCTGGCTTCCTTTGCCTTCAAACGAGCGTCTTCAAATTCGACATCATCAATACAGAGACCACGTTCCTCGGCCATGATTCGAGTCAGATCAACAGGGAAGCCGAAGGTATCATAAAGTCTCCAAACATCGGCACCATGAAGTGTGTCGGTGCCTTTGACTTTAGCCTGCTGGGCATATTGCTCGAATTGCCGTTCACCTCTATCCAAGGTCTTGGCAAATGATAACTCTTCCTCATCCAAGATTTCAATAACATCTTGCTGCTTTCGCTTGAGTTCAGGGAACATTTCACCCAATTGGTCCACAACAGTTGGCACAAGTTTGGCGAAGAAGTTTCCAATATCGACTTGGAAGTATTTCCGAGCATAACGAGCTCCTCGGCGCAGAACACGACGAATCACATAGCCACGACCCTCATTGTTGGGAATGACACCATCAGAGATAGCAAACATCAAAGTTCGCACGTGGTCTGCAACAACACGGTAGGCCGTATCGATTCCATCGACATCATCAGCACCAAAGTGGCCGCGGTATTCACGAGCTCCAGTGGTATTCTGAATAGCCTGGAAGATCGGAGTGAAGACATCGGTATCGTAATTTGAGGATTTGTCTTGAAGGATCGACACCAGTCTTTCAAAGCCCATTCCAGTATCAACGTGCTTGTTGGGAAGTGATCGTAGGGTGCTATCCGGTTCGCGGTTATATTGGATAAAAACATTGTTCCAGATTTCCAGCACATTCGGGTCATCTTCATTCACAAGGTGAGCAGCATTGCGGCCACCAATCCGATCGTAGTGTACTTCGCTGCAAGGTCCACATGGGCCTTGGTCACCCATTTCCCAGAAGTTGTCTTTCATATCTCCAGGAAGAATGTGGGATTCGGGAACGCCCACGGACTTCCATAGTTCTTTGGCCTCCAGATCCGGCTCCAAACCACCGGCTTCATTGCCCTCGAAATAAGTGACGTAAAGGCGATCGGGATCGAGCCCGTAGACTTCTGTCAACAGGGTCCATGAATATGTGATGGCTTCTTTCTTAAAATAGTCGCCAAAACTCCAGTTGCCAAGCATCTCAAAGAAGGTCTAGAGCTTTGGTCAGTAGTTTTTTCTTTTTTTATCTGCTCAGTGAGTTTCATGACGTACGTGGTGATAACTGTCCTTGCCGACATCATCCAGATCCTATAGTTCAGTCAGTTCACCAGAAGCCCTACTGGGACCGCCTCTAGATTTGATATTTATAGGCACACCCACATTATGCTTTCCACCGGCACGGAGACACTAGACATTTGGATCAGCAGCAGTTACAAAGAGCAGACCCTTGACCGTGAACAGCTAATACCTTTTGTGAGTTCGTTGCACGCTTCAACTTTCCAAAGTCCGACGAGGGGTCAACGGTGCCCAGGAATATGGACTTGAACTGGTTCATTCCCGCATTGGTGAAAAGCAGAGTTGGATCCGACAGAGGAGCAACCGGAGAGGAAGGGACTACAAAAAGAGCTTCAAGTCAGTCCATGTTGGCGGGGGATGGAGGGGTATAGGAAAAAGAAAAAGACAGAGAGAGAGAGGGGAAAAAAAAAACGCGGGGTTCAACCCACCAAAGGTATGGCCATTTTGTTTAAAGTAATCCAAGAATGTTTCTCGGACTCGCTGAGCGGTCCATTCCGAAGGAGAAGTCATCCTGTCGATGGTGGGAGGGTGAGGTGACAGGGAGTGAACAAAGCGAGGGTAGAAGGTTCTGGGTTGATTTCTGCGAAAGAGATGAGTCAAAGCCAGTTCCCCGTTCCTCACCAACCCAGAAACCCGCATCGAGCAACTCTTCTCAGAAATGAACTTGACCCCCGATCCGCCCCTTAGATCTCAAGAAGCCAATTCACCCCCTTTTTGTTTTTATATCTCATACACCGAGTAAGGGAGGTTGTGGATGGCGTGCAATGAGGGAATCCAAGGTCACGGGAAGAAGCGCCCGGCCCAAACTGACCCCGATGGCGCGCAACCGTTGACGAAGAAATTTGGGCACCTGCGAATAGGTAGGTAATTGGAAATTTCCCCCTTATTACAATGATTTTTTTTGCTTTTGTTTCTGTTTCTGGTTTGGATCTTTCTTTTTTGGCCAAATATCTCAAGGAGTGGGTTACGGTCAAGTTGACATTCTTGCCTCGTAGATAATAACGTGCCAATCTCCGCTCGGGCCAAACTCAAGGGGCATATTCAGCATATTCAGCATATTCAGCATATTCCAGATATTCAGCATAACCAGCATAATCCCCCACATCAGCATGACCATATCGAGCACTCTTCCTCTTCTCCAGATCGAGGTGATAAAATGTGGTTGGATGATACAAAACATACAACTTACATTCACGATCTGGAACAAGAATTAATGGAAGCCGATTCTCCTAATGGGTTGGTCTTCTTACCATTTGCAGCGAAAGTGCTTTCGGTTCCCCAGTCAGTTCTATCTGACTCCAAGGCCTCAGGCAAAGAACTTGTTCTCTATACAGAACCGACTTCCCTCACGGTTCCCAGGGAAAAGGATCATGTCCGAAAGGCTATACTTGAATCCCGAGCACGAGCACGAGCTGAGAGCAATAAGTCTATCAACCCTCCAGTTGGTTCATTGCGTACGCCAGAGGATTACTCACCATATGATGATCCCATGGACATTGATAATTGATTCGGCATGTACAAAGGCGTTTGGGGGATTGTATTCACTAGCAAATGTATATCTCCTACTACCTATCACCTAATTATGTGATGCTCAGTACGGAGTCCATGACTGTAGTCCTTGACATGGACGATGTTGCACCCCAGAAAATAACCGGATCCACGTGACTCACCGCTTCTGAAAAATTTTCTGGTTTTTTTTTTTGTGGCACCGATTAAATATGCACTCGGCTTGATAAAAAAAAATTTCCTCTTTCCCCCACCATCCCTCTTCTCATTCCTCCCTCAAAATCCCATCTACAATATCATAATGGCCGATTCTGAGGTCTTCGACGGTGCCGTCGGCATCGATCTTGGTGGGTTTTTGGTCCTCTAATTTGGATCACACAGCTGCTAATTGATTTCTGTAGGCACTACCTACTCTTGCGTTGCCAACTATGAGGGCACCAACGTCGAGATCAGTACGCTACTTTTCCCTTGCCCCAAAAAAGTTCAAATTTTCAAAATGCTGACTATCTGATTAGTTGCCAACGATCAGGGTAGCTACACTACCCCCTCTTTTGTCTCTTTCACCGACAAGGAGCGTCTGATCGGTGATGCCGCCAAGAACCAGGCCGCCATGAACCCGACCAACACCGTCTTCGATATCAAGTGAGTTCCCCTGGAGAATCTTGCGCAATGCATCAATATGATGTATTTTTTCATGTATGTTTTTGGTTCTGACATGATGAAATAGGCGTCTCATTGGTCGCCGTTATGATGACCCCATTGTGAAGAAGGATGTTGAGTCCTGGCCCTTCAAGGTTATCGACCAGGGTGGCAACCCCGTTGTCCAGGTTGAGTACCTTAACGAGACCAAGACCTTCACCCCCCAGGAGATCTCCTCCATGGTCTTGATGAAGGTATGGCGATATCTCAACGATCTTTTGTGTGTGATTGGCTGGCTGACTAGCGGCAACAGATGAAAGAGGTTGCTGAGATCAAGCTCGGAAAGAAGGTTGAGAAGGCTGTCATCACCGTGCCCGCCTACTTCAACGACAACCAGCGTCAGGCTACCAAGGATGCCGGTGCCATCGCCGGCCTGAACGTTCTCCGTATCATCAACGAGCCTACTGCTGCCGCTATCGCCTACGGTCTCGGCGCTGGCAAGTCTGAGAAGGAGCGCAACGTTCTCATCTACGATCTCGGTGGTGGTACTTTCGATGTGTCCCTGCTGAACATCCAGGGTGGTGTCTTCACTGTCAAGGCCACTGCTGGTGATACTCACCTTGGTGGTCAGGATTTCGATACCAACCTCCTTGATCACTTCAAGAAGGAGTTCCAGCGCAAGACTGGCAAGGATCTCTCCGGTGATGCTCGTGCTCTCCGTCGTCTCCGCACTGCTTGCGAGCGTGCTAAGCGTACTCTCTCCAACGCTACCCAGACCACCGTCGAGATTGACTCTCTCTTCGATGGTGAGGACCTCAACTCCTCTATCACTCGTGCCCGTTTCGAGGACCTTAACGCCAAGGCCTTCTCTGGCACCCTCGACCCCGTCCAGCAGGTTCTCAAGGACTCTGGCATGCCTAAGAACAAGGTTGATGAGATCGTCCTTGTCGGTGGCTCTACCCGTATTCCTCGTATCCAGAAGCTCCTGAGCGACTTCTTCGATGGCAAGAAGCTCGAGAAGGTAAGAAGACTTTATGCTTGATCATCGAAACTGATTACTAATCGGCTTTAACAGAGCATCAACCCCGATGAGGCTGTTGCCTACGGTGCCGCCGTCCAGGCCGGTATCCTCTCCGGCAAGGCCACCTCCGCTGAGACTGCTGACCTGCTCCTTCTGGATGTCGTTCCTCTGTCCCTTGGTGTCGCTATGGAGGGTAACATCTTCGCCCCCGTTGTCAACCGCGGCCAGACTGTCCCCACCATTAAGAAGCGTACCTTCACCACTGTTGTCGACAACCAGAGCACCGTCCAGTTCCCCGTTTACCAGGGTGAACGCACCAACTGTGCCGACAACACCTCTCTGGGCGAGTTCACTCTCGCTCCCCTCCCTCCCATGCGTGCTGGCGAGGCCGCCCTTGAGTGTGTCTTCGAGGTTGACGTCAACGGTATCCTGAAGGTCACTGCCACCGAGAAGTCCTCTGGCCGCACTGCCAACATCACCATCTCCAACGCTGTCGGCAAGCTTTCTAGCGCTGAGATTGACCAGATGGTCGACGGTATGTTGCTCTTGTTATATTTTTGTTTGATGATATGCTGACTAATGATTCTCTAGATGCTGCCAAGTTCAAGACCAGTGACGAGGCTTTCACCAAGCGCTTCGAGTCTCGCCAGCAGCTCGAGTCTTACATCTCCCGCGTTGAGGAGATCGTCTCTGACCCCGGCATGTCCATGAAGCTCAAGCGCGGCAACAAGGAGCGCATTGAGTCTGCTCTCAGTGACGCCATGGCCCAGCTCGAGGTTGAGGACTCTACCCCCGAGGACCTTAAGAAGAAGGAGCTTGCTCTCAAGCGCCTGATCACCAAGGCCATGGCCACACGTTAAATGCATACATGGGAATACATGAACATAGACTTACGGCCAACGAATTTTCCTCTCTCCCGGGACTCTGCTTCTCAGGGAATCTGCGCCATCTAGACCTTGGGCAGAGTTGGTCTCTGTCACGCTTTGTTTATGAAGCCGGGTAAACTTGGGCGCAGTTTTCTTTTCTTGAAAAGTACGATTTTTTGTTTTTGATTTTTTTGTAGACGAAGTTCGCCATCTGCAATTTAATGACATTGTGATGAACCCCTTGAATTAAATGTAGCTGGAATGCAAACCAAATCAATCACGAAAACCGGGTACATAATCTAAGTATTTTTAGCCACGGCGGGTAGGGAAGATGGCATACTCTACCTCCCTCTGTCCACTCCTAGAGCCTTACATCCACCACTTCCAACCATGCAACGCATCGTTGCCCAATCGGTTCGCGCCTTTAATGCTCATTCTGCAGTTAGATATCATCAGGGACCTCGACCTTTATGTTTTCTACTCCAAAGCCGGTGTGCTATTCCTCTGAGCAGGCGTAATTTTATCAATTCGCCTACTCTTTACAAAAAAAAAGGACAAGGCTAAGAAAACCTCTGCCTCTGCCTCTGCTCCTGAGGAGAGCTCTAATGGCACGTTGGAAGATCCGTTTGATCTCTCTCAGTTACACCATGGCATTTCCACAGCCGTTGCTCGGCTAAAGGATGATTTGTCTAAGCTCCGTGCAGGAGGGCGGTTTAACACCGCGATCCTAGAGAGTCTGCGGGTCCACCTGAGCAAAGACAGCAGAGAGTCTGTCAAGTTGGGTGACTTGGCGCAGGTCGTTCCTAAAGGAGGACGCATGGTTACTATTTTGGCGGCCGAAGAGGATGTAAGTTTGCCCGCTCTGATCCTTGCTTTTGTCCTTTCGCTTCTTGTTGCTCCTGCAGCAAGCACCTCTAATGCATTTTTGAGTAGCACCTGAAACCTCTTACTTCAGCTATCATCTCCTCGAATCTCTCCTTGACCCCTCAGCCTGATGCTCAAAACGCTCTCCAGCTCAACATTCCTATCCCACCACCTACCAAAGAGTCCCGAGACAAGAACATTCAAGCTGCCAAGCAGGCATTTGAAAAGGCTGCCAGTGTGGTACGTGACTCTAGGGGGGCTATGCACAAACGTCTTCAGGATCTGCAGAAGAAGAAGTTGGCTCGGCCAGATGACGTGCGCAAAGCCCACGATCAGATGGAGAAGGTCACAGATCAGGGCCAGAAGGAGGTGAAGGATGCATTCGAAGCCGCCAAGAAGACTTTGGAACAGGCATAAAAAGTGCAACTGGGAAGCCTAGGGAAACCTGGCAAAAGCAATAGGGCTTTGGTAAAATAAATCCTTTGTAAGTCTAGGAATACATACATCAAGTTTACCCTGGTAAAAAGCTCTACAGATTGGAAGGCAACAAGGTAGCCTCTCTAAAATCATCTCTGTTGTGCTGAACATTATAATATGGAACAAGAAAATCCAATTCAATGAAACAAATATAATACAAAGTACTCCAAGCCCAAGTTAGACACGCTTGGTGTTGCGACCAGTAGAGACAAGAGATTCAATCTTGGCCATGAACTGTGAGGTCTTTCCGGTTGTCTGGTAAGTCCCATTGTTTCCAAGGTTCTTTGTCACTTCAGCTAAGACGGCATGCCCATCTTTTCCTTTGAACGTGGGGTATTTGCCCTGAACATAGGTTTCCATTAGAGACTTGGTGCTCTCTGCATCGATGGGGTTGAACTCGACATTGCGAGGCTCCACAAGGTCACCCTTGCGCTGGGAGATTCGATCCGCACGCAGCTGAGCCAACCGCTTGACCTCTTCCAAGGCCCCAGCCTTTTCATTCTCATCGTTGAACAGAACGCTCTGACCCTTCCACAGTCGCCTTCCAAGCTCATAGGGGGGATATAGCCATTGGCGACACGACCGCCCAAAATGGAGAGCTTCTCATAGATAGCAGCTGATCGCGAGTTGGTGTCTGTGGGGATTGAAGGCCAAGTCTCTTTCAGATTAGAGTAGTTGATTTCCCGGGGCTCGTAGCGAATGGGGGTTGGCCGGGATTTGATGATTTGCTCTTGCTGGATTTGATCGATAGCCGCCGCTTGGGCATCTTCGCCATCATCATTCTCTGTCGATCTCGCGTTCCTGCGCGGGGCATTTCGTTTACCCTTGGCTGCTTTGGCGGAGGGTTTGGGCTTGCGATTTGCGGATTGGGTGCCTCCTCGAACATTGCGCGATCTCGGACTGCGGATAATCTTAGGTTGTTCTCCACCGCCAGCTCGGGCCGCCGCAAAAGATCTTGCATCAACCACTCGGGGAGGGCGGGATTGGTTTTGGTTGGTACGGGCTAGAGGGCCATTGGGATTGCGAACCCGGTGGGCAGGTGCGGCCGATGAAGGTCGGCTTTGGGGTTTATTATGGCCTTGACACAGGATATATTAGAACTTTGATTCCCTCAATGGCTTAGAGATTTGGGAGATTGTGGGTTTCCCCAATGCACTCCGTCCTTACCGGATGGCTGATTCTGTTCATCGGCGACTGTACGGGTACAGGAGAAGTGGCGAGCAGGTGTAGAAACACCAAGCTTTGCTCGTTCACAATGAGATGAAATCTGCCTCAGCTGTGAGCGAAACATCTTTGTATTCCGAACGAACCAGATCGTGTCCCTTGAATTGGCAGGGATAAGAGCGCCGGAAAGATCGAACGAATAATTACAGTCACGTGAGGCACCGCTTTCCTACATCAGCCATCAACTTGTGTATTGCAGTCCACTGTACCCGCCAAAATGCTTCGTCGAAAGCCAACAGCCATTGCTATTACGTCGGAGGATATCTCTGCCTTTGAAGAAGCCAGACTCCGCAAATTGTCAGAGGAAAACAAACATCCCGAACAGCACACAAAGGGAACCTCGAATATCACCGTTGACCCAAGTGATGAGTTGAAACCCCTCCCAGGGGACAAGGCCAGGATTGTCCGAACACGCGAAGAAAGAATAGGCGTGAGTCAACGTGGTTGACTTGCTATATCGTGACTAACTCACGTTACGCCACCGCGAGGTACATGACCCAATCATGATACATCCCTTCATCACAACCACCTTCTTTTGATGACAAGATCCACCATTAACAAGAAATGAATGGGACAGGATCTTTGGCCAATGCATCGCATATTTCTCGACTTATTTTCATGGGACTTGCTGAACCGAGAATGACACAATGATAGAATATGCTTGCCAATATCACAACGAATCTTACCGGTGTATGTTGTAGATCTATGAAAGGTTGGCTGGATGATATCAACATTGGAGAATCGAATTGATACATAGTAGTCTTATTCCGAAGGCAAACCCTAAGCCATGTAATTCTCTAATCTAGGTGATAGCTACCAGGTCGACAGCTTCCTTGAGACTTGTTTGCCCCCTTCTCCGACAAAAGATAGCAAGGCCCGATTGAGAGCCTGCATTCTCCGGTTGGTCTACAATGTTACTGTGCATGCTAGGCCATCCGAGTGGTGTTTTGTTCACTGATAATACGGCTCTGTTAAGAACCAGCAGACCAAAAAAAGGAGGAAGGTCGCGCGACCAAGTGGGTGAATGATTCGGGTATCTGTCTTTCATCCTCGCTGGCGCTTGTATATGCTATCGGAGCCAAGGTCAACCGAGTAATCCCATCGCCGCTTGACTCCCTGTGGATCAAACACACTAGCAACACTTTGCTGCCAATCCCGGGCTGAAAACACAACTGGGGGAGCTTGGAATTGCGGCGGGGAGAGAGATTGGGTAGACGCGACAGAGGGAACTTTGTCAGTCTCGTATTGCATGGGATACTGGGCTTGTACAGCTGGTATCGAATTGTTCATAGGCATCGGCGGGGAATTTGCGCTGACGGTGGAAGGGTTCACGGAGAAGGCGATGTCCCATTGACTGGTGTGAGATATTAGTAAGAGGCTAAGTGTCTGAGAAAGAGGCACATGCGTACGTGATGATGCGGGTCGGGTCCCAGTTCTTTTCATCTGCCAATGGGGCATCCAGAGAATGTGTTGTCGGTGGTTGATGGGCAACCATCCCGAGAGATTGTATCTGAGAAGAGGTGTCGGACTTTGAGTCTTCAGCGCCAGCCGAAATCGGAGGGGTTGTTGGAAACGGGTGGAAACCCACTCTAGATTGGACTTGATTCAAATGTGGATGGTAGTGTGTATCCATGGGTGGACTGGGTTGAAAGGGTTCTGAGGGACTCCCGTATGGAAAACTTGGCTTCAATTCAAATGGACGATGCATGTCAGCCGAAAAGGCCAATCGCAATGAATCAATCTGAGCCTGGATTTCGGGCATGGGCCAAGCAGTTGAGCATTTCTCAAGAATTATCATGTGACGGACAAAGAATTCACGGGCGTCTGAATTGAATTCAGGGTCGGGGGAAGTAATGGCAACCTGGAGGTATCAGAATTTTCTTTCTTTTTGTTTGGGGTCGTTACAGATAACTTACCAAGTGCAGCATTGTACAAGTCAGGATGCAATAAATAGCAAAATTGATACCTCTTTGCATGTAAAGTAAGCCAGGTAGCCCGAAACCTTGCAATATTGCTTCCTGTAATCGACAAAGGCTTTTTGCTGATGAATAGCATAATGACATGTGGACCTTCCATTCACCACCGGCAGCAAATGATTGAGAAGCGACAAGTTGGGGGCGATGTAAGAGAATGATTGCGAGGTGACAATGAGAATGCATATTGCCTACAAAGTGAGATGGAAGCCATGGCGGAGAGCCATCGACGGGATAGTCGACCTGTAGGTCTGGAGGGAGGTTGCGAAGCCAATCTGCGAAAAGCGGGTTATTTTGTACAAACCGAGCATCTGCTCCCCAACCCTTTTGCTTCTTAACTTTGTGATAGATATCTGTAATTATGCGAATGTGATGTGCATTGCGCACAAAATAGGCGTATTGCCTCGAACGGTTAGTCTCGTAAGGGTCAAGGCCTCGGATATCTAGTGTCGGACGCATGTCCACTGTTTTAGGATCGACTCCGTAGTCCGAGCGACCTGCTTTTGATTAGAATCTCGAGTTGTTTACTAGACGATTGCAGACTAACCCTGGGGTGCACCAATCATCACCTCGACTACCAAGAGAGCCTGCCATACTCTGGTGTGAACCAAGCATTCAATGGGGCTGAGACCACATGGTTTTCGTTCAGTATGATTGCTGTGATGCTCATGAATATCCAAGTCTTTCGCCATCGAAACAATAGTCTTCACAGTCTGCCAGGAACGATAATAGTATCCTTTCTTTGGCAAGGATTCCCTTGCTTTCAGAAGCAGAAGTAATGCTTGGATAGTACTCAGACGTGGTACATCCATAAAGCTGGACTCGTGCCCTGGAAGAATGTTAGTCCTGATCTGATGGACAACATATTGCATAACTCACTATTAGCCAAAGCAAGCCATTGAGCACCCTCTGCTGGCTCGTCAGACAAACGGCCTGCACAGGCGAAAAGAGCCTCGAGAAGAAGAGGGGAGATAGAACGGCGATCATGCTGCCATTGATAGTATAAATGGGCACGGGATACGACAGGAACGTAAGGATGTATCTCATCAAAGTAGATCTTGAAATAAGTCATTACGTCGTCTTCTGTCGGCATGAGCTCGGGGGGATCCGAATTGTCGCGCCCGATCCGGTGCTTAGAGGCGGCAATTGCTCTTCGACCTCATCTTGAATAGGAGCATCGGGCTCAATTCGATCTGTCCGTTGCCTTCTAATATATGGAGCTATCAAAGAGGTTAATGATGCGCCCGAATCAGATTCATAGTCGGGAAAACGCGCCATACCAATTCCAGTCTCGTCAATCTTTAGCTCTCCAAGTACATCAATGAGGTTCTCTGCGGTTGACTGGTCGCTATCAATATACACATTTCGATCTGATGGCCTGATAGCCGGGGTTTGCGGTTCGGCAAACAATTGGGGCTGTTGAAAGGCTTGGTGTGGCATGGCCATTTGTGATGGCCGAAGATCGTTATAAATGCTGGGCTGAGTCTGTGGGGGAGGAACAAATTGGGAATACATGCTCATTTGATCATACGAGGGGACCGCGTTTATGGTGGGTTGGTTGTTGTCCCGGTAGACTGGGGGGACTGGGAATGTACCAGCTGCACTGGAGGGCCCGCCAGTCTCTAGAGACTCGCCCTGGCTATCGGGGAGAAACTCTCCATCTTGTCCAATGGTCGGGGGAACACAGATCAGCTTTAAGCGAGTGCATGCAGAGCAAGGCCACGTATTCGTTGTGGCTGCATCGCATTTAATTTTTCTTTTCCGGCAGCCATTACACGCTCGCATCACTAAAGCATTTTAGCATCTTCTTCCTATGACGTAGGGATACTTCTCATACCTTTCAGCCTCTTGTGGCGGTTATGCTCATCAACAAATACATAATCTAAATAGATGATTAGCCAATCTGGTAAATCATCCATACAAGATAGAATAGCATCTGGAATATCATACTTTTCTGGCCTTCTCTTGGGGGGCCCGCTGGAGGCGCAAATGAATATCCCTGCATGCTGGCTCGGTTGATAAATGGCGATAGATCTGGAAAGTGGCGTAGGATATGAGGATTATCGAAGTATAGGAAAAAAGAGGAACCAGGATGTTTGCGCCGGTCGTTCTATCCACAAGGACCTGCCCTAAGGAATCGAACTGGAGAGGGGAGCGAATTCGCTCAGCAAGATGGCGATTTGTCGCGGGAAATTCGTGTATACAATAAGTAAATGGATAGCAAAAGCGAAACTGTGAGATGCTAAAGCAGTCGCAATCCAAATTAATTGGGACAAACAGCTGTTCTGGTTGCAATAAAGGGTCGCTCAAAACTTCAAATTAGTCAAAGACTGCGATCAAATTGCCGAGGCTCAATCGGGAGGGGTTGCCAAAGTGCCCACAAAACAGCCAGATACTCTGCGACGCGGTTGAAGACTAGTGGAATGATCGCGCTCTCAGCAGACTGAATGCAGAGCGTCAATCAGACGCGTGAGACTTGAGAATTCGAGTCTCTTGGGGTATTTGATAGATGTTTGACTGCTATACGAGATAGGAGAATTAGCACCTCTTCCTTATGACCCAGATCAAATGGGATCCAAAGAAAGGCAGGGGGGGGGGGGGGAGAGAGAGAGAGTGTGTGTGTGTGGTAAGGGACTCTTTACAATGAGGGAGAGGAGTCATGCGTATCCATCGGATGTCAAATATCGCAACGTACTGCGCATTCAATTCAACGAGCCTGGCGCATTTCATCTCAATTGGGAAGGCAGTAGGTGGAAGAAGCGCGGAGCCTTAGGGAGAGCAACTCAGGCTCACAAGAGGAGACATAGGGGGCGAATGAATCTCTAGTGAATGTTGACCGCGCCTTGTTCTGTTCTAATTTGGCCGGGAGAGGAAGAGGAAGGTGAGGGTGGGGGGTGTTCGACCTTGTGTGTGGGTGAGAGAGAGAAGATCAGAAGCTGAGGGGTGGGAGGTACTGCGGGTGCCAAGTGTGGAAGAGGATCCAATAGCGCCCGCCGCTGTGGATTTTCCCAGGGTGGAGAGGCGATCCGGATCATTTATATTAGATGGGTTGAGAGATTACCGGATTTTTATATTTTTTTTAAAGATGTGCAATTATTCTATGGGATTACCTAGGTATGTATAATAGACACATGGTGGTACGCATGTACGGAGTAGAGAGGAGAGTGTTCTACTTTTATCACAGTACCTACATGTACATAATGTAGCTGTATGTAGTGCCTTGGCTGATTTTGAACTCGATGGAAGTCGAGTATTCCGTCCGGAGTACGGAGTACTTGCACACTACATGTACCTACGGGGTACGGTTACGAAGTACAAACGCCTTGTACAGGTATTGTGTACGCACGGCGTAGTTAGGTATGTGTATGTATTGTCACCAATAGAGCAGGGAGTAATAGTCCTCCGTATATGGATATTCCTCAGAGTTACCGATATATGTGTACATGCATATACGGAGTAGGTAGTATATCCCCTTCGGAACTCTCCCGATCAAGATTCTTTGCTACGACTGAAACGGAGCAAAAACGCAAATCGGCAAATGAGAACCTCTTGTTGGTAAATTTGTAAAAAAAAAAAAAAAAAAAAAAAAAAAACCGAGGACACATCGCTTTGTTCTTTTTGCAAAGGCCAGTAGGTCAAATCGGGGAAACATGTCAAGTCGTCGCGGCTGTCGATCATCCCGAACCACTAGGAAGAGCAAGTTGTGCTAATTAGGGAGGATAGATGTAGTGAATAGTAATTGGTAGAATTTGCAACCTACTCTATTCCGCATCATATAACATTAGTTTTACATATAGAATCGCTTTCCCCCCCCCTTTATTTTTCTCCTTTTTTTCCCCTCTCTCATTACCGAGGACTGGCACGTGAATGTTATAAAAACGTTATCGCGTCGGCAATTTTTGCCCCTCCACTCCCGCTCTTTAACCACTACCTTACCCTTTGTACGGAGGACTCCGTACACGCTTTCGTCATGGCGGAAATGCAGAACTCAAACCCCACGATCCTGAATGCCGCTGATCTTCCCACGCGGCTGCGACCCGCCACCCGCAAGTCCGAGTATGGTGGTATCTTCACATCCGCTCTGCCGCTGACCCCAGTAGACTGGGCAATATCATCTGACTCGGAGGATGACAACCTACTGGAGGAACCGATTGATGAACAGGAAATATACGGTAAGAAATTCTATATCACCGTGCGCCGATGATTCGTTCAGTCTACTAAATGAACAGATCTTATTTCGTCAATCTCCGACCCGGAACATCCCATCTCACTCGGAGAATTGGCCGTGGTGTCTCTTCCGGATATCATGATCAAGCCAACCCTCCCGGATGTCCCTGACTCACCTCTGCAAACCGTTTCTGTACTCATCACACCCACAATCACCCATTGCAGTCTGGCAACCGTTATCGGTCTTGGGGTTCGCGTTCGCCTGGAACAGTCTCTCCCATCAAGGTTCAGAATGGATATACGCATCAAAGAAGGTACACACAGCACCGGCGATGAAGTCAACAAGCAGCTCGCTGATAAGGAGCGGGTTGCTGCGGCCCTAGAGAATGGTGCATTGATGGGGGTCATCGCCAAAATGATGGAGACCTGTCACTGAATTATAAAAGACCGAAACGACATGTAACGACTACGATAATCCTCTAGATGCTTGACTTGGAAATGATTTATTAGAACATACAAGCTTTGCTAGGACATCACTGATGACAGTAGCCACTCCCTCTCTCTTTTGTGTGTGAATCATGAGTCAAGAACACCGCTTTCTTTTAAGCCTTTCCAAAGCTCCGGCTCCAAAAACTTGCTCACTGTAACATCCTCCGCCAGACCCTTGCGCCTCCGTGTCTTCAAAACAAAGTCTCGGGCAGTCGCCATCGCAGGGGCCATCTCCAAAGGTTTGAGTTTGACATCACGGTCCAGTGGGTCACCTGGTACCACACTCCACTTGTCAAATGCAAGGCTTACCATAGCCTGACCTTGCGTGTGGATTCGGAGATCGGTCTCAAAGCCAAATGAGTCAATCACTGGGATCAAACCACGCACAGAGTAAAGTGGTGTCCCCGCAATAGGGCCGTCTGACAGGACGTGGCCTCTTCGGCGTGACAAGACTGTATACACCGAAGCCACGGCGTCTGCAGGTCCAGTCATCGTACAAGAATAGATTGGCTCCATAAGGCGCGGGGATGCCATGAGGAACGACGAGTATACAGCACGGCGGGCTGTGGGAATAATCTGGCCTCCACCGCGGTAGATAGCCTGGTCGGCCAGGGACACATCCGTGAGCCTGAACTTTGTGTTTCGAATGGCTAAACAATTAGTACGTTTACGGACGAGACGAGGGAAGGGAACTTACGTTCTTCGCAAAGAGGACCTTCCCGTGTACCCCAGCTGAAGCCTTGGGTAATGGAATCTCTGACGGTTCCGAGAACTTTCTTATCCACTTGAGAGGGCAATGTGTCATCCTGGAGAATATTGGGACCCATTTCATCGGGTCCAAACGCCCAGATGCTTCGAGCTGCAAGCTTATCCCAATCATAGTTGTCCTCAAAGTATCGAGCAACCTTCCGAATAGGGTCCTTGATGCTGACTTTGCCATTCTCGATGTCCTCCGCAATCCCATCATCCAAGGGCTCCGCAATCATGGTAATCTTATTCTTTTTGTTTGGGGTGATTGAGTAACACATCATGGCCGAGGTTTCCACGACAGTCTCACAAAAACGTGTGACGGGGTCAGAAACCTTGATTTCCATCTCCGAGAACAGCTTTCGGAGGTCATGAAGCACACAGTCCATGTAGAGCTCGCCGGTTCCCAGAACCACATGCTCACCAGACTCTTCAACCTTGGTTGAAATGAGGGGGTAACTCTTGTTGATTTTTCGCAACCCATCCAACATCTTAGGGAGTTCTGAGGGATTCACGGGCTCAACAGCGACCTTAAACACTGATTCGGTCATGTGCCTTATTGGGCGGAAGATATGTGCCTCCTCATCATTATCATGCCCCATAAGTGTCGCGGTCTTGACAATAGAGTTGTCGACGCCACCCAATAGAACCCAGTTTCCGGCGGGAACACCGCTGGTAGAGATGTTATAACGCGTTTCCGCAATCCACGTCTCGGAGATGGTCGCCAGGGCCATATCTTCCTCGTCCTCTGGTGTGTAGCCCTCGCCCAGTACACGGACCCGTTGACCAGGCCGCGCGGTGCCACTCATAATTCTTCCAAACGAGTAGAAGTTTCCAGCATCTGTACTGCTGAAGAGTTTGGTTACGTGAACAACAAGAGGCCCATCTTGATCACAAGCAAGCATAGATGCCCCGACCTTTGTATCCACGGGGCCAGTGTAGTATCTCTCCAACGCTCGCTGGGCACCTTCCACTGGAGAAGGAACATGCTGAACTACCATGTCAACAAACCCAGCTGCGGGGCCGAAGAATTGCTCGCAGACAAGACTGAGCAGTTCCTTCGCGTCGGTCTTGAGCTGGGAAGGCTTCAAAGTGACGCCGACGCTAGCCAGAGTTTCTTTCAGATCTTCAGGACTCTCACTTAAGGTATGTGAATAGAGCTTGTAAATGGGCTCCAAGATAAACGTGACGAATGTCCGATTTGCGTTCTCCTCTACTTTGGTGCGAGTGAATTTTCGGCTTTTGGGATTGTAGAAGATGTTGCCCCAAAGTCGCGCAGCGAATTCCGTCGAGTCCAAGCTCGGATAAGTGTCTGCGTACATCCGGGCAAACGATTGCAATGTAAAGCACCAGTTCATCGAGCTTGATGCGAACGCAACATTGCCCTTCTCGGGGCTCAATCGTCGTCGCTCACCTTGTTCTGGCAAGATGTTCTGAATAATCGTGTTGACCTCTTCAATCACATGTTTCATCTTGAAGTATGCATCTTTTGGGGGAAGTTTGAGCTCGAGAATGAGTCGGTCCATCTTGTTGACGACCAAGGTCAAGGGGAGGTCCTCCAAGACTGCATGCTTGATAATTTGCTCAGTGTTCGCCTGGACACCTTCTACCACGTCGACAACTAGCACCGCACCATCAGCTAGGCGGATAGAGGCAGCCACTTCATCGACAAAGTTCACATGCCCAGGGGTATCAAGGAGGTTGAACAAATGGGATTTTCCTTTGGTCCCTTGGAGAACGAGACTCATTGGTGCTGACTTGATTGAAAGGCCGCGCTCCCTCTCCAAGAAATGGACATCAGTGTATCGAAGCTGCTCTTCTCTCTTTCGTCCCATGCGCTTTTCCAGCCGCTCTGTGAAGTCGTGCGTTTGTTTGACCAGCATATCCATAAATGCAGTCTTTCCATGATGTAGATGGCCAACAATTGCAACGTTTCTTATTTGCGCTGGGAAATTCAACAGATCGGACATGAACTCTCGTGAGAAATGTACGGGTGGAAGTTCAGTCTCTGCGATCGCAAACTTCTTTTGTTGAACGGGCGCGATGATCGGCTCTGATAATGGTTGAGCATCTTCCTCCTGGACCATGGTTTCCACATCTTCGCCGTAGACTTGCTGTGCGCTGGGATAATATTGCTTGTCTTCGTGCAGTATAACTGCATTTGAAGGGCCCTCTGGAGGAGGCATGAGATTAGCGAGAGCGCAAATAAGGGAATAAATCGACATACCATCAACTTCCATCAACTGTTGATTATTAATATCCTCTTCTTCTTCTTCATCAAACGCCTCGTCGAACTTGAAGGCTTGAGGCTGCACATCTTCATGGTGCTCCTCGTCCGATTCCGCATCGCCGATGTAATTACCAAACCTAGGCAGATATTAGCGAGGGTGAGCAAGAAGGAAAGAAGAACATACTCATCATAAAGGTCGTCCATGATGAATTGTATGAATACAAAAGAGGGATAGCTCCAGTGACGCGGGAGAACTTGAGGATCTCAACTTTCACTTGGTCCGAGCTTTTCGGAGTACTCGTGCCTACACCGTACAGCTCCTCACTCCCCACTATACAATTTATTCTTATAGATCCCCCTCTCCCTTTTTGATTTTTTGGTCTTCCTTCTCTTATTTTATTCTAACAATATCTCAATTTACAAGCCAAAATGTCTTCTCTTCCCCCCGTCTACATTGTCTCTACTGCCCGTACTCCCGTGGGCTCTTTCCTCGGGTGAGCATTTACGAACTCTCCCTTTCTATGCTTTCTTCTCTGACGTTGCGTTTGTTTTGCAGCTCTCTCTCCAGCTTGACTGCTCCCCAGCTTGGTGCTCATGCTATCAAGGGTACATATCAACTCCCATCTCATCATCATCTTTGCTAATCGTAATGTTGCAGCGGCCGTCGAACGGGCTGAGGGGATCAATGCCTCTGATGTCGAGGAAGTTTTCTTTGGCAACGTCCTATCTGCAGGGTAGGTTTACTTTGAAATAAATCATGTACTGCAATTTGGAATTGACATACCTTTCATAGTGTTGGACAGAACCCCGCGAGACAATGTGCTATCGGTGCTGGCCTTACCGATTCCACCGTCTGCACTACTGTCAACAAGGTCTGCGCTTCTGGTCTGAAAGCCATCATTCTCGGTGCCCAGACTATCATGACTGGAAACGCCGATATTGTTGTCGCTGGTGGAACCGAGTCCATGTCGAACACCCCTCACTACCTACAGACCTCTCGCAGTGGTACTAAGTTTGGCAACCAAACCTTGGTTGACGGTATCCAGAAAGATGGCCTGACCGATGCCTATGGCAAGCAGGACCTCATGGGTGTTGCGGCTGAGGAGTGTGCTGAGGACCACGGCTTTAATCGTGCCCAACAGGATGACTATGCCATCCGCAGCTATGAGAAGGCCCAGGCTGCCCAAAAGGCTGGCGCGTTCGACTATGAGATTGCTCCCATTGAGATCCCCGGCTTCCGTGGCAAGCCCGGTGTGACCATTTCCCAGGATGACGAGCCCAAGAACGTAGGTACCTACTTAATATGTTCTCGAAACCGACTAACTCATTCCTTTAGCTCAACCCCGATAAGCTGCGCGCCATAAAGCCCGCTTTCATCCCCGGAACTGGAACCGTGACTGCCCCCAACTCCTCACCTCTGAATGATGGTGCTGCCGCCGTCGTATTGGTTTCCGAGGCTAAGGTGAAGGAGCTCGGCCTCAAGCCCATCGCCAAGATTCTGGGTTGGGGCGACGCTGAGCAGAAGCCCAGCAAGTTTACCACGGCTCCTGCTTTGGCCATCCCCAAGGCACTCAAGCATGCCGGTGTGACACAGGACTCCATCGATGCTTTCGAGATCAATGAGGCCTTTAGTGTGGTGGCTCTCGCTAACCTGAAGCTCCTTAACCTCTCCGAGGAGAAGGTTAACATCCACGGTGGCGCGGTCGCTATTGGACACCCTCTTGGTGCCAGTGGTGCTCGTATTGTCTCCACTCTACTCGGTGTTTTGAACGCCAAGAAGGGCAAGCTTGGCTGCGTTGGTATTTGCAACGGTGGTGGCGGTGCCAGCGCCCTTGTTATTGAGTCTATTTAAAAGAGTAGGACTCTGTTAATGACAAACGGAGATGTGAAACGACCTTCGATTCTTGCATGTGAAATTTCATGGACATTTTTGAGAAGATACTGTCTGCAAACTCGGGATATGTAGAGCATAGCCCAATCAGCGGTGCACATTTGCAGCATCAATTTTCCTTTCTCTAGACCGGCTAATGAGATATACTTTGTGCTTATCATGGCGATTCCAAATGAAGCAATCCGAGCACGCAGGCAGCTATTGGCCGCTAGGATTTAGTTCGTATTCCATTGTCAATTCTTAAACGAATCCAGGAGGAGGGGTTGCCGCCCGCGTACTTGAGGGGCATTAGAATAGTTCTCAGTTCTTCCATCCGTCTGCCAGACGTCTCGATATCCGGCTCAGCCATGAAACCTCAGACAGAGAAGGATACTAACATGATTGAGAGAGCCAAGGCCCTCTGGATCTGTTCCTGGGGAGAGTAATATGAACGAATGGTATCAGGAATGCTGTACACACTTCCCATCTGAATATCAAAACCAGACACCAATCTCTAACTCATGCAGTTACAATCCTCTAGGCCCTGAACTTATAAGGGCAGATCTCGAGCAAGACGTTTAATGGCAACATTCAACGCACCGCTGCTGTTGGAAGCTACTACAACTCAAATTCTGTCTTCGCGAGAAGGTATTATCCAAGAACTCTTTGGTCGCGTTGGGCAGGGAGTGTTCATTGAACCTCCATTATTCGTGGATTACGGCTGCAATATCAGCATAGGCGATGGGTTCTACGCAAACTTCCAGTGAGCCCACAAAACTTTGATGAGAGGTACTCAAATCCGACCAGATATCCTCAGTCTCACCATTTTGGACTGTGGCTTAGTTTCCATTGGCAATAACGTTATGATTGGGCCTAATGTCAACCTCATCACAGGGGAACACGAAACGAGCATCGAAGCGCGAAAGGCAAATCAAGGACTCGAGTTTACGAGACCAATCGTCATTGGTGATGAGTGTTGGATTGGAGCAAATGTGACCGTCTTGGCTGGAGTGACCACTGGCCATGGATCCTCTATCGGTGCTGGCTCCGTGGTCAAAAGAGATATACCACCCCTGAGTGTTGCAGTAGGTAGTCCGGCTCGAGTGATCAGGTCGGCGCAATGATCTTAACAAAAACCTATGAGAATTAGGTGTTAAGCTAAGAGAATCTATCTACTTAGTATAGTGCATCTGAAGGATTTTTGCTTCGTTTGCTTCGTCCACGATTTTAAGCAAATGCACCGACAAATGCCATGAGCAAGGCACCACAGGCAACAGACACGCAAGCCTCAACACGACGTCTGCCCCTGAGGGTCTCATAACTCGGTTCACTCAGAAAGTCCTCGGCCAGGAGTTCCACCAGACCTGCAAAGAGTAAAAGACCGCTGCTGATGGCATTGGTAATGCCAACCATAAGTAAACCTGTTGTGCTAGCAGGATCGTAGAAATTGTGTAGAACCAAACCGATGGCTTGGCCAACGGGAGTTGTTGTTCCATATGCAAGTGACATGAGCCATGGTTTTAAGGAATTCGGCGCAAATAGATCCGGTATGAGCGATGCAATCCGAGAACCCAAAGCAAAACCTTCAAATGTCTGATGGAAACTGATTGCAATCAAGAGAACAACGAAGGACGTGCCAGTTGCAACACTAAGCGCCATACCAATGAAGACGCTGTGAAACAAGATGCCGGCCTCCAAGAGAAGGCATTGTAGAAGCTGACGCTGCGGATTGGGCCCAACGATACCAGAGTGTGGGTGCTGTTGATCCCGTGGCCGGTGGATGGACTGTGACTGCGTGGAAGGCGTTACTTGTCCATTGATAAGTCGATCGTCATCCATGTAGTCATCCAGCCCATCCAGTTCATCAACATCGTCCATCTTATCAGCTGAAAGATGATGTCGATCAAATTCATCAGAAGCTCCCACCACGCGTGACTTAGAGCTGTGCTCAATGCTATCCAGATTGATATTGTCCGCAACCTGCCCGGCCTCTAATGCCAAGTCATCTGCATCTTGTATTAACCCATCACTTATAGAGTCGCGCCTAACCTCGCCAATGAGGTTATCATATTCGCTTCCATGCACATGCTTTGCGCCTTTCATTGCAAAGAACATCTCTACCAGAACTACCGCAAATACGGATATCATTGCAACAAACCCTGCCATAGCACGGTATGATTGACTCCAGAACCGAGGCAGGCATGGATCGGTCAAGGAGACGAATGCTGTGGGGAGCAAATGTACGAATGCTGTCGCGATCAATACACCTGTTCCGAAATGCCTCGATATGAAGAGGAATCGACGGGGAATCGGAAGGCCAGGGAAACGGCGTGCTATGACTGGGAAAGAGCATGCTATTGTGGTGTCAGGACTCCGTATTAGTCCAACTTCTGGATTTCTGTACGTACCGAATGTACTCAGACCGAGGATGAGGAACAATGCCATGACATGCAATGGGGTATTGTAGGTCCCCCGCTCTTTAGAACCGCATGCCGGCGCATCGCCCGAAGCTCCATCTCGCCGAAGAAGTTCTGCTTTCAAGAGAGCGACAGGGACATCCGAGATTGCTAAGAGGGTTCGGCTCGAGTCTGCTTGGAACAGTATTAGACCAATCACAATTGATTAGCAACACTACCAACCCGAGGGTACTCCATTTGCAGTCTGCCAGTCTTGAGCATTCGGCATGATGTCTTTTGTTGGAGCAGTAGCCACATTAATTGCGGATTAGCCGGGTGATATGGAAGAGAGATGTTAAGGGTTCGAGAGAAAGGGGCTATTGCGAGTCCTAGATCGGCAAGAAGGCCGATGATACCAGCATATGCATTATTTCAAAATGAAGAAGTGTCTAAGTAGTGTCAAGAAATGCGGTAACGTGAATCTGGGCAAGGGCTCCAGCTCCCTTCGCTTAGTCACAAGATGAATGCACGTGGGCGATCCAAGTCACATTTATGATTTACTCGAATGGGGTCATGTGATGGGAATCAATTGTTGTTTGATATCTTCTAATCTATCTGCTGCCCAGCTTAGTCCAGCCTTTGGTACCTTTCCCCTTCTCATTGCCTTGATTCTTTCCAGAAAATCGTGTTGAGCTTGTTCTGGTAGTCTGTGTTGATGCTGATGGGACAATAGATTGATGTGATTGAACAGAGTGATGATTGACTGTATCATCCCATTCTTTTTCTTCTAGCAATTCCCACTCGGCACTTGCCATTTCCCCGAGAAGATTGGATTTCAAGTTATCCACCATCTTGGTTGGAGTTGGGAGCTTCCACATTCGCATAAACTCAACTCCTTCTGATGCTCCCAGGAAAGAATGTGCCGTGCCATGGGAATAGTGACCCAGCATGGGGAAAGAAGTTGTCCGCTGGATCGTTGTTTTGGGTGAGTCTTTGACGGGTCTTTTCTGCGTGTCTCGGCCTGCAAAGGCTCTCAAAGTTGAAGGAGGCGGAGCGACCAGCAATTGCCACAAGCCTTTTCCAATATCGCACACTTCCTCCCAGGAATCCGATGATAGATTGATTCCTTGCGTTCGACATAGCCATGCAACATTCCATGCCAAAAGGGTAGCACCTTCAAGAAAAAAGGCGTATGTTGCGGGGTCCTCCTTCGCTAGCCGGGGTAGGGGCTTGTCAATGAAAAGAGGGCGCGGGCGCGGGGTGGCTAAGTCCGCCGTTTTTGTCAGGTTTGATGACTGGTAATCGGTTCTGTTGTGGCCGTTGCGGGAGCGATATGATGCTAGAGGGGTGTAGATCGTAGGTACAGGGTAGTTTTTGTGAGGCAGTGTGATTTCAGCGGGGAGTCTTAGAGAGAGGTAATGTGAAACAATGATGAGAAGATGAGCGATGTTAGCGAGAGACGTAGATATCTGTTCGTGTGGAATACCTATAATCCTGTCAGCACGTGAACTGCCTGCTAATCAGTGCCAGACTTGCCATTCATATCCCTCAAGTCAACAATGAAACCACATCCTAGCAAATATGTCTCCCGACTTTGGCTCTTCTTGATTTTCCGTAGGCCATAGAGGTCGGCAACTTCTCGACAAAGATAGATACGCGACTCTGCTGTTTTGCTATGAAGCGAATGCCAGACGTGCTCCACGCGTTTGCTAGTGTTCTGGAGGCCCGCCAGGATTCCGGTTTCCCTTTCTACCAGCTGATACCTGGCAGATACAGCATCTGAGCGTCTGCGTGCCAAGGCTTCTTTTCGCTTGGCAATCTCGGCTTTTTTGGCATCAATATCTGATCTCAAAGCCTGAAGCTGGTGTCCAAGCAATTCTCTCCTCACCAAAGACTCTGTATGGTCATTGCTTATCGTTTGAATCTGCCAGCAATGTGTGAGCTCCGTCCCGAGCGGGAGCTGGCCAGAGCTAATGGCGGTTTCAATTTGCTTTTCGAGACATTCTTTCTCCAAAAGAACTTGAGTGTTATTGATCCGTAGTTGATATAGCTGGTTGCGGGCACATGTTGGACAGTGGAAAGAAAGGCGGGCATGGGAGGCTCGTGAGCATATAGAACAGCTCATGACAGATAATTTGATTTCAGCTGTTCTGTAAGAGTGAAAGTTGCATTTCCATGTTGCGTTCTGGGGTATGGTTATGGGGACTTGAGTCGCCGTCGAGAATCATCTAGACGAGTAAGGATGTCACAAAAAAGATACAAACCCCACATGACTCAAGAGACTGTGCTATTATGAAGGATATGACCTCAAACTCAACGTCTTAAGTTGACATCATATCTGAGACAATATTTTAACGTGTACGGAGTAGGAGGGAAGGGACGAGAAGAAAGATGGATGTGCCTCTCCATGACGCACGGGTAGCCGAAATACGGCAATACGGAGGCATTACATACGATACGTACAGTCAGTCCGCGAAAATGGTCAGCACTCCTTACCTACAGTCAGTAGACATAAGTATTTGCACCCCCGCCCCACACCTGTAGTATTACATAATATTCTGCCGGCATAAAAACAATCGCATATATCATGATTGTCTCTAATAACCAGATATAAATGCAGGGAGTGGTGCCAGGAGGTAAAAAGATGATAATCTGGGCTATCCATCTCGAAAAAGCAGTTTTATCTACGGTTTGAGGGCGCTCTACTCATAAACACTATCCGTGTCAAGAAGGCGGTGTAGGCGGTGAATGGTGTGGGGCCAATGGGGGTGCAAATACTTATGTCCAGTCACTGTAGGTGGTCTGCTGGACAATCTCCACGAATTAAAGACTGATGATAGCGGGCGGCATAACAATTTAGGCAGGCGGTATAGTTACTTAAGTAGGCGGTAGCAAAGGGGGTATTACAACATTTGCGGTGTCGCTGTATCTACCTACCTACTCCGTACACCTGGCTAACCAGCAGAGCAACCAGCACGACTAACGCAACAATCAGTCATAAAGATCCTGTTATGTCGATGCTGTGATCTAGGTAGCTGGCTTAAACTTCTCAAGGGTATTTGCATTCGTGGTCAATGCGTCACAGCTACCCAAGACAACACAGGCTTGTCTGACCTGTATGACGTGATTCTAATTTTGACGAAGGAATCCATAGAATGTATTTGCACGATTGGGGATCTTGTCATATACAAGTGAAGGACTTGAACGAGTAACAAGTTCAATAGAACATACGCCAACATGATGGGATTTGAGGGTGGAGATGGTTACATACCTACCTCCTAGGTACGGAGTAGGTAGGTAGTCATTACATGGGCAAGAACCTACTCCACAACGGATAACATCCATGTGGATATCATCTTCTTTATCTCTCAACGGCAGACGGCCAGTTCTTCTCCTACTCCCCTCCTCTTTCCTCATCTCTCGATATTTCACCGACATAGCCCTTCCATGGCATATCAGTACCTAGAAAACTGGTCCATAAACTCCGGCAATCTCGAATATGCGAGATACTGTGGAAAGTGAGATAACACAAGACAAACACAGGTCTTATCGGTGATACAGGCGACGACGGATGCCAATTTTGACTTTAGGTGTATTGCCTTGTATCCTTTTCCGTCTTTCCTTTGTGGATCTGTTACTTCGGAGTGTACTTTCCCCAAGATTTAGACAGTTACAAAGAAAATTTAAGAAAATTTAATTGAAATGACAATGAAATGGATCATTAGGAGGTTAAATAAAAATATGGTCTAAGAGAGAAATCAAGAACGTTGGTGGAGTACAATATCACTGCTTTGAAAACAAGTCTAAAAGTGCTTCATACATAGAGCTACGCTCACACAGGGATCCTTCAAGCCGTTATATACACCTGGGTCTCCAAATTGAATACGGTTGACTCAAATAAGCCTATATAGATAGATGATATCTACATACATAGGGTCTCAAGAAATGACCCTTTCCTTCTTTGTTTTACGATTCTTTGAGGGAGAATGAAGGAGAGGACGCTAAGTTGGGATAGCAAGACTCGATAGATAGTAGGTAGGTAATCAATATAACTTTCATGAGTCGCATCGCAAGGCTTTCAAAAGATGATTCAACTTACTGACTTTTATTAGATAGAGCGTGTTTCTTCTTCCATATATTCCGCATCTTCTTTTATTGCTCTTTTAGTCTTCGGTTTTCTGCTGTTTGCATGTGCCTACGTGAGTTGAAACCCAACAGATGAATGCGTGAATTTAATAACGAGAACCATGTCATATTATTTCACATATCAGAGAATATTATGGCTTTATCACAACAACTGTATCCTTCCAAGTCTCGCAATCCGTGGTAGTGTTTCAACGCTTTGGATTAGGATTATATCTGATTTTTAATAATATTAGCATGATCTGGTAACATCGCCTACAAACCTTACTTCGGGGATTTGAAATCGTTATAAGACAACAATTATAGTGTTGAATAGGTAATATCAAACAGAGCTACCTTAGCCTACCTAGGTGAGGTTTATAGGCATCTTAAGATTAAAGCAACCTTGGAACATATCAACCTGGGGAGATGATACATGATTAAAGTATTAGGATAGAATAGTAGTATTAAAAGAGTCAAATAATGACAATCAAATCATGGACACACAAAAATATGTAGTAAATCAGTACGGAGTAAATACAACAATGCGATGTATTTATATCTCCCATACCAAATGTCACCTGATGCCCTGTTATCGTGGATCTTATCACTTAGATAGCAAACAACAGCGACACGATTGATTGTTTTGTTTCAAAGCAACTCCACATTTAAACAATTCACTATGCAGTCAACACCTAATAAGACTAGCAAAATCCCTCGACCTGGGACAATGTCACCTAATGTCAACCAAGGAAGCAAAAGCCCAGGCAGTGGAAGCTCTCAGAGCAAAAGCCCTCAATCGCCAATTGAAAGTGCAGCTATCCCTGTCCACGATGAATTTCCACCTGTCTCGCATTTGACCCAAGACCTTGAGAACTACACCTGGGAACAACTCCAAGGAAAATACGCTGATGTAATGGAGGAACACTGTCGAGTGGAAGAGAATCTTCGCGTCGAAATATCTAAGCTTCTTGAAGTAAGTTTTGGAAGCATACACCTTGCTTCTGTCTAACGAATGTTAGGTTTTCATGGTCTGGTCTCAAACCACCGTTACACAAGATGAGAATAGAGCTTTGAAGAGGTTGGACCTTGATCTGGGAACAGGAAACAAACGGCTAACTTTCTGCAGATTCAAGACTCAGATGCAGCATGTCCAAAACTCCGAAGGCAATGTCCAAAATAAAAAAAAGCATTGTAAGTATCTCGTACTCTCTTCGAACACAAGGTCTGATCATACATCTGCCTCAAAGATGCGGAGGTAGTGAAGGCTTTCCAGAACGCGCTCGCTTTGCTCAATGAACAGCTTAAGGTCTAAGCGCCGGATACATTTATGCAATTATGAGATTACGTCTTGTCCTCTCGAATGGATATATTTTATGAATGAGTTAAACCAGAGAGGAAAAAAAGCCTTCTGTACTTGAATTCTCTGGCCTAGGAACACCAATAAATGCACTACAGGAACGAGAATAAGAATGACAATCGAGACCTCAGAGAATCGGATGGGAGATTGTTACAGCGTAGAAGACTTGAGTTTTCCAACAGCTTTGGCCGCTAGGTTCTGATCCCAAGCCACCATCGTTGGCAATGCCTCGAAGATTAGCGCTGAGGGCTTTGACTGCGGACAGCTCGGGTTGTAATGTCTTGCCAGTTGGCATTAAAGCGTCTGCCGGTATTGGCTAATAAACCTTCCTCCTCAGCTTCTTCGGCATCCTCATCCAGTTGCGCCTCATCTAACTTAGGTGAACGGAGAAGGGAGGCAACGAAGACAATGAGATACAAGCCTACGGGGTCTGTCAATACGAAGATATCAAAATGCCACAAGAATCGGTCTTACCTAGGAAGAAGAACTGTGCCCAAAAGAATACCACCCCAAAGTACGGGTAGTGAATGGTCACTCGATTCAAGAATGTGCTCACAACACTGGGTGTGCAGACTTGTTGTGCAGCAGAAGATTTCGCCAGCTCGGAACATGGTTTGATGAGTTCTTTGTTGTTTGAGCAGTCTGCAACGAAAGGTGAAGGGTCACGATCACAAAATGTTTGTGGGCCAAACGTGGCATATTGAGGGGCGACTATCATCGAAATGGAATAATTCAAAGCTAGAATTATTAGCATTAACATGGCCGTGGCTAAGAGGAGAGCCTGAGGAGATGTGTGGCTTTTTCTGATTTGAAAGATTCTGATCCATAGGAAGCGGATGCCGACCACAGCAATTCCGACCACAGAGCTGCAGAAAAACAGCAACACAAGAAATGTGAATATAGCATAGTCAATGGGGAAAAACTTGGCGGATTGAACGAGCGCCCAGTTGACTGGGTTGAAAATGTTGACATGTGCGAGGATGTATCCACAACGATGCTTGCAAATCGAGTTTTTTGCTTTGTCAATTGCTGTCAAGAGCATGGATACCCATGTGAAGAAAGCAATAAATAGCAGTAAAATACCTCCTAGGAGCTTGAATGGGCGGAGAATAGCTCCAATCTTGTACCAAGCCTTCATCAACCAACTTTGACCCACGCCTTGATGTTCTTCGGCCAGACGTTGGCGGCGAATCAGGGTTCTCTCATCCCGCACTAGAGTATCAAGCTCTCGACGGTCCTTGGAGGATAGAAGCACAGGATCTCCAGCACATCGACCTTCGAGCTGCCGTTGTCGCTCTTGATTAATCTCGAGTTGTTGCGTAGTGCTCGCTAGCAAGGTTGCACTGGAGATTGATGGTGCAGTCTTTATCAGAGTGACTGGCAACAGGGCCAGTCCCACAGATGTATACAATACATAAAGACAAAGCCCAATTGTCATCAATAGCCCAAGGCTAAAGGTGAGAGCACGCTCGCCATCTTTTTGTGGGATATGTCAGTTTCGAGTATTCTAAACGGATAAAATAACTCACGATTGTCGGTCAGTAACCGCCTGAAGTAGTCCAGATCCATGTCACTTTTGCCTTGAACCGGGATGAAGAACCCTACTAGGAATAGGATCACAACAATCACGACGAATGAAAACGTGTATTTGAGAGCGCCCCAAATCCGTTGGCCCACGGTTTGCTCCCCTGCCTCGGTCGCAACCTCATCAAATTCCTCATACCAAAAATATGTGAAGGGAATGACCAGCAGACAGAGGAAGGCATCCAAGGAGTAGAGGAGGTAATAGATAATGGTCAGAGAATAAGTGATTCTGTCCACCACATCTTGTGTTGCCCAGTCCTTTCGTTGGCCCAACTGGGGCGACGTAGTTGATGATACCAGAGCAATATCAACAGGTAGCAGGAGCACAGTAGCCAGAAGACTGGTGATCGAAATGATGCAAGTCAAGGTGACTGAAGGTGAGCGGTCACGGGGAGTTTGGTAGACATAGATAAACACCGAAGCCACTGCTAGTAGAAGAGCTACCACTACTGCATACACAATCCAGATGAAAGATGTTTGAAGGAGCGCCATATTGAAAAGGAGCAGCTCACACTCTGCACATTGACGATAGTCTGCATGAATCGAGCACAGGGCCGATGTATCAAGTACAACAATCTCCTGGCTGGCAATGTCGTCATTGTCAATTGTACGCTAGCCCTTTCTTAGGTACATGCAGGAAAGGGCGGTGGGATTTGTCCGGCAGAACCTTTTAGCCGCTTCCAAGGTTGGTTCTGCCAGGCCAGTCAGCTGACCCACTTCTATCTCCGCTCTGCTTCGGCGAAGGAGCTACAAGACTGCATAAAACAAAAAAATCAATCTTGATTCTGATCAGAACTCGTGTCTTCAACAGGATTTTATGTGATTTCTTCATTTTCTCTTTTCTCCTCTATTTGGCACTAGGACTTCACACTCTCAGGTTTCTACTGAAGTTTGCAATTGCAATGTGCATCTCAAGCCATATCAAAAATACAACCTAGCCCAGTCAGAACTTTCCAAGAACTTTCCAAAACAAGGCATTTCGCTTAGCGGGCGGAAAATGCAGTGCTATACGGAACTATTGCCACCTACGGGGGTTACTCATGCTTTGGCAGTTCCTTTCACCTCACCAACTGCCAGAAATCTAATTGTTGTCAGAACCTCCCTGTTGCAGGTTTTCTCTTTGGTTCAAAATTTGCAGAAGAAGGACTTGGAGCTTCCTTTTTCAAAGCAACCAGAGACAAAACTCGTACTTGAAAAAGAATACCCGTTATCTGGAACCGTGACTGATTTGAGCCGAGTCAAAATACTGAACACTAAGAGTGGGGGAGAAGCCATTCTGATTGCAATCCGCAATGCTAAACTCAGTTTAATTGAGTGGGACCCCGAGCGTTATGGAATCTCAACAATTTCCATCCATTACTATGAGCGGGATGATCTGACTCGCAGCCCTTGGGTGCCTGACCTGAGCCGGTGTGGGAGCATTCTGAGCGTTGACCCAAGCAGTAGATGCGCGGTGTACAACTTTGGCATTCGAAACCTTGCTATCTTACCCTTCCATCAGGCAGGTGATGACCTGGTTATGGATGACTACGAACCAGAGCTTGACGGAGATCAGGACCCGCTGAGACACAGGGAGAGCAATGGACCAGTGCACCAAACACCTTATTCCTCATCTTTTGTCTTGCCATTGACTGCCTTGGATCCTTCATTACTGCACCCTATAAGCCTTGCATTTCTCTACGAGTACAGAGAACCGACATTTGGAATATTGTATTCTCAAGTTGCAACCTCCACTGCTCTCCTCCATGAGAGAAAGGACGTGGTATTCTATGCTGTATTCACGCTGGATCTCGAGCAGCGAGCGTCTACTACGCTTCTTTCGGTATCTCGTCTTCCAAGTGACCTGTTTAAAGTTGTGGCACTCCCACTCCCAGTAGGAGGTGCTTTGCTTCTTGGCTCCAATGAGATTGTTCACGTGGATCAAGCTGGCAAAACCAATGCGGTTGGAGTCAATGAGTTTTCTAGGCAGGTTTCTTCATTCTCAATGACCGACCAATCGGACTTGGCGTTCCGTCTCGAAGGTTGTGTAGTTGAGCGACTTGGTGGTGATAGTGGTGATCTCCTCTTGGCACTTGCATCTGGCGACATGGCACTGATCAAATTCAAGCTCGATGGCCGTTCTGTCTCCGGCATCGTGGTCCATTCTCTCCCAGCGCATGCCGGCGGAAATATTCTGAAGTCGGCCGCCTCATGCTCCACCTGTTTTGACGATGGAAATGTCTTTATTGGAAGCGAGGATGCCGATTCGGTGCTCTTAGGATGGACTTCTGTCTCCAAGAAGCAGATTGAGTCAAAGCAATCCGCAGCTGATGATGATATTTCGGATGATGTCGATGACGACGATCTTTATTCCTCAGCGCCTGGACTCACAGAGATCGATAATTCCATGGCAACCAACCACTCGACCGCCGAGTATTATAATTTTCAATTGCACGATCAGCTTTCTAGCATTGGGCCCTTAAGGGATATTACGTTAGGCAAAGCTTTCTCACCTTCAAACAAAGCAGTTACAACTGCTGCCGCAGAACTGGAGTTGGTGGCATCTCAGGGTTCGGACAGAGGTGGTGGCTTGGTGGTCATCAAACGCGAAATCGATCCTTTGACTACTATGTCTCTGAAAGTCGACGGTGCAGATGGAGTTTGGTCAGCCAGTGTTACACAAAGAAGAACCTCTGGCACTGACAATCCGTCGCGTCGATATGTGGTTATCTCTCGGTCTACCGAATCGGAACAGGAGGCGAACGAGGTCTTTGTCGTGGAGGAACAAAACCTGAAGCCTTTCAAGGCATCGGAGTTCAATCCAAACGAAGATTGCACGATTGATATTGGATCTTTGGCAGGCAATACTCGTCTAGTTCAGGTTCTGCGGAATGAAGTCAGGAGTTACGACATAGGTATGTGCCCTCGAATCGAAGGTCAACGCCGAAGCTAATATTTTAGATTTGGGGTTGTCACAAATATACCCAGTCTGGGACGAAGATACTAGCGATGAGCGCGTGGCTGTGAGCGCAAGCTTTGTTGACCCCTACCTCTTAATAATTCGCGATGATTCATCAGTATTGCTCTTGCAGGCGGATGCAAGTGGCGACCTCGATGAAGTTGCGCTTTCAAACGAGATCAACACGTCACAATGGCGCTCCGGGTGCCTTTATCACGATAATTTCCAGTCATTCCGTGCGACGGCCTCCACAGAAGGCGAGGTGCTTCTGTTCCTATTGAGCCTAGAGAACAGGCTTTCAGTAAGCATTGCACACAGAAAATTCCAGGAATTCATTCTAATCTCAATAGATCTTCCAACTCTCTGATATGAAGCTGGTCGCGGTCATTGAAGGGGTCGACTGTCTGCCACCCATACTGTCGACTGAGCCCCCTAGACGATCTAATAACAGGGAAAGTCTCACGGAGTTCGTCATTGCAAATCTGGGTGACGGTGTCAGCCTTTCGCCTTATCTGATTGTAAGAGCCACTTTCGCAGTTCCACGATTTGATTTCTGACCCAGGGACTATAGGTTCGAACCGAAAATGATGATCTCGTGTTCTATAGACCCTGTCTTGCAAATGCCGAACATGGTTCGTCTCGCCTGCGATTAATCCGGGAGCCAAACAATATTCTACCAAAAAGTTCAGAGAAACAAGCACCAAAGCAACGACTGAGACCACTGAGAGTCCTTCCAAATGTCTCAGGATTCAGTACTGTTTTTATGCCGGGAGCTTCATCAAGTTTTGTTTTTAGGACTGCGAAGAGCCCACCACACGTGATTCGTCTGAGAGGCGACTTTACATGTTGGCTAAGTAGCTTTGATTGGGCTGATGCTGGCTGCGAGAAAGGGTTCATTTATGTAGATTCTCAGGTCAGTCCCCGTCCATCGATGATGCTACTGGCTAATTTATCTATAGAGCTGCATCCGAGCTTGCCAATTGCCTCCGCAAACCCAACTTGACTATTCGTGGACATTGCGCAAAGTGCCAATTGAAGAGCAGGTTGACTTCTTAGCATACTCAACATCTTCTGAGACATATGTCCTCGGTACAAGCCATCAAGGAGACTTCAAGTTGCCAGAAGGTGACGATTTGCACCCGGAGTGGCGAAATGAAGGTTCGTGGTCAATCCTTTTGTCGCTGCTGCCGCTAATAATATCAAGAGCTATCCTTCTGTCCCAAGATACCCGAAAGCAGCATCAAGGTCGTCAGTCCAAAAACGTGGACGATCATTGACAGGTATGCCCCTTCCAAAATACCCCCAGCCACAATTCTAACGTTCCAGCTATCCTCTGGACCCTGATGAGCAGGTGACCGCAGTCAAGAATGTGAATGTTGAGATATCGGAGAATACACACGAGCGGAGAGATCTGATTGTTGTCGGAACTGCTATCGCCAAGGGGGAAGACATGCCAGCCCGTGGAACCATATACGTCTTTGACGTGATCAAGGTGGCTCCGGACCCCGAGAAGCCAGAGACTGGTCGCAAACTTAAACTGGTCGGCAAGGAGTCCGTGAAGGGCGCAGTGACCGCATTGTCTGGCATCGGCGGTCAAGGATTCATAATCGTGGCTCAGGGACAGAAGTGTATGGTTCGCGGTCTCAAGGAAGATGGAAGCCTTCTTCCCGTTGCCTTTATGGACATGCAATGCTATGTCAATGTTGCAAAAGAGCTCAAAGGCACAGGAATGGTCATCTTGGGGGATGCCGTGAAGGGACTGTGGTTCGCTGGCTACTCAGAGGAGCCCTACAGAATGACACTATTTGGCAAAGACCCTGAATATCTGGAGGTGGTGGCAGCTGACTTCCTCCCGGATGGAAACAAGCTTTACATGCTAGTCGCTGATAGCGACTGCAACCTGCACGTCCTTCAATACGACCCTGAAGACCCCAAGTCTTCTAACGGTGACCGGCTACTCAGCCGAAGCAAATTCTACACCGGCAACTTTGCATCCTCGATAACCCTTCTGCCTCGCACAGCGGTTTCATCGGAAATCGCCGAGACCGAGGATGCAATGTCCGATGAACCCGCTCTCCATCATGTTCTCGTCACTTCGCACAACGGATCCCTAGCGCTTGTGACGTCCGTCGCCGAGGAGTCATACCGTCGGCTATCAGCACTACAGTCTCAACTCATCAACACAGTCGACCATCCTGCCGGTTTGAACGCACGTGCTTTCCGGGCTGTCGAGAGTGACGGCGCCGCGGGTCGTGGTATGGTCGATGGCAATCTACTGCGTCTGTGGCTGAACATGGGCAAGCAACGTCAAGCCGAAATTGCGGGTCGTGTCGGTGCGACGGAATGGGAGATCAAGGCCGACTTGGAGACTATTGGTGGTGATGGATTCGGATATCTGTGATGTGCCAGAGTAGAAACCAAAAAGAAAGCACTGGAGCTTGCTCAATTTGTGACTGGCCTAGCCGTAGATAATCCTACTTACGCGGAGATATGATCAGCCCAAAATGGGTAATATATTGATGGCCATAAGAACATTTAGAAGGCTCTCATGCACCGAAGAAGCTCCATCCCGATATAGCAGAGATCATAACACAGTGGGATATAACCAGACCAAAAACCCCAAACCAGTAAATAAAAATCCCAATCCAGTCCGTGGGTAATCCAATCCAAACCATCCAAACCCTAGAATCCGACGTGAATAAAAGAAAGAAAGAAAAGAAAAGAAAAAAGAAAAAAGAATCAAGCCAAAACACCTTAGCACACCATTTTCGCCTGGTTGTACGGTTCAAACCCCAAGGACAAGACAGGACAACACTGGAGTCCGTGTCTGTTTTCAAACCAGGACCTTGGGAATCGTCCCACATCCATCCATGAGGATCAATATCAGTAACACGTTCATGTCAGCATGGAACCATGTGGGTTGTCGATGGACAAACACAAATCGAAGTCTAGAAGAAAGCAGGAGAGAAAAAAAAAAGAAGAGTGGTGGTTTCCCACAGGTTTAGAACACATCTTCTGCGGCAAAATAGCGTTTGCTGCGGCCTCTAGAGGCTACGAACTTCATTTCAGGCATGTTGGTATGATGTACCACGTGCGGCCGATAGACAGCGTCAACAGGGGCTTGCCAATCATCCAATCCAAGAGGAAAATACTCGTAGAGGAGATCGGTACTTTCGTTTGGAAAGGGGAGCGACGATGCAAATGGTTGGGGCAGATTAGCAGTCTCTAGCAAAGGCATGGATGAGGCAACACTTCGCGAGGGGGTTTGAGAGACAGCATGAGAAAGTTTACGCATCTTAGAGGGCGGCACGGCCTGATCCAAACTAAGTGACCGCTGGTGTGGCATCTCGGTGGCAAAAGGAGACACCATCTTTTGATCAAGGTGGAGATTAGGATCGCTGCCTTCTTCCTCGTCCAGCAATGACAAATTGATCGGCGCAGCCGCAGCGGCGGTAGTGGTGCTGGCCCGACGTTGGGACTCTGTGGCTTGGGAGAGCTGGTCTGGACTGGATTGAGGAAACATGGTCTGTTGGGGATGGGGCATGATATTGTTGGATGTGGTCTGCGGCATGGAAGTCCAGTCCGGCGTCGCCTGGGGCTGCTGCATAAGGCTGGGCGGGGGAACGGATGTCGTTTCGGGGGAGCTGCTTTGTGCGGGCTTCGCCTTGGCTGGAGTCACGCTGGCACGACGAGGAGCGGAATCGCCCGTTGGCGTGCGATTTATGGTGGAATTTGCGGAAGCGGCTTGTGCATTCTTTCGAGAAGCGGCGGCACTCCCGCTGAGTGGAAGATCCTTGCGCGATTGGAAGTTACGTGGGCTACGACCACGAACGATGACGGGACCCGACTGCACCTCTGAGATTGGGATCTTCGCACCGGTGGACAAAGTCGCCACCACCTTGAGCCGGACAACAAAGTGTTGCTGTAACTCCTTGCGGCGACCATTGTTGGCGGTCGCAACACGGAATTGTAGCCGTTTCCACGCAATAGGGAAGGTCGCATAATCCGAGTCCAAATCCTGGCCTGCCATGATGTCCAGCGGGATTGGGGGAGGTTCCTTCTCGATCTTGGCACCGGTGCTAGTAGTATTTTCCTCGGGCGCCGTGCCAGAATTGGCGGCAGCCGCAGAGGGAGTCTTCCAGGGCACCGAGATAATCTTCACGGGGTTTCCTTCCACGGATTCTGTCGCCGAGACGGTGAGCTCCTGAGCGAGGATCGGAATACGGTCGCCTTGGTCGGTCATAATGTAGCGCATGCCGCGCGGCAGAGTTACCGAACCGGTGATTTGAAACAAATTGCGACGATAGCATGTCAACTCAGCGCCTTGTTGGGGTGGGGCGTTTTCTGAAGGGGAGGTTGTATAAGGTGACTCGGCCAAGAAGAACATTCCATGCAACTGCGCCGACACCGATAACGAGGCTCGTCGCATTGAGTAGTCGAGGAGTGTAAAATGATATACCGGTAGTGAGAAACTTAAGAGTTTATTGTTGTGGTCGATCGACGAATCCTGGGGTTGCTCCTGGGGTGTTGGCTCAAAGGGCGCGGCCATCTCGGTAAAGGGGTCATCGTATGCAGAGGGAAAACGTCTTTGACCTAACAGATTAGGAGGCGCGAAAGCGAGATCCTCGCTGTTGTAGGTTAGTATTTGAGGAATCACAGTCGAGCGGAGTAGGATGATCCACCCCCTCTCGTCCCACTTCGAGATCTAATCACCCACCTCACAAAGGTCTCGGAATCAAAGTTGGAACGATGGTCAGGCAAATCTAGGCCTGACATTGCATTGAGATAATCGGCATTTTGCAAGTTCCCTAGTGACAACGGGCTGGCCAGATATGGCAGTGCCGCCATGGTATCGAAGCCCTCCATGGTGAGAGCTTGTGCGATACGGAGGCGCACGGGGTGAGAAAGATGGAATCAAGAGACAAAGAGGGGGAGAGAGAGAGGAGAGCAAAGAGGAGAGGCAGGAGAGGAAAGAAGCGAAGAACGAAGAGAAGAACAAGAGGTCGAAACGAAAAGACTGGGGAATGCTGCAAGCAAGAGAATAGGCTAAGGCGGAAATAAAGGCGGAGAGGACATTTGAGACGGAAGAAGGTAAAGTGGATAGGAAGGGTCGAAGAGAAAGAGAGGGCCCCCGAAGAGGGGGAGGAATCTCGACTCTCCAAACGATCAACGGATTCGGGGAAAAGTGGAGCCGCGGTTTTTGCGGAGAACGAACGCAGCGCTGAGTCAGGATTTCTATATTAATACCTACATACCTGTAGATCCAGGAGCGTTGACTCTGAGGGATAGGGACGAGGGCGTTCTGATATCCTGGACTCCAGAAGTACGGAGTCCATGGCTCATTAAACCCGCACTACCCACCTGCCTATTGGAGGACGCTTCGGGTCGACCTGAAAACGCCACTCATCTGCATAGAACACAAGGTACGGAGTACATAGAATCAGAGTGGCCACGAATCCAATCAGAACATCTTCCCTCTGGAATGGGGGAGAAACGCCAAATCAGGAGATTCGGAAGTTTGCCGGTGCAGAGATACTCTCAAGCTTTTCATGTGAGCCGTCGGTGCATTTACCCGATTCATTTTCTCTTTCCTTTCTTCTTTTCTTTGCTTCTTTGCTTCGTTGCTTCCTTGCTTCGTTGCTCTTTTCTCTGTTCTCTTCTTGCCTCTTGCTTTTTGCTTTCAACTCGTTCCCGATGCGGCCTCCCCATTCAAGTCTCGCATACGGCAACGGTGTCGACGGAGGACCATTCCCGGAATCGCAGATAACAGGAATGTGGGCACTTGTACAACTGAGGGATTTTCCCTTTTTTTTTGGTTTCTCTCGGATGCCATTTGAGCTCCGAAACCCCAACTGAGACGAACTCTGTATATAAGCTGAGAAACCTTGAGAACAAATGCCTAAACCCTCTCTACCCATGTACGGAGTACTCCGTACAGGACTTGCCAAAGCGGAGTCCGTGACAATTTCCCCCAAAGTGCCTTTCCCACGGACGTCCGGTCCAATCACAATTTCTACGCTTTTTCCATTGAGAATACTTATACTCCGACGGTCGATCCTGACTTCGCCCGTGACTTCCATTATATACGGAGTTCTCCGTTGATATACCGGTCGCTTCCTCAAAGAAAAAAAAAGAAGAAAAAAGGGTGATGTGTAGATGGCAATTGATTGGACCGAATGACGAACAGACTTTCTGTCTGACCTGCCAAGGGCCCAGAACATACAAAGGCGAACACTCTTCACACTAGCTGATCCCGGATCGGGTGCACCAGAGAATTGGATCATATTTAAAAATGGGAAAACAACCAAAAAAAAAATTCGAAATGGGGGCATAAAACCAAAAGACCAAACCCAATGCGATATGGATATCATGGAGGAAAACAAGGTGTAGAAAGGAAAAGAACGGAATCAAATCGGATCGGATCGCTTCAACTACGCATGCATCATCGTCCACGTAGCTGCATCACAGTTTACTTCCTCAAAGCTGTGTAGCATCGTGAAGCCCATCGTGGAGAGATGGTCAAAGTTGCCGTCGCCATCGACCTGTGTTTGATTAGTTGATGAATGAGGGAGAACCCGGGGGAAGCAAGCGAAGCACCTACACAGTCCATAACCACGGCATTGGCACTCAACTTTCGGATCTGCTTGATAGCGAGCAGAATCAAACCCTGCATAACCGTCGAGTAATCTTCCCCGCAGGGAGAAATGACCGGGGAAGAAATGCCCCCGACAGGAGCCTGGCTAGCTCGCAGCACGGGCATATGTTCCGCCAAGACGGATCGCTCATTGTAGATCACGATGCTCCCGAGTATGACCCCGTCGGAGGGCCGCTTGGCCCGGATAATGCCGCAGTTGGGTGCACCGCCTAGAGCCATGCGGTAGATGTCGGCCACGCCCTGCCGCGCATACGTTTTGATGTGGTCGAGGATCGCGCGCGCAAAGTCCCAGCCATACACGAGATCGTAGGTGACCTCGGCACCCTGCAAAGTGACCGAGAGTCCGTCGGGCGGCACCCAGGATGACAGGTTGCGTAAAATTACGCTACAGACCGGCCGCGAAAGTGCGGTGTTCCACCCCAGATTCGCGAACCATTGCCGTAGCCGCTTGCGCTCGACAGGGTTGACGGTCGGGATCCCCAGGTAGATCCCCGGTAATCGGGATCCCAGCTGGAAGCGCCTCATCCCATCTCGTTGGAGTAGAGTCCGGATGGCACGACTGTGAAGAGAATGGCCAATTGACAATTTCCTTCGAGAGGGATCCACGATCAAACATCCAAGGACCCCGGTGCCTGTTGACCGAAAGAAGTAGGTAGCACAGAATCCATATAGGGCCTGCGTGCTACTGTTCCGGACAACGAAGTGGGCCTCGTCGATATCCTCGTTTCGCAGCAAGAAGCTATTGGCGGTAGCTCCGAGAAGTTCTGACCGCTGGCCAGGTGCACAGTCAGTACGGATGGTGTCAAGCAAAGCATCTAATGCGAAAGAGTCGCGATCTTCGTTCCAATTTTCAACGAGCCAGTGCTGTCGGGACTGATGGATCTTTTGCGTTCGACCAATCGAACCCGGCAGGGCCGCTGAAGGTGTCAGATCGCCATACAAGACCTTGACCAATGCTTGAAGGGCAGTTTCTGTGAAGTCATAGGTGCATATATAAGTACCAATCGAGGAATCCATGGCAAAATCGTATGGGGAACTGACTGCCACCACAATTAATGGTTTTTCGCGGCGCTCCCCAGACACCGATTGGCAGATCATGGAGACATGTTTTGAGAACCCTTGCTGATACAAATTGCGGTTTGCATCTGCGGTGACAACGATCACAGCACTGGCTCGTTGGATGAGATCTTCATGAATAGGACGCACGCCGTTAGAGGTGTACGAGGTGTGCAATACGCGCCCATTCCTCTGCCGTGAGAGTGATCGTCCAAGTTCTTTGAAGACGCCCTCTCCACCTAGAATGGTGCGATCTGACTTCGGATCAGAGAAAGAGGCTGACGCCGGGAGTGGCTTGACCAATGGAGTCAGAAGCAAAAGCTCCTCGTTTGCCTCGATGATATTGGACAACGGAAGTAAATTATTCTTATCCCTCATCACTGTGATAGACGAGTTATAGGCTCGGGTTGAAAGATTCGTATGCGAGGGTTGCATCTGTGTAAGGGAAGAGAGCCCCGGAGGGTTCAGTGCTTGTTCCCACGAAGTACAGCGCGCCTTCAAATCCAAAACGCGGCGTAATGACTGTTCAATTCTTTGACGGCCAATGATACCATTCTCCACTCCCAGTTTCAACCCATTGATAGCTTCCTGCTGGACCGGAAATGACCGACATAAAAGGATGATATCGCAGCCAGCATTCTTTGCCATAACGGTGCCGCCCCCTACTCCAATGTTATGTGTGAGAGCCTCCATTTCCAGGCATTCTGAAACGACCACCCCTTGAAAATGAAGATCTTTTCGCAGAAGCTCGTCAACCACCTGGTCACTTAGACAGGCGTGCATCACATTCATTCCAGCAGATGATAGCGAGACGCCTCCAACCATCATGGCATCCAGACCCTGCGTTATAGCGTTGCGGAAAGGCACAAGAGCACTGAGGCTGAGCTGTTCCAGGGATTCCGTAATGATAGGGACGTCCGTCTGTGAGCCAAGGAACTCTAGATTACCGTAGGATGGGAAATGCTTTCCACAGGTCACCAAACCTGCTTCCTGGTACCCTTTCATGAATTGAACGCCGAATTGAGACGCCTCCTGGGGATCATCTCCGGCGGTGCGAACACCTAATGGTTGATTTCGCACATTGGTCAAAACATCCAAAACGGGCCCTAAGATCCAATTGACCCCGACGGCCTTGAGCTCCTGTGCTGTCGCAACAGCCACCTCGTGGGCCAAAGATTTGGACCCGGTCGCTGCAATCCCCATAGCACTAGGAAATTGTCGGATATATATTTCATCATATAAGCTGTTGACACCACCATTCTCCTGATCTAGAGCAATGAGTAGAGGAACCGAATGGCCTGCATCGCGGGCGACGGTCTGTAATTCCAGGACCAGTCCAGTTGCCTCTTCGGCCGCTGTAAACGCGTCAGTGACTGTCCTAATCGCAGCAAACAGTTTCGATACATTTTAAATTTTTCGCCGATAGTAGCACAGCACCCAAGTGATAATCCTCAATGAGAGATCGAATCTGTGGATTGACCGAAGTTCCATCAAACCCCATCATAAAGAGCTGACCCATCTGCCTGTGCCATGTTAATAGATGTCAGGAATTGCCCAAAGCGGAAGAAAGGTAGGTATCTATCTCCCGGTTGACAGCTAGGTTCCACAGTCAGGGGGGGATGCACCGACAAGGCGGATGGGGTTACGCCAATTGGGGGAGGGGGGAGGGGGGCAGATGAGCGAACCGAACGGAGTCCGAAAAAAAAGAAGGGGATCGCACCTGTCTAGATCTTCCCAGCCCGGGGGCAGCATGTCCTCTTTCCGGGCCATGGCCGGAGGAGGAATGCCTGCAACGGCCCAAGAGGTCGGATGCAGAGAGTGCAGTGTTGGAGGGCAAGATGTGGACCGAAAACGTCAGGCTGACAGGTCTCCAGGAATATGAAGCTAAGACTTGATGTACGTGCAGTCAGGTGACGGGGGGAAACGTTGCAGGAGTCAAAAAATGGAGCTTTGTCTTCTTCCCCCCCAGAGCCGCAAATGTCGGGGAAGAATTGGACCAGATAAGATAGGAGCTCCCGAGGTCAGAGTTTCCCCGCCCCAATTTTTGGAATAGGCAATTTGGGTCTGTTGTATCCAAGTCACGGGATCTTGGCAGAGTCTACATTGGAGGTACACGATAGTGTTGTCCAAGAGAACCAATGATGTTGAACCTAATAGAATGTACGGACGATCCGTCGGTAAGAGGTACCTGGTCCATGTCGTTCATGGATTCTACATCCATGTACTTGAAGATGCACATATCATTTTCGCAGAAAATACCATGCACGTTCCACGGGTACCTGTATGTAATCGTCGGTAATCGCCCATCCAGAAAATGTCCGAGCCAGGGTCACGTGGCTGGTATCAATACCCCCGAGCGGAAACCCATACATACCGTGTACGGTAAAGCCGTGACTACGACCCTGTAGGGTTGCACCGGGGAGTCTTTCTCATCCTCCAGCTTTTTACCGACATCCCCGGATGCAACTCCTACACTTCGCAGATGGAACCTTCAGTCATCAATTCCCACTTATTGGCCCAGGACTCCAGTAATAATCTCCTGTCCTCCATTTTCCCACTGCGTCATTGCATCCTTGGCTGTATTAGTAGCCACATGGAATACACCCGAATGGTCGGTCGATAGAAACCTTGGAATCGGCCGAATGAGGTAAACGGCTACTATCTTGTCCCGGGGTGGTCTCTTCCCTGTCAAGATGTGGTAGCCCGCGAACTAGTCCGAGGGGTTAATCCTCCCCTCCAATCATTGACATTGGGGCGCCGATGATACATTTGCAGAAGATCCATAGTCGTAGCACGTGGAGGCTGGCCTTATACGACGTGGAAGATCCTTTTGTCACAGTCGTACACTCCACCGACCTGGGACTGTAACCCATGGTCCCTCCTTCGAGGGATTGAGTCTGCCCAGGTGCTCTTTTCTTTTCGCCCATAGATACCAGCTGTCTCCTCGTTCTTTTCTTTCTCTCTTCTTTTCTTCCATAATTCTCATCCCTCCAAACTCTGACGTAACCATGTTCGTGACATGTGCTGCAATTCTAGCTAGTTCCTTGCTGATTGGCGTTTATACAGGCGTGTTATCATCAGAGAAGACCCTAGCTCGGTGTCTGTGTACATCGCAGACTACATAATCAGTAAGCTGGATCCTTAGATGTGCAATGCAAAGGCTAACCCGCTCTAGGCCGCATCCAGTCGTTCAAGCCAACCTCCGAGCAGCCATTCGTGCTTGGTCTGCCTACTGGCAGCAGCCCCGAGCTCATCTACAAGATTCTTGTGCAGCGTCACCGCGCCGGCGAGATCTCTTTCAAGAATGTCGTGACTTTCAACATGGTATGCGCAAGAAACATACAGGCAGACGATCTCGCTGACTCTATAGGATGAATACGTCGGACTTCCTCGCGACCACCCCGAGTCCTACCACAGCTTCATGTATAAGCACTTCTTTTCTCACGTGGATATCCCACCGCAAAATATCAACATCTTAGACGGCACCGCCTCCGATCCCATAGCTGAGTGTGCCTCGTTCGAAGCACGTATCGCCCGCTATGGCGGTATCGAGCTCTTCCTCGGTGGCGTCGGGCCAGATGGCCACATTGCCTTCAACGAGCCGGGCTCGTCACTGAATAGCCGCACGCGCGTCAAGACCTTGGCCTATGACACTATCGTGGCGAACTCTCGCTTCTTTGGCAATGACACTTCGAAGGTCCCCCGTATGGCGATGACTGTCGGTATCCAGACAATCATGGATTCCCGGGAAGTAGTGATCGTAGCCACTGGAGCGCACAAGGCGATTGCCGTGCAAAAGGGCCTCGAGGAGGGCATCAACCACATGTGGACTCTTTCCGCTCTACAGCTACACCAGCACCCGCTCGTCGTCTGCGACCGTGATGCCACTCTCGAGCTCAAGGTCAAGACCGTGCGATACTTTGAATCGATTGAACAGGGCGGGACCGATGCCCGCACGCAAGGCCCCGCCCTCGTTTACCGACCCCGAACCTACGTCCCGGCCCCACTGCTAGCCAAGAAAGCCAAGTCCCAGCCGACCGCTGACGGCACACCCGAGAAAGTGCCCAAGGATTTGCGCATCAACACTGAGCTGAAGCGCGCGATGGAGGACGAAGAACTCACACCGGACAGTATGTCCTCGCGCCTGGTGGATTCAGCCATCGGTGGCCTTGACGATACTTTGAGGAGTGACCTCATATTTGACCGCATGGGCACCAGAATCACTACCCTCTAAGGGTACCTCCAAATCTCTTCGCATTTCCTTCCGGGGTTTTCTATTCGGTTCCTTTTTTTTATGGGTCGGGATTATGGGTCCTATCTTTGCAAATGATATCTGTGGTTCCAAGGTTAAGGAGTTTGACTTTTCATTATTATTCCTGGTCAATAGATGGCCGACATTCTTGATATGCGATGCTTTTGAGAGAAGTGGTATCAAAACTTCTAGCTATGGATTATCCAAGCTGTGTACAATTATCAAATTTTCTTGTTGTAGCATGGTGTCGTATGGTGTGAATGTTGTATATACATATGTACATATACACCTCAAAGTACTCCTTTCAAATTAAACGAACCAGCCTATAACATAGTGGCACAAACTAGATTGAATTCTATGGCTAGATTGTCTCCATCTATACACTATGCTCCTTGCCTTTGGGTCATACATACGTTGCATGATTTATTAACATTATAGCTTGGCAAATACAGTGGCGACGGCACCGCTCATATCGACCAGAGTGCTTTTGTTCTGAAGCCAAGCCTCGATGCCGCGACGGCCGTTCTCCACGCCTAGACCGCTCTTCTTCCAGCCACCGACAGCCATCTCAGCAGGACTCTCACCCCACGTGTTTACCCAGGTGATACCCGCCTGTAGTTGATCAATGATACGATGAGCCTGGTTCAAGTTCTCGGTGAAAACACCGGCAGCAAGACCGAGATCAGTAGCATTGGCACGCTGCACGGCCTCCTCCACGGTGTCATAGTATAAGATGGACATAACGGGGCCGAAGATCTCCTCTTTGACGATGCTCATTGAGTCAGTGCAGTCGGTGAAGACCGTTGGCTGGACCCAGAAACCGGCCTGTAGATCCTTGGGCATAGTTGGCTTGTCGACACCACCACAAAGTAAGGTGGCGCGGTCTGACTCAATACCGTGGCGGATGTAAGAGACGACTTTATCATAGTGGGCTTGGGAGCTGAGAGGACCGAAATTGGTCTGATCATCGAAGAGCGGGCCAGCCCGCACGTACTGGATTTTTTCGAGCAAGCTCTTCTCGAAAGCAGCCTTCATGCCGCGTGGGACGAACACCCGAGTACCATTGGTGCAGACCTGGCCTGTGCTGTAGAAATTGGCCATCATGGCGCCATCGACAGCGTTTTCAAGCTGGGCATCTGGACACACAATCAATGGGCTCTTGCCGCCGAGCTCCATTGTCACATATTTCATGTTGCCCGAGGCAACACCTGCAACCTTCATGCCGGTCGAAACTTGGCCGGTGAAGGAGACCTTGGCAATGAGCGGGTGGCTGGTGAGGTAGGCGCCAACATCACCAGCACCATTGATAACGTTGAAGACACCCGCGGGGAGACCGGCTTCTGTGTAGATTTCTGCAAGGGTTTGACCATGAAGCGGTGTGAATTCACTAGGTTTATAAATCATTGTGTTACCGGCGGCCAAGCAGGCAGCGGATTTCCAAAGGGCACTATAAACGTTCAAGTCAGCTCCATCTTGCAGAGATGAGATATACAACGAACATCTGGATGGGGTAGTTCCAAGCACCAATGCCGGCACACACTCCCAAAGGAGACTTCTTAGTATATACCCAGGCATCCTCGCGGAGCTGGGTAGTTTCACCATTGAGACCACCCCCGCCAATGAAGTTGCCATAGTACTCTAAAACATCAGCGCCAGTCATGACGTCGACGGTGCTTGTCTCAGTATAGGCCTTGCCGGAGTCCAATGTCTCGATACGTGCGATTTCATCATTTCGCTCCCGTAGTAAAGCAGCGGCTTTGTGAAGAATCCGAGCGCGAGCAATCAGCGGTGTTTGGGCCCATGAAGGGAATGCTTGATCGGCAGCAATAATGGCAGCATCAGTATCCGCATTGGAGGCAATCTGGATGTCGGCTAGTGGAGTTGCGGTGGCAGGGTTGACGGTCTGGAAAGTCTTGCCGGAGGTCGCAGCTTGGACCTTGCCATTGTAATAGAGCTGACGGGTTGGAAAAGGAAGCGACATAATTATTGGACCGAGAAAGATGAGAGTCTCTTGTGCTATAAATGAAGTGAAGGTTCTCTGAACTAAAAAAAAAAAAAAAAAAAAGCCGGGGCAGTGCTAGCGCACGTTTCGATTAGGTACTCGGTACTTAGTTGCCGTGCATATTCACTACGTAATAGCCAAGTACCCAGGTACGCCCACCCGGTCAGCGGCTGAAGGTGGCTGAACAGACGCGGGGTGAAGGGTTCCCGTTTGCTCGGTTTGCTTCGTTTGTTCTGAATGGACTGGGCTGAATGGTCGTGTCGGTAGCCATCTATCGTGACGTACTCTCTACACACACATTCCTAGTATCGGAAGGGAAATCCTATCCCGGGGTTCCGATCTCGATATCTCCTTTGGAAATGAAGGAATTGAATGCTAAAACTCGTTAAACAGTCGGTGGACCCGATTACCTATCCAAGACCTTTTTTAACCCGAGGTCTCTCCACTCTCAATGATCGCCACCACTCAGAGGCTTGCAAGTTCGCCGAGTCTGACGAGAATGGAAAAAACCAAGAAAAAAAAAAAAGAAAAAAAGAAAAAAAGTGAAAAGAATGGAACCAATCTGGGTAATCACTAGACATTGGATTGAAGGGCTTTCTCCGATCAGACCATTCTCAGCCTTGGAAATTCTCTTAAAGGCGGTCCCTTTTCTGATCTCCTCACTTCAACCCTTCTCACTCCGGTATTCAACATGGCCACCACTAACGAGCTCCCCGCTGTCGATGTCAACAGCTACGACTATATCGTCGTTGGCGGTGGTACCGCCGGCTGTGTGATTGCCGCACGCCTGGCCGAGTACCTCCCCAACAAGCGGACTCTGGTTATCGAAGGAGGTCCCAGTGATTTCATGGACGATCGCGTCCTGAACCTGAAGGAGTGGCTCAACTTGCTCGGCGGTGAGCTCGACTATGACTATGGCACCACCGAGCAGCCTATGGGTAAGACAAAGACTTAGAACTACGGATTGGAACCTTATGGGCATGTGCTGACTATTCGTAGGCAACAGCCATATCCGCCACTCCCGTGCAAAGGTCCTGGGTGGTTGCTCCAGCCACAACACTCTCATCTCGTTCCGCCCCTTTGCGTACGATTGCCAAAACTGGGTGGCCAAGGGCTGCAAGGGCTGGGACTTTGAGACCTTCACCCGCATCATTGACAATCTGCGCAATACTATTCAGCCGGTGCACGCTCGCCACCGTAACCAGCTGTGTAAGGACTGGATCCAGGCTTGCTCTAGTGCCATGAACATCCCTGTCATTGAGAACTTCAACGATGAAATCCGTAGCACAGGTGAGCTGACCGAGGGTGTTGGATTCTTCAACGTCTCCTACAACCCCGATGATGGCCGCCGTAGCAGTGCCAGTGTCGCCTACATCCACCCCATTCTCCGTGGCGATGAGAAGCGTCCTAACCTGACTATCCTCACCAACGCTTGGGTTAACAAGGTCAACGTTGAGGGAGATTCCGTGACTGGTGTCGATGTCACCCTGCAGTCTGGTGTCAAGCACACTCTGCGTGCCAAGAAGGAGACCGTTCTGTGCGCAGGAGCTGTCGACACTCCTCGTCTCATGATGCTTTCTGGTCTTGGTCCCCGTGATCACCTGTCCGCTCTCGGGATTCCCGTTGTGAAAGATATTCCCGGTGTCGGTGAGAACTTGCTGGATCACCCCGAGAGTATCATCATGTGGGAGCTCAACCACCCCGTGGATCATACCATGACCACTATGGACTCTGACGCCGGTATTTTCCTCCGTCGCGAGTTGCCCAACGCCGCCGGCTTTGATGGCAAGATCGCCGATGTGATGATGCACTGCTATCAGATCCCCTTCACCCTCAACACCACTCGTCTCGGCTACGACGAGCCACTGAACGCCTTCTGCATGACCCCGAACATCCCGCGCCCCCGCTCCCGGGGTCGTCTCTTCTTGACCTCTGCTGATCCCTCCGTAAAGCCCTCTCTGGACTTCCGTTATTTCACCGACCCCGAGGGCTACGACGCCGCCACCATCGTTGCCGGCCTCAAGGCCGCCCGTGAGATTGCCAAGCAGTCTCCCTTCAAGGAGTGGATCAAGCGTGAAGTCGCCCCCGGCCCCAAGCTGCAGACCGACGAGGAGCTGTCTGAGTACGGCCGTCGCGTTGCCCACACTGTGTACCACCCCGCTGGTACCACCAAGATGGGCGACGTTGCCAGCGACCCAATGGCAGTTGTAGACCCTAAGCTGAAGATCCGCGGCTTGAAGGGCGTCCGTATTGCCGATGCTGGTGTATTCCCCGACATGCCCAGCATCAACCCCATGTTGACTGTCCTGACCATTGGTGAGCGTGCCGCCGAGCTGATCGCTGGCGAGGCTGGTTGGTCTCGCAACCAACCCCGTCTCTAAAGCCCTGGGGCTTCTACGCAAGGATTTGACATGTCTGTAAAAGTGTTTTTCTTTTCCCATCTTATTTTTGGCCTTATTATAGCATATAAGCGAGCGGTGCAGAGCTCCGCTGGAGTTTGGCGCGAAGGACCGCCATTGGACTTATTTTCAAGCCCGTTTACCTTCATCTGCGAGGCTAACTTGGATATTTTATACATTTAGCATATATATAGAATGAAGTTGAACGATTGGAATGAGTTTCCAAATATACATGTAGTCTAAACAGGTACTAAATTAAGCCGGTGCTATTCGCTTACATTCTATCCATGCAAAACCACAACCTCAAAACGCCCTTCATCAATCAACCGAGAAATAGCTGCTGCACAGATGCCAGAACCGATACAGAAAAGAAAAAGAAAAAGAAAAAGAAAACCGAGGCGAAAAAAACTCTCATCGAAAATGGAGGCTTCATACCGCCACAGTGGCAGCCTTGTCAGTATCGTGAATCTTGGCACCCAACTTCCACACCTGGTCAACCGTTAAGGTAGGCCCAGATAATGGATCGTCACTTTCACCTAGCACGATGAGATCGGCATCAGCACCGCTGTCCAGTGATCCCTTGACACCCTCCAAGCCCAGGAGACGTGCCGGCACAGCAGTAACGGCATTAATAGCCGCGGCCGTCGACGCACCCGACCAGCGACGGAAGTTATTAACACACTCGATAAGCGTGGCTGAAGACCCAGCAATCTTGTCAGAGCCCTCGAGCGTCAGCCGCGCACCGGTCTTAACAATTCGATCACCATTCGTCCACTCATATACACCGTCCGGTAGACCGCAAAGACGCATAGCATCGGTAACCAGGATCAGGCCATCCGGGTGTGCATTGTACGCGATCTTGATGGAAGTGGGATGCAAATGAATGCCATCTGCAATAACACCGTAGAATGGCCTGCGACGCTCACTCTGTCCTAGCAACCCGAAGATACCTGGGTTGCGGTGGTAAAAGGGCCGCATAGCGTTGAATAGGTGAGTAATCATGCGAGCCCCTTGGTGTGTGGCTTCCACGGCCTCCTCATAGGTTGCATCGGAATGGCCGATTGAGTAGATGATGTTGCGCTTGGCAATTTCGGGAATATGAGCCATCATGTTGCCAACTTCTGGTGCGGCCGTGATCATCTTAATTGGGTTTGCACTGGTCATGTTGTCGGCGCCGTAGCAGTGCAGCAAGTCCTCAAAGGTTTGCGCGGCACGCAGCACTTCAGACTTGTGAATACCATTGCGGCCCGGGCTGATAAAAGGCCCTTCGGCATGGGCGCCGAGCGACTCGGCGCCGTCCTCGGGCTGGTGGGTTGCTGCTGTTGGGCCCAGGGAGGGGAGGACCTGGGAGGGGGTGAATATTAATTTTCTGTTGTTTTTGCTTTTGGGAACAAATTGCTTCCAGGGCGTGCTTACCTTCCAGTATACCTCGGGGGTGGAGCTCACGACAGTCGGCAAATAAGAAGTGACACCTGTTTGGGCCAATCCCCGGTTGACCATGCGCAAACCCTCATCGTATTTCTCTTTTGTCTCACAAGGTACAGAAAAATCAAAACCATGGGCACCGTTCAACTGGACATCGATCATACCCGGGGCGACAATACGGCCGCCGAGGTCGATGATCTCATCGGGGGACAGATGCAATCCATAGAAGGCTTCTTGATCCTTCAGAATCTTGCCAGTCAATGAATCAATCCAAAGGTCTTGCTCGACCAAGGTCGAACCCCGCACCAGGCGACAGTTGGTGAGCTTGGTAATACGCGGGGTGGAAGTCTTGCCCGGCATGATGACAAGGCAGGACAGGATATTCCTATCAGATATCAATGAAATCAAAGCTAAAGAGCAAATGTGAGACAAGGAGGGGGAAAGGCTAAGTACATAAGAATCGGAGAGAGAGAGAGAGCAGGAGTGGGAGAGTCAGGCACAATGATGTAACCCTTCTCACTGGTGACATTCGGCATGCCGATGTGGTATACAAAGTCGAAGGATCAAGTGGCCATATCGGGAATTAGCGGTATTGCGGCTGTAATCGAGCGGTACCTGGGCGATACCGAGCCCCCATACGGGACCATATGGGACCATACGGGACCATACGAAATCATACCTCAATGGTAACTTACAATACCCCGAATGACAGTACAGGCAAAGTCCCCGCATGCGACTCTCCGCATGCGGTTCATCTTTTCGTCTTTCCCAATGCAACCAACGTCGTCTGCAGTCGCATTGCAAGTGGACAAGCAATGGGTGATCAATATTCAGGTTTTGGCTCATGACTCTTTCTCGTGGGACCCTTCTCCAGTCTCTCCAATGTGTATCTCCCCCGCAACTCCTCCCCCGTAGTCATCGGCTACAGTGTCGCATTCAGAAAAAAAAAAAATGGATCCTCTAGATAAGACAATCGTGTGACTTCGGTTAACAAATTGTCTACTAAAAAGACTTAGCTTCATCCTAAAAAAATCCTTCCAGATCCTGCAGAATCCCAATTCGGTTTCGGAAATCCCTTGTATTCTCGGCATTCTTCATTCTTCACGGCGTCCTCTCGCGTGGGAGAACATTCTTTGGCCCCTTGGCTCGTTTGTTGATTCTTCCTACTTATTTCGCTTGTCCCTGTAGATATTGCTTCCTACAATCATGGCTAAGCCGGAGAAACAGGAACCCGAGCAGACGGAGATGTCGACAGAGCATTATGTATCGGCATCTGCTCCGGATCCCGAGTCGGGTGTGGATCAAGCGGTGATAGGTCCCGCGTGGATGTACAAGCCATTGTTCAAAGTGGGCAAGTGGGAAGCACCCTACTTTGCTTCCCCGGAGATGCAACTGTACCTGGTGTCTTTTGTCTGCTTTTTATGTCCCGGCATGTTCAATGCCGTCAGCGGCCTCGGCGGCGGTGGTCAAGTCAACACTCACGATGTGAACAACGCCAATACTGCACTCTACAGTACCTTTGCAGTAGTCGGATTCTTTGCCGGATCCATTGCCAATCGCATTGGTCTGCGGCTCACTCTCTCCCTCGGCGGATTTGGATACTTCCTCTACGTTGCTTCTCTCCTCTCGTACAATATCAACCAGAATGCAGGCTTCCTTATTTTCTCCGGAGCCCTCCTCGGTGTTTGTGCTGGCCTGCTATGGTGCGCCCAGGGTGCTGTCATGCTCAGCTATCCACAGGAGCATGAGAAGGGAAAATACATTGCCATATTCTGGGTTATTTTCAACTTAGGTGGTGTTATTGGCAGCTTGGTATGTTCAATCGCACGATACATCCTCAAACCAAAACAGTAATATTGATATGAACAGGTCCCTCTCGGTCAAAACATGCATACAACCGCCGGCAACGTCAATAATGGCACCTATATTGCCTTCCTAGTTCTAATGGCCATTGGTTCCATCCTGTGCTGGTGCCTCGTCGATAGCAAGCACGTCAAGCGCAGGGATGGCTCGCGTGTAATTGTGGTCAAGAACCCGAGCTGGAAATCTGAGTTCTTGGGCCTGTGGGAGACACTAATCAAGGATTCGTACATTGTACTGATGTTCCCTATGTTTTTGGCTAGCAACTGGTTCTACGGATACCACTTCAACGCAGTCAACCTCGCCTACTTTAATGTCCGCACTCGAGCCCTGAACAGTCTTCTGTACTGGCTCATGCAGATGGTCGGTGCATTCGTCTTTGGCCAACTGTTGGATTTGAAGGGCCTCTCACGTCCGTGGCGTGCCAAGCTCAACTTTCTTGTTCTGCTCGCTGTCACCATGGGCATCTGGGGTGGAGGATATGCCTTCCAAAAGCAATACACTCGGGAGACCAAGGGACTCGGCACCGATTTCACCGACAGTGGTTACATCGGGCCCATGTTCCTGTACATGTTTTATGGATTCTACGATGCTGCTTTCCAGACTTGCACGTACTGGTACATGGGTTCGCTCTCCAACAACAGCCGCAAGTTGGCCAACTTTGCTGGCTTCTATAAGGGTATCCAGTCTGCCGGTGCTGCTGGCATGTGGAGGTAAACAACCACTCCCCAAATCGTTTCTGTGTTACCAACTAACAACCTTTTAGCCTGGATGCACAGGAAACCGCCTACATGACCGAATTTGCCTCCTGCTGGGGTATACTCGTTGGTAGCATGCTCTTTGCCTCGCCCGTGATCTTCTTCAAGATTAAGAACAGCACCGCTGTCGAAGACGACCTGCAATTTTCTGATGAAACTGCCGCCGAGGTCTTGGGACATACCAATGAACTGCATGATATGGATAAGCCTCATACAGAAACACATACCCCCGCGGAGACTCTCCGCGGGTCTCACGAGGAACCTACCACTAAACAATGAATGATCGGCGGGGGAGAACTAACAATCCCAGCCGATCATCTGTATCATCACCCAGCCAGATTTCGATTTATTCACCTGCATTTACGAGGCGTGTCGCTTTTTCAAACTTGCGAGATCCCCGGGCCACCCTGCGTCACCGGAACATTGGCAATATTCAACGGAATCGTCAGCCAAATCTTTTTTTTTAATGATTTTGTACATTATTTTGAGGTGATCTTGTTTTCTAGACACCAAGGGGCTTTTATTCGGGATGGTGCTATGTCTGCTATAGTCCTACGGGACTCGGTTGTCAAGTACTCAGATGGGTATGTAATTATAGAGAACTTTTGGCAAATAAGAATTATAGTATTTCAAAGACATGATTTGTCTCAAACCCACAATTTCATTCGCTATATATTAACCGTAAGCTCGGATCTGCCGAGTTATATCCCCCAGTCTCATCATGCCTCATGAAACGCTAAGTCAGACCTTCGTAGCTGTGGGTAACGGCACTGAAGACTGGGTATGAGTCGCTGACTCGGATCCACTGGAGCTAGAGTCCGCCTTCAACTTCTTCTCGCCCCTAGGCAGCTCCCACCCATTCAGTGTGCGATTGAACAATTGCAGCGAAGCCTCTGGCTGATAATACGGCACTTCATGACCAGCCTCATAGACACGGGTGAAGGAGAAATTGCCGTACTCTCTCGTTTCGCCATACTCAACATCATCGACCAAGAACGGTGCATATCCCGCCTTCTGAAACTGTTTGCTGTGCTTGTACTTTGCTGCAAGAGAAATAGCCTCCCCGCCAAACCAGTTGCAAATATAGTCTGCGTCGCCATAGATCAGCGCGACGCGGACAGGGCGGGAGAGGATATCTTCTAGGTCTTCGAGGAAGTTGGGCCAGACGAAGTCACCTGTTTGCTGGAAGGCGAAGTAGATCTCATTGTTGGATTGCGTGTAATTTAGATCGACGCCTAACGCATTCATTACCGAGTCTTTGGCAAGGTAGTTCATGTAGTAACTTTCTGGGGTTGGGTCATTCCGTGGATGGCGGATGTCATAGGTGCCTCGGCCACTGAAGAAATAGTAGGGACTTTCTAGGATGCTTGTGTAAGTTGGTATAAAATCTAAAGGATTGTATATGGGTGTAGTCTTACCGACGTTGTCCCGGCACATGTTAGTGGCTTCGCTGCAGAGCGCGTGGTCGGACAGCGAGGTGCGGTTTGTCAACTTGCAGGTTGCGACTTGATCCTGACAGCCATTTGGCATTTCATTTGCAAACTTCATATAGTTGTACACCGTGTCATTGACCTGCGGTCTTTTTAGTACGTATCGAAGTTGGTGGACATTGGAAGGCTTACAGCCTTGATACCATAAGTGTTATTCACGGCAAATTCAGGATAATACTTGGCTTGAATTCCTTCATCAATGATGCCGTTGATAATACCCAAGGTATTGAAATCAAGTTGGATGCCCTCTTGGGTGCCGTTGGCAATCTTGAGGTTCTCTTCATAGAAGTAGTCAAAGAACTGCAAATGTTAGATCCGGAGGAGATTAGACCAACAAATGGCCTGTGGCTTACAGCAGGCCCATAATGTCTGGAAGGAAGTCAGCAATGATCATCGATCTTCGTGAAATACTATAACTGACCCTCCATAACTTTCGGTCCATAGATTGAAGCTCTTCGACTTAATCTTCGAATCTAGCTTAGGAAGGCCACCCAGAAATCCCTGTAGGACCTCCCAGGTAGCTTTAGCGGCAAGTTCGGTGGTGTCAATTGCGGTGGCATTGATGACTGGATAGCGACCCTTAATATCCGCTGAGTCTGCGTCTTCGAATGACCCTGTGATGGGATTTAGAGAGCCTGCAGCCTTTTCGGCATAGGAAAAACCTGTGATGATGTTAGCCAGAGAAGCCAGAGAAGAGGAGAGCAAAAAGCAACAGCTCATACCAACGCCTAGAGGCTGAGACAAAAACAGCATGTTTGAGACCTCATTCCAAGAGTGCTTGTTGATAACCGATTCACTCTTCTTGTTGATGCGACAAGGCCCCAACTCCTCAAACAGGCCAATCAACGAGTCACTGCCTGGTCCACCATTCAACCACAAAGTAATCGGCGCATTTTCGGGTTCATGGCGAGCCTCGAAAAACCAGAAGAAAGTATGCTCTGTGGGTGAGAGATCCACATAGCCGGCATAAGATTTGACTCCCGGGGTAGTCTCACAAACACCTTCTTTCCCCGGCTCTTTATAGCGAATAGTGACATTATTGGCTGTGTTGATGGTCTTGACCTGTGTAGCGTGTGCAGGAAGTTGGCGGCGGAACAAGGCCTCTAAGTTATCATCCAAAGGGACGGCAAGCGCTGCCGCGGTTTGTATGAATGAAATCCAGTTGATGAGACGCATTGTAAAGTGATTAACTGGTTTCTATCCAGAAACCATCTTAGGGTGCGGGGAGGAGCGCATTTATAGCCCCGGATGAGAGGAAAAATGATATCCCAGTCTACTCCGTCCATGCAAAGTAACCAGTCACATATGATAGGACTTTCATGTAAGTCTCGAATGAGCTGCCCGCAATGGGTCTCCTTCAGGAGAAAAGTTGAAACGGACACCTCAGCAATCCCCGCAACTCTGAGGGAAAGGGTCACATCGAATCCGAAGGTTCTTGACTGTGGACTCCGTATGTCGTGCATCAGTGCACAACGGAGGAGTCCAAGCTGTGATCTGGCCAGGACCGTGTTGACCAGTGATTTGATACCTGACTCAAGGTGAGGGGAACGATCGACGCTCCATGCAGAGTGCAGGCAAATGGCAGAAGCGCGGGAATCACGGATCTCGTTGGGGCCAAGAACAGTTGAAGTTCTAATAAGCCCCTAACTTGAGGCTGCTGATGGCGCTATTCCAGAGCCCTCAAGTGCAGCCAATGAAGCATTGAAGATCAAATGATACTTTGCGGATTTATCATTTCCATGACTTTCGGTCTATTCCACGCAAATCAGTGTCGAATTCGCACGGAGAATCTACATAAGCTCTCCGTCAGGTATACAACATCGAGACCTCGGTCCAACAGGCCCCCTCGTCCTTGTACGATGTTCACAACGTCCATGTCCATGCCCATGTCTACGAGGTCTCTGATTTTCTCCAGATGCCATGGGAAGAACCATTGATCCGAAATGATCAGTTCTCAGACTCAACGATCGTCTCTTTTCATTTTTCATTTCCACCAAATGGCTGCGGATTGGCTGATTCGGGAGTGTCAAATCCCCCATTCTCCACCACTTCAAAGGATCAATTTAATCGGAAAAAAAAGAGAAGAAAAAGGGAGAAAAAGGGAGAAAAATAAAAGGGAAAATCAGACGATCGGAAAGTAGCTTCCTGTCACGGTATCTACTCCGATATTGCACGTTCTTTGTTCATGTATTTCTCGATCTCCCCATGAGCCTTCTCCTTAAATGTTTCACTGGTGAACGACCTCCGGATCAATTCTGGACTTATCTTCGTGAGATCCACTGGTTCGCCCCTTTTGCATCGGGTTTCTGACCCCGGTATAGGGAGTCCTTGCATGGTTCCTGAGGTCGCCAGCCATCTCCACGAGTTCAGCCATGACTGCAGCCATCTGGACCTGGTTCCGATCGTGATTTTATAAATGGACGCCGAAATTGCATTCATCGTGAAGCTTACACTTTGAATTTGCCCCAATTCCCAGAATTGCGCACCCCTTGTATGTGCACTGTTCGGCAATTCCGACTCTCGTCATTGCAGGCTGTCTATACTTCAAACATTGCCGACCGTGCCCGTGCGATATATCACCATGGCATCTGCGCCCGCTCTTGCTCATATATCTGCCGATGCATCTTTGGAGGATGCAAAGCCACTGGAGCCAACGGCTGCTCCAGTCCCGCCCAGTCCGTACCCATCCCATCCCATCACTCAGCTCCAGGGTCCCTTTGAGGAATCAATTGTCGAGACGTCCGATGGCTCCAGGCCTGAATGGGTCGTTGACATTGATGCCCAAACGCGGCGGCGCGATTTGCTAGAGAATGATGGATACGAGCGGCTTTGCGGGAGAAAATGGCGCCAAAGGACCTCGGAAAAGTGGGTAACGCACGAATCTGTTTGTACCTGGAGATTGATTACAACCAGATTGAGCTAACTCGCATAGATATCACCCATTTTGGAAACTCATTGCCCAAATGATATTCGGAGTCCATCTGCTAGCCAAGAATCTGGCGAAATCGGAAGTCTCCGTCATGAAGATCCTACAGAAACATGTAGACGAGTTGGATGGTTTCATAGAACGAACTACCGAGGACTTTCTAATCGTGCGGCTAGATGTTCGCACCCGAATTCAATATCTGAGTCTCCCTCTGAGAAACCCCGATGTCTTTGATGAGATGCTTCAAGACCGGAAGTTTCGGTTGTCAATTGTCACTTACAACGATCGAATCGAACATTCAATTGGCAGATTCACGCTTACGATCACAGACTCCCTCAAAGACCTGCAAAAAGCAAAAGAGGCAATGGGGGCACTGTGGTTCTACTTTCGAAAACTCGCCGAGGAAGGTTGTTTTGAGACCGAGAGCCTAAAGGCATTTCATCAGGCGATGAGGGACAACATGGAAGGCTGGATCTTCGCCATCTCAAAACTTCGTCGACGGGGCACTGCTCTTCAGAAGGCGCTGAGCCAACTTGGCTTAGCAACCACGGAAATGCAACGGCGGGTGGGAGTAGCAAGTAGAAAGGACGTGGTGAGTTGATAGGCCCGATTGATGACTTTCAGATGCGCTAACTAGAACAGCGATCTTTCATTCAGCCGACCAACAAAGCCGTAAGTCGGAGGAAGTCCATCAAACAAAGACTTTTCGACAAAGAGCGACCTATATCGGAGAAACCGTTGCCTCGTGATCCAAGTTCCAACCCCAAGAGGATAGCAACGACGTCGAATCATATGATCAGTCCTACTGCTGCAGCCACCCCGAGCGATGGTGTTCGGCGTAAGATTCTGAGCCGAGCCAAATCATGCAGTGCTCTTATAGCAGAAGCTGGCACAGTCGGCGGTGACGAATCGCCGCCTCCCCTTCCATCAACTGCTGGAAGGCTTAAACGAAAGTTGTCCAAGCCCTTCTTACCGAAACGATCTGCCAGCGAGAAACTCGACATGACACAAGAACGACCGAAAACAGCCCCTTCACAGCCATTACGATCCTCACGCAACATCTCCATAGAACAATTACGGGCATTCTGCACAACACCACGCCCTTGTACGGGACAATCGACAGCCAAGTCGCCCACGCAGGCGCGGCAGGAGGCACATGACCAGCTGACAAATGGCCGCGAGACGATGAAGGATCAAATATCTCAATTCCTCAAGACAGACCGCGTGGTTGAAGCCTGGGATAGTGTATCTAAGAATGCGTCATGTTGTGCCCGCCCGAACGCCAAGACAAAAGATTGGCCCAGCAGTATCTTCCGCACAAAGTCGTCGAGTCCCCTACCCGACAAAGATAATGAGACAAGCCTCTCCGGCCCGGATCTGCAAAGGCAGATGTCCTGGGTACAAGAGACTTTCGATGTATTACCTACCTATTCTCTCAAAACGAAACCCGATCCTTCACCTCGGATCCATGTTCTATCGGTGCAGACGACCCTGGACGAAGACGGTGGAGTGGCTGAGCAGGAGGCGAGTTTGGATGTGCGCAGTGAAGTTGGATCGATTATCACTGCCTTGCCGACTGTGCCACCCATTCCGGTCAGCTAAAGAGTGGGTACGAAGTATACACTATAGATTAGACCGGATTGGGGCGGATTGGAGTGGATTGGAGTGGATTGGAGCGGATTGGAGTAGTTCTGGTTGCGAATGTAGTCACCACTTGAGCAGGTCTTGAGTCAAGACACACGGAAAATCCGATTCATACGATTTGATTGGAATATCAATCTCTTTGATCAAAATCATAGGGATCCTGTGAAGTGCGCGATACTCCGACAATTTGAAACGGCAGCCTACAGTGCCAAGGACCCCCACCGCCCCCAGCCCCCGAGTGGATTCAACGTCTCTTGCGCTGTTCCTACAACCTGCCCATGTTGTACTCCATACTCCATACTCCATACTCCGTACTTACATAGTTCTTCATCTCTCTTTTTCTCCCTTCTGTCTCGCGTGAACCCCTCATGGCTATTCTATATCCCCGATACTGGTAAGTCTTCTGTGGGGAATCTTGTGGACATCTTGCTGAATCGCACAAGTTACGACTATGACGATTGTTATTCTACCTGGGATCACTGGGGTCGTTGGGTAGCATTCGCCGTGATCGTCGGCGTGGCCTTCTTTTTGTTCTTCGGTTTCGCGTGAGTCTCGCCCACGTCTCTTCCATGCGTCTCGATTCTAACAAGCCTCGTTTCAGCTGCTTCAACGCACGTCGCCGCCGAAGCCATGGTCAACGCCCTCTGACAGGGACAGGATGGATGGCCCCTCCTCCCGGACCTCCTCCGCCAAACCAGCCGATTTACCAGCAACCGCCTTACGGCGATCCTTACTATCAGCAGAATGCGCCTCCACAATACAGCGCGAACCCTCAAAACTATGGCTACTTTGGCGCACAACAAGCGCCACAACAGCAAGGGATCGAGTTGCAACAGCCTCAAAATGCATACACAGCGAACACACCTTACGGTCCGCCTCCTGGGCCCCCGCCAAACGCGAGCAAGGTCTAGACTCTTCTCTTTCTCCAAAGCTTCACGAGACTTGGAAGATCTTCCGATAATGCATCTCATAAATGCGCCGGAAGCTCATGGTTTACGGCGTTGTCATCTGCGAAACATGCATGTTTTTTTATTCCCCTCTTTTGATTTGATCGAATACCCGCCTGGGTGGATGTTTTACGCTTTCTTATTTTACACATTTAATGCCCACGGCTTTCATGTCACCGTCGAGTGAATCTGGGCTGAGCAGTTTGCGACTTGGACTCCCTGAAAGAATGGGACTCGGCTTGCGAAGTTCTGGGTTCTCTCGTACATTGTTCACTCTTATGACATATTGGCCAAATGAATTGACTTGATTCCCAAGAATCCAGCTACGTTTTACAATCGATTTACTCCAACCGATTCACTTGGACATCGGGGTCGATTATCAGGGGGTAGAATGCCTCTATCGTATTGCTTCAAATAGAGCTTGTTAAATTGAAACCCTGGACTCTTGTAAAATCCGCCTCGAAAGGTTGTAGGTTAAATATCCACTTGGGGAGGCTGCTTGGTGCCTTGGGCCTATCTCCGTCCGAAATCGCCGCTCCGCCCTGGATTTTCCTGCGACAACCAAAGCCAATGGATATCGACGACATTCTCGCGTCCGTCGACCGCGGCTCAGGCGCCAGTCCGGAGTCTACAGCACTGGACCACCAGCTGCTCACTCGATTTTGGGTCGCAGAACGCGCCGTCTCGGAGGTTCTACCATGGCCGGCGCCGCTGATGGAGCGCATAATGGATCGCGTGCGGATGCAGGTAAAGAGCCCTATTCAACATAGAAAACTGCCCCCGGGGAACTCATCGGAGACTCTTCTGACACGTACAGATTGAAACGATTGAAGATTTAGCCGCGTCGTCCGACACAGTCCCAACAACACCGCACACCCACAACCCAAACCTCAATCTCCGCCTTTCAATCCTCCAAACCGACCTCGCCCGCACACAGTACATCGTCCGCAGTCTGCTGCGGGTTCGTCTAGCCAAAATAACAAAATATAGTATGCACTACCTGGTCCTGCTCGCCTCGCGCAACAAAGACCCTTTCGCCTCACAAACACAATCTACCCCCTCATCCCAAACCCCAAATCAGCAGCCCGAGGACTCAGTCCCAGACATTTCAACCTTGGCGGATCTGACGCCGCTCTCTGAGCCGGAATCGTCCTTCCTGCATGCCCACCAAACGCTTCTAGCGGGGCATTACGCGGGCTCATTCATGGGAGCGTTCCCGCGGCAGCTGAGGCGGTTGGACGACAATGCCGGCGGCACGAGTATGATTCAAGGACCAGAGTTGAAGGAGGTTGTTTTTGTTCGATGTCTTGGGGCAGAGGTTCCCGTGGTTGTTGGGGAGGAGGATGGAGATGAGACCGGGGTTACGATGCGGATGGGAGATGTTTGGGTTGTCCGGTGGGAAGGGGTGAAGGGAGCTTGGGGACGAGGAGAGGTGGAGTTGCTGTGATCCCGAGCCATCGTTTCGGACTGACTGAGTAGTGATTTGGGGGTTTGGTATTTGACTTAATAGCGGAGTAGCGGCTTTCGCTCTCACCTGCACCTGGACCGGCGTTGTTTGTCGTTTATGATGATGGTATATAATTCTCTTTGGCTTCTTATTCTTTACTTGGTACCTGCTATTAAGGTCCCAGTAAAGGAGTCTGGTCAAATCATGCCTGCGAGATACTACCCACGCCGTACCAGAGCGATTCATATTGGTGTAGCGGCTATTTAAAGAAAAGAAAGAGATCTATAACCATTTCATCTCATTCAACCCGCCCTCGAAAAGACGCCAATCGCTAAACTCAGAGAGAAACACAAGCGCCAACCCCCAAAAGGAACCGGTGAGATGCGAGGACATTGGACCATGATATCGTAAAAAGGGAAAGATAAACATAAACGAGTAAATCGGGCAGACTGGACAGAAGACAATCATGACCGCTGTGATAGTCCACGCCTACGCGACATACCCATACGTGGGCGGCTCCTCGGAGACTCGCTCGAGATATTCGCGGTCGATCAGACTCTCGATGCGCCGCTTGATCATGTTGACGTCAGGAACAAAGCGAGCAGACAGTTGTGAAAGGGTTTCGGTCATTAGTTGAGAGTGCGTAAGCGTTTTTCGTTGTCTGGGAGAGGTTAGCCGGTCGGATCATATACGGGATTAGATAGAAAATCATACTTCATAATGCGGACGATGGCAGCCTCGATGCTGCCCTTACGCTCGTCATTCATCTTTGATTCCGTGTCCTTGCGCTGGTTTTGGTTCTCAACTTTGTTGGCACTGCCACTGACAACCCCAATGCGCACTTTCACAAAGGGGCTGTGGAACTCATGATTGAAAGAGAATCTATCCGTGGGTTTCACGTCCTTACTCATGGGGCTCTTCGTCAGCACTCGAGTCTTCGGGGCAACGGCGAGCGATTGCATGTTGCGAACAAGGTCATGGTCTGGGATCTGGGTGCGAGTTTTGATATCGTCATAGGTGAGATCCTCCCCATCTGGAAGATCATTGAACAACAGTAGGATCACCATGGCGTGGGTTGAGACGTTCAATTCGTAGCGTTGGACTTTGCCATTGGGGCGTATGAAAGTGGCTCGAAGATCGCCTGTACCCATGTTCGCTTGCCACGACAATTTGCGCCCACTGTGCTTGTCCAGATAAAACCTCTCGAAGCTTTGTTTGAGTGCATCAATCTCTCGCGGGAAAATACAAGGAAGCTGGAGTGTTCCCTCTTTGGTGTTTGCCATGATCTCCATCGGCCACATGGTACTGGTGAGAACGTTGACCTCCAAGTCCACTGGTTTCTGATAGGGATCACCGTTGCGCGCAATGTGATCCTTGTAGTTATTGGTAAGGTCTTCCGATATGGTCATGTCCTTAAACATAGACTCAATGCGCTGAGTGAACTGGTTACCGACCTCCATCTTCATCTTGGAAATCATCTGTCTTTCTGCATCCATGCTAGCAGAGCGTTTCATCAGAAGTCGACGTGATAAGTGTTTCTTGTAATAGGACTCAAAGAGATCCTTGTCCTTGATATAGCGCAGCAGTGTTATGCCATTGTCCAGAAGAACATCAACCTCGCTTTCCGTCTTTCCCTTAATGCCCTTCTTCAAGTTTTCGTCAAAGAAAAGGGACAAATACTCGGAGTTTCGCGGATTCAAATTGATAAATTCAGCAAAGCTCGCCCCGATTGAGCTCTGCAACCCCTGATCGGACGCGAATGCATTCTCCCAAATACCATCGAATTTCCGCTTGAGGCCGAGAATGTTGTCTACCCAACGGATTGCGGACACTGTTTGCTGATTCTGAGGCTTCTCCTTGTCTTTTGCTTTCTCGGTCCTTTTGTCACCTTTGTCATCTTTCCCTGTCGGCCGGGCCGGGGCTTGTGGTAGGAGTATGGAGGAAGCATTGATTTCTTTGCCCATTTCCACAATCCGCTTGTTGACTAAATTTGTCAATGCTTGTTTTTTCTTGTCGACCCTCTGATTGAGCAGGTACACATTTCGTAGCCCATCTAGCTGATCATGGTCCAGCATGTGTCGAACACCGGTTCCTTCGAGATTGACGACTTCGTCAATATTGGCACGGATGAGCTCCTCATCCAACAGCTCAAGGACCTTTGACTCTGTTGTGGCCGACAACATGAAGCGGCATCGCTCCTGCTCCTCGGTAATCCGTTGGGTTGCGAGGCGGCAGAACGTGGTAGCATCTCCAAATTCCAACAGCCGTTGCCCTTCTGCACGATAGAATTCCCTGCTTGTATTGAGGAAGGCCGGCTCAAATACAGTCAGATAAAGCTTTGAGTTCTCTTCCTCTGTGACGGTTTCATAGAGGCCCTCCAACATTTGGATGGAATGTCGAATGAGCGGCCGCTCAATCAGATGCCCGGAACGTTCTAATTGAATCATAAACAATATTGTGGATTCAAGCATGTCCATAACAGTCAGGGAAGAGCCGGCACGGATAGGGGATCGTATGATATGGTCTCGGAACAACGACATGCAGACGACGTAGATGGGTGGGTGTTCATGGCTTCTTACCATACGGTCCTGTGCAAGGCGTTAGAGAATGCGCACCGAACCCCCAGATTGCAAGAAACCTACCATATATAGCAGAACATCGGCAACCATGCCCATGCCGAATTGATGATCAGCCCAAGCTACTTTCAGAACAGTGAGGAACTTCTCCCCCTCCTCCCTCCTCTCACTGGACTGATCTTGCGTATCGGTGGATTTTTGGGCACGTATAAGAGATGAAGAAATCGAATCTGTGACAAGGGTTCGAACTTTGGTCTGAAGCCAGTCCTGCTCCAGTTGTTTGACTTTCTCGTAAAGATCGGGGGCCCGCATCATCAACACGATCTTATAGGCGAGGCGATAGATATCTTCATATTCAAGAGCTGCATATTCTTTCGTATTGATTCCAGTCAAGAATGACGAGAGGTCTGTCCAGATAGAATCGAAATCTTCGGTCTTTTTGGAGACACCCTACAAGTATAGTTAGTGGGGAGTTTCATGAGTTGACCCCGCGTCGACGTACCCTCTTGGGAGCTCGAATCTTGTGACGAGCCCTCATTGCTGCCATCTTGAAGGCCAACTGAGAGACTCTGATAGAGCAAATGAGCAGAGAACCCTAGAAAAGTGGAATTGTGAAGTTCGAGAACTGCGCTCTCCGCGGAGGCCAACCCGGAATATCTGTAGTTCCGACTATCGCCGACTGAGCATCGTCATTCCAGCTTTTTCTTTTCTCAACACGTTGAGTGGAATCTTTGTTGATATTTAATTTCCTCTAACTTCACTGCATCTTTCCTTGGGAACTCCCAGCATTTTGAAGGACTACCACCGTAATGCGTCCTTTCACCTCGCAGGGTCTCCGCCCATTGAATGCGTTTGTGTCGCAAGCACAATCCTACACTACTATTTCCCGCATACAACCTTCACGTTTCCTCTCCACAATCTCCCTTTATCGACGCTCAGTGCTCCCATCATCGTCTCTTCCTCACTCACAACGCCTCCTTACCCAACCTCAATGTCGATACAACTCAAGCGCACCTCGCCCTCTTACCGAATCGCCTTTGAATGAAGCAGAGCGAAATGCTGAATGGGAAGCGCAAAACGAGGAGCGTCGCAAAAATGAGGAGGCCTATCGCATTGTCTTCACCTGCAAGCCATGTGGTCATCGCTCTGCCCACCGAATGTCCAAGCAAGGCTACCACCGTGGAACCGTCCTTATCCAGTGTCCCTCCTGCCAATCGCGCCATGTCATGAGTGATCATCTGGGTGTTTTCTTCGATAAGAAGACAACTCTGGAAGATCTACTGAAGGAAAAGGGTCAGGCATTGACTCATGGTCATACAGATGGCAACCTAGAGTTCTGGGATGATGGGACTGTGAAGAGTTACGACTTGGAGGGTAAGGAGCAACTAGGATTGCCTGATGAGAAGTCGGGTTGATTTCATAACATCTTCTTGGTGGATTCGGAGCATATCAGGATGATATTTATTTTGTTTATTTTGTTTATCTTTTGTTGTCTTTATAGACAGACTTGTATAGTATGGTGAACGGCGGACTCTCCACTCTCAGCATGGCAGGATCCAAGCATCAATGAGGAAAGGATATCTTTGGGGCCATGTACATCCAGGATCACTTTGACAGGGGTCAATATTGACTCCCTACTAAATTTCAAAAGACCACTTGATCGTGTAATTTGGTTCAGATACTGGGAACGATTATGTAGCGACGATTTTTTGTACAGAAGATATCAAATTGTTCTGAAAGGTATATACAAATGCAAGTACCAGAATAAATCCCATCCAAACGCCTCGGTTTTTAGTATGCCAATAACACCATCTCATGAAACACGCAAATAGATGCCAAATTCTTTAGATGTCTACCAACCGCGTCTCTTTCCACGGTGCTCCAAGCCCTTCTCACGGCGCTTGTCTCTCTTCCGCTCGTTCTTCTTCATCTTCTCACGTCCGTACTTCTCAGGGTCGGCAACAGCGTCAATGCGACGCTTGGCCCGTCGTCCTTCACGGCGTTCCTTGATAGCTGCTTGGACCCTGGAAATTTGATCCACGTACTCGGTGGTGCCGAGCTTTTTCTGGAGAAGATCCAAGACCTCATGGCAGTTGGAAACGAGTGATTTGTACGTGTTCTGGAAGGTCTCATCCGAGGAGCGTGGCGCCGGAATCGATGGATCCGTCAGATGCTGAAGGGGAATGAGGATGACGCGGAGGGAAGGACGGATCTGCTCAACCTCGACATGGCGGATGAGCGCGGCGAGAAGCGTGATGGACGCTGTTTTGGGGATGAGAGCGTTTGCTCGGCCAGATATAGTCTCCCGGCGTAGAAGGGAGGAGATCTGTTTGAAGATATAGTGGATGGCAGATCTGTTGTGTTCCACCTTGACTTCTTCCGTTGTCTCTTCAGCTTCACTACCAGCATCCCCATCGTCATCTTCATCTTCGGATTCAACATCCTCGCCTGCCAGCTTTGGAAGTTCCAGTCCATTATGGGAACAGCAACGGCCGAGGAAGACGATGTTGCGCACACTTTGCATGGCCAGTTCTTCGGAAATCCCCGGGGTACGCAGACTGCGCAGACCGGCACGAAGAAGCTGCAGCATGGCCGGCTTGTCCAGGGCAAGACCAGAGCTTCCAGCCAGAGGGATGGAAGCGTAACCGGTAGGGGCATTTGTCTTGGCCAGATCAGCCAGCCACAAGCCCACAAGGTTGGCGGCGCAGGTTTTCACCCATGCGTGTGGGAAAAATAAGGATTCTTGGACGGACGTCCAGATGGAACTGCATTCCGGGCTTAGTGCAAGAGTGGAAGCCGTCTTGCAAAGCTTTGTGAAGAGCTGCAAGGCGAAGTAAAGAGCTTCCCAATTGCCATTCTCGTGATCATCTAGAACCGGCTGCATTAAGCCAGGAAGGATATTGATGACGAAGCGAGCCTGTTTGTCCTGGTCGATTTGCTCGGCTTCAAAGTAAATTCGCATGGCTTGTAATCCAATACTGCAGAGAGCCATGTTGTCAGTTTGCTCTAACCACGAGCGAAGGGGTGTAAGCATTGTCTTCATCTGCTCCCGATCTGCACGATTGTAGAACTCTCCCAGCAATGTACCGGCCAGCTCGCGGCACTCTGGCGACTCATCGTTCGCCATAGCAAGGACAATGGGCAGGAAGAAGGTGCTGATAATATCCTGAGCTAATTCTTGGCCGGTCTTTGAGAGAAGCGTGTGCATCGCCTCCATAACCGACTGTCGTCCTGACTGATGCTTGTAGTCTAAGTTCTTTGCGAAGAATGCGAGTTGCTTCGTCCAGCGACTCTTCGCCTGCGGGTACTCAATTAGGAAATGAACGAAGGTACCTCGAGCAAGATCTCGGGCAGAGCGAGTCTGGTTCGTCACCATCATGGTCGCGATATGGTCCATAAGCTCGTACATTTCAGGTACGACGAGCTTGCGGGACATGACGGCTCGGATGAAATTGAAGGTTACACCTTGCCGATCTGGCTCTTCAATGTCCGAAGTCAGACGCTTAAGCAGGTAAGCAAGGTGACCGTCACGAAGCTTAGTATCCTTTCTCTCACGGAGCATGGAAGAAATCAACTTCAAGGAGGCCTGCGCGGCCTCTGAGTTGGTGCTAGGAGACTCCTTGACAAGCTTGACTGCCTCGGTGAAATAGACGTGCGAGTTCTCGTCAATCTCTGGCAATGGAAGCTTGATAATCGTAGATAGCAATCGGAGAGCAGAAACCTTCACTTCCTCTTGGGCTTGGACAAGCGCATCACCAATAATGGGGATGAAGCCCGATAAGTTGGAAGCTGTCAACAGCGAATTGAACTTGTTCAGGATCGCACGAAGCACATCCATTGAGAACCGGGTCAGCTTATAAACATGAGAAGACGTCGTGCCCCTATTCTCGCCCCGCTTGGCTCCTTGCAATTTGACCAAGAAGCGCTCCTCGTATCTGGTCTTGGGCGCAGCCTTAGTCGCTTCTGTGGTATTGTCTCGGTAGGCCTCTTTGATGACCTCGTAACAGAAGACCAACATATCGCGGCTTTCGGCATCAGGGTTTCTCAAAAGACCGATGCTGATCCTTCGCATAAGGTCATCAAGCTTCTTGACGAGGCTAGAGTTGAGCTTTTCGCGTAAAAGTGCCTGCAGAGGCCTAACTAGGTTGGACAATTGGCTGATAGTTGAAATCTTCGCAAGAAGCTCCATCGAGTCGTAACTCTTGCTGCTCTTCACCTCTACCATCTTGCTGGTGTATCCTTCGGCGTCCTTTTCTTGGCCGACTGTACCAAAGGTATCATCCATCACAACTGCAACCAGATCTTGCAAACAATAATCCAAATCTCCTTGCTTGAAGTGATCAGTCGTAGTTACAAGCATGGAATGAACCGTAAATGAAAGAACATGAAGTTGATAGCCTCGCGCAAGAACATTGCGGAGTTCCTTCAGTATGTAGCCGAAGTAAACAGGGCCCAGGAGGAGAGCAAGCTCATTCAGTGTTTTCCGCGCGGTGTCACGGGAGTCTTGGGCTTTACTTTTCAGAGTAGTGCAGACATCCAAGAGGACCGGCGGGAGACGGATAGCGAGTTCCTCCTCGGGAAGAATCATCAGAAGCTTGACAGTAGTGATCGAAGCTGGAAGACGCATACTCATTTCCTTCTCCTGCTTGTGGTGGATGTACTTGGTCAGGAAAGGAATGAAATTCGTGGTCAATTCTGATGAAACCTTCGCAAGAGAAGGAACAGACTTGGCGAGCGTGCACATGGGCTGCTCGACAATATCCATCTTGTCAGCATCACTCTCGATCTGTATTTCTGTTCCCTTCTTCCGCTTCATTGCACTGGAAAGTGCATCGGACATGCGGCCCAGTAGTCTGAGGATATTCTTCTCTTTCTCCGGCTTGCTTGTCATGTAGCTGCGATACCTCCGGAAGTTTGCTCGGAATTGGCCCCATTCCAACCACTCCGAAAGAGCGCCGAGGGTCGCGACACCTTCGGCGATCAAGTTGTGGGCATTTTCATCAGGGGCATCCTCGAAGACGAAATGCTCAATCAACGGAATGAAAATGGTGCCCAGATTTGATGCCTGAATGCTACCATGGGCTGCATCTCCAGCCAGACGTCGCAATGCACGCTGCCTGCGATGTTGTTGGATATGGAGGATGTTGGTAAAGAAGGAGGCCTCTTCATCATCGCCAACAAGAAGCACATGCATGTCCTGCACCGAGGGTCTGGTAGGGTTGAGTTTGACAAAGTAGCCAATGACAGCGACGACTTCAGAGCGAATCAGTTCAGATTTCTGCCGGATGCCGTACTGTAACGAAGGGAAAAGAACATCATCAATGAGGGCTTCGAATTCTATATCTGGGTCTGTGGACGCCCTATCGATGAATCGCCTCAAACCGAAGGAGGCACTAGATCGGATAGCAAGCTCATCTTCGTCCCTCATATGGAAAAGCATGTTATAGAGAAGAGGTCTCCATTGCTTTGCGCTCAAAGTTTGAGACAATTCATCGCTAACTGTCCTGAAAGCCTGCAAACGTCTCGCATAATCAGGCTCAAGCCGTCTTGCCGAGCGAGAGTTCAGGTCTGCACACAAGTCGGCCACCACTTTGAGATTTTCGTTGTGGGTAGCAAGGGCAGCAAAAACCCGGGACAGTACTTCTCTGTTCGCATCATCCTTGAAATAATCGAACATCGAGCACACTGCCTCGAAGACTTGTTGAGCAAGCTCGGGATCATCTTTGGGGTCCCACAAAGGCAAGAAGTGCTCGAGGATCTTCAACAGTCCAGATTTGGTTCTGGGACTGACACGATCCGCAGGTTGCCGAAGCAGATATGTTGCAATACTGACAAGACTAGCCGTCTCCTTGGAAGATTCAACACAGGGCGCAATGAGAGAAAGAGCATTGACTCCTGAGTAGAGAACAGGTTTTGAGGGACCTCTCTTGAGAAGACGGCCAAGATGAGACAAAGCATGGTCCAGGTACGGCGAGAGGACCTCGGATTTAATTTGCTCAGCGGAGAAGTCAGGCATCTCTTCGGTTTCCTGCATTTTTGTGCCTGTAGACAGCTCGACCAATGGCACGAGAATCTCATCCAAGACAAAGTTCTTCACTTCATCGCGGGCTGACTCGACAGCGAGACAGTCAATCACCTTAGTCAAGACCTTGTCGTTGTGCTGCACCAAGTAGAAGGCCGACCTGGGAGCAGAGGCCCAAGCATGGAACAATCGTAGAAGTCCCGAAACGCCCTGGGCTGTCTCGATAGGGAACTGATCCATTCTGCTGTCAATCATCTCTTTAAAGATGATGCGGACGTAGGGAGTCCAATCGTGGTTCGGGACAATCGAAAAGACTAGATTTAGACAGCGTATACACTCCGAACGGATGTTTTGAAGCACAGGCAAGAGGCGTTCGTTGGGGCGATCGCTACCCTCATTGTAAATGGCACGGCATGCTCGCACCAAACAGTAGACAACCACATCCATGGTCTGGGAAGCAAATTCAGTCATACGGGTTTGGAGGGTATCAAAGACAGTATCAATCAGCTTAAGCAGACCCAATTGTCTTTTCGGGCTCGTCAGGTCTTCCTGGAAGACATTCGAGTTGCATTCGTTGTTGTCGTTGATAAGACGCACGCCTGCAAGAGGACCAAAGGAGAGCTGCATGAAAATTGCAAAGTCGTGCTCTGAGAGGTGGGAGATGGTTCGAAGAATGGTCTTTCGTCTACCGGCTTGACCAGCAGCGGCTGAGCCCGCCTTGGAAATCATCCGACCATACAGTAGTCGAAGAAGTATGGGAATGAGAACATCTCGATGCTCTTGTTTGATGAGACTGTCTTCGCTGCCAACGTGCACGAACACGGCAAGCTCGTCCTTAAATCTGGCCTCGTCCAGGATATTAAGTAAATTCTCCTGATAAGGGAGCACATTTGGATCTTTCCAAGTGAAAAGGACATTGAGTGCATGCTTCTGCAGGTCAGAGTTACCATGGCATAAGAGTCCCAATACTGCCGCATGGACCTCGGGTGCCTTGAACAAGACAATGGGGTTGAGGAATCGTGAAAATAGAGCAAGCATGGACAATCGGTCCCGGAAACCCCAGCGAATCTGCGCATCACCAGTTTCAACGTCTTCAACCTTCGCCTCGCCAGTTGGAGGCGCATCATCTTGGTCATCACGTAATGCCCAAGATAAGAACAACGGCACGATCTGGCGGGAGCGTTTTTCGGCAACGCCCGGTGCAGCATTCAGAACACGAAGTGCATGGGTTCGCGGGCAATTGGGAAGAATATCTGCGACAGTGTGGTCCTGTTGGAATTGTTGAGACAGAACATGATATGGATCTTCAGTACTCTTGGTGTTGGCAGCGAGAACCTTTTCAACCTTCACAACATTGTAACACTGGAAGTGGCTCTTGACAAAAGAGCTCTCATCATCTTCCGTTGGGACGTCGCTGGGGGCATTGGTATCCCTCTCTGATAGCCACTGGATGGACAAGTCGGACACGATCTTCTCACCCTGTGGGTTTTCACTAATAGTCTTCAAGGCAGCAGCAGAGTCATCCCAGAGTGGAGCCAACTTCTTCGAGAACAAGCCAAAGCAAAAGTAAGGGATCAGGGTGGCCATCCATCTGCGGTGGGCGATTTGAGGGTAGAGAATGGCGAGTTTTCGAATGTGCATGGAGATGGTTCTCACAGAGTCCATTGTCAGTGGGCTTTTCTCCACTTCGATGGCCAATTCCACAGGCGAAGGTTCGTCTTTCGCAATGCGAACAATCAATTCCCGAAGGATCTGAAGGGAGACTAGTCTCAGTCTATGCGACGGGCTCGCCAGATTCACAATCAAATCTTGAGCAAAGGCTTCGAGGGTGGGATGTTCAAGGTCTGCATCCTCTGGGAGAGAGGAGATGAAAGCAAGTGCACCCTCCAAAAAGACTGGCAGGCGGGAGAATTTTGTGGCAGTCGCGATGATCGGTTTCAAGAGACTTGAATCCAGCTCTCCGACTTTGTTGGCGAGTTCGACGTACGTTTTGAATCCTTGGCCAAGGAAGAATACCAGCCCCTTAGCATGGCCATCTGTGCCTTCAGCTGCACCATCTTGGAGAGCTGAGAGAAGATTACTATGCAACTTGGAAACCATCTTGTCTAAGGTAGCAGAATCTGCAAACAAGGAAATCGCGGCTGGAAGCTTTACCAGCGCATTTAAGAAAGCTTCGTCCTTAGTAGGGTACTCCAATGAATCAGTTATACGTGATTTAAAGGCATCTGGGCAGGAGATATAGCCAGATTGTGAGGCTTCGGGCGTAATGCAGCCAGCCTGATGCAGGCGAAGCAGGGTGAAACAAGTCTCCCACTCTGACTTTTGCCACGATGAGTTGATGAACTTTTGGAAAGGCGAGAGAAGCAGACTCTGGAATCGCTCTGACCCCCACTCTGAGAATGTTGTACAGAAGAATAAGAAATATTTCGAAAGCGGGCCGATGGTCACCAGGTCCATAATAGAGCGAAGGAACGGCAGCAACTCGTCCATTGGAGACATTTGAAAGGCATATGCGACGCTTGTCAGGAGTTGTGATATTGTCGCTGATGACACATCAGATGCTGACACCTGCTGAAGCAGAGATAGTTGGATCTGGTGGACCATTTTCCAATTTTGGATTCGGACACCCTTGCGAGTTGCCACAAGCAGAAACATTATCCGACAGCACTCTGAGAGATTTGGATTCGGTGTTAATTTTGAACGATCTTCAATATAAGCCTTAACTGTGTCGAGAATAGGGCCGAAGGTATCGGGAGTAGTGGCGTGCACAAGGCTGACAAGCAGACCATATATAACTTCCGCGGGATCATTTTGGCTTTCAATGGTCGGCGGCATCTGATTCAGAACACAATTGAGGATATCCATGCCATTGGAGTGAAGCCCATTGTTGACACCCCTAATAGCATCAGAGAACATGGTCATTAGTCCTTCCCTGTAGTTCTCGGTATCCTTGTTATCTTCGGCAGCTTTTGAGATGTCGTTGAAGAGGAACGAGACGGCGATCTCAAGGGGCGCTTTGTTCTTGTAATAAACAAGACCGGCCTTTCGAATAAGGAATGACATTGACTCAGCAGCGAACCTCGCCACAAATGGCTTCTGTCGCTCTTTACCGAGATATGGAGTCATGATACCCAACAATTGTCGCAAATCTGGCACTAACAAGCGAGATAGGAATTTGAAGATCCACGCAAGACATGTGAAACTCCATTCAACGACCTCAATATCGGCATGCGTTGCTGCAACAGACGACACCAGTGTCACTGCGGTAGCAAAATGCTTTTCAAATTTGACGCCCATATCCCGGGCAAATTGTGCAAGTAAACTCAGTAATGGTTCCATAGAGAGCTGATCCCTCTTCTCGATGAATTCCACCAGTAGACCCATAATCTTTTCCTCGTGGTACAGAACTTGCGCAAAGCTCTCGGAAAGAGGATTCACACGCCGTACAAATTGTGTGAAGTTGTCTGAAAGGTTCATTTCGAACCAGTGATCGAGCGCCGATCGGAAATAAGAGGATGTTTCGTCTTCATCTTCGCCAAAACTGGCGCGGCGCACGCGGTGGATCGGATCGATTTTGAGCTTCGTGATGCGCTGTGAAAATGGCTCGAACCGATGGTTTTTTGTGGTTTCGGTGCCCGTTTTCAGGCGCCTCACAGGCTTTGCTTTTGAGCCTGTTCCCACCATCTTGACGGGTCTGACGAGCAGCACTGTTCGTGAGAAAGGTACTGGTCACTTTTTTTTCTGTCTGATCAGCATGGAATACAAAAAAGTTCATCGGATCGGGACTTCCTTATTCCGCTCGGTATCAAAGTACATCACGTGCTGATAAGGATGGCCCAAGCTCCTTCTTCTTTGGAGACCCGGGATGTTCTATCCTGCACGTAGTCGGACATATCTAATTTTTAAGTGGCAATCGTGGATATTTTCGGAGTGTGGGATATCTTGGAAGTTCCGTATTTCTTGCGCTTTTGATTTCCACCACGTCCTCATCACCTCGCAGTATCCCCTGTGCCAAATTCGGTCTCCCACTGGGAAAGGCCCCAGAAATGGTCGTCAAGTGGTAAGTTTCATCATGCATTTTGCATGTGTTCTGGTAACTGAACCAATATATAGCATTGTCATTGGCAGCTTAAATGGCCAAATTCGGCCCGTGTTCGCCAAGCTAGCTAAGTTACAGCCAAAGCAGAATTTCTCCTTCGCAATCATTGTCGGTGATCTCTTTGGCGACGGCTCAACTCAAAATGAACTCGAAGAGATCACTGCCCTGATACAGGGAAATATTACTGTGCCATGTCCAACCTACTTTACCCTGGGCAACCGACCACTTCCCCCTCAAGTGGTCGAAAAGATTGAAGCAAATGATGAAGTATGCTCCAACCTATTCTTTCTAGGAAAGCGAGGAACTCTGAAGACTACTGAGGGTATCCGCATTGTTGCTCTTGGTGGAAATATGGGAGAGGTAGAGGGACGATCCAAACCTGAGAGCAATGCCAGTGGCAAATTCCAGCCGAGCTACAGTGAATCTGATGCTCGTGCACTGTTCGGAATTCACAAAACCGACATTCTCATTACCAATCAGTGGCCTAAAGATGTCCGTCTAGGATCTAGCCAGATTGTGTCTGGAGATGAGAGTACTGTGCCGTCTGAATTACAGTGCCTTGCTGATGTCTGCGCGACCTTGAAACCCCGGTACCACTTTTCTCGGTCAGATGATGGTTTCTTCGAGCGTGAACCTTTCTTTTATATGCCAACGGAGGAGGGCCAAGATGGTTACCAAACCACTCGTTTCATCTCATTGCCGTCCTTTGGTTCAAGAAAAGATGCGTTGTATGCCTTCAACTTGGACCCAACAGCAATCCCCCCAGCTAGTATCCCTGTAGGCTGCACCATATGCCCTTGGTCGGCCGCACAAAGCAAGCGCAAAATGCTACCGAGTCAAAAAGAATCATTTCAGCGCTTTGCTCCCTCCGACGGAGAGAGAGATCCGGGACACAAGCGCCGACATAAACAACGCGCTCCCCCGCCAGGTCCAGAGCAGTGTTTCTTCTGCCTCTCAAATCCCAACATCGCCACCCATCTCGTGGCGTCAATCGGTAACGACAGCTACATTACCACTGCGAAGGGACCCTTGCCATCCAGCAGTTTCTACCCTTCTCTAGGCTTCCCCGGCCATATGCTCATCATCCCCTTCGAACACACCCCGACAATCGACCTTATTTTCGATCCAGCAACCCGAGCCTCAACTTTCGCCGAGATGCAGCGGTACCGCGAATCCTTACACCAGATGCTGAACGAGCGATCGGGAGGCAAGCTCGGCGCCGTAACCTGGGAAGTGAGCCGCTCGGGCGGTATTCATACGCACTGGCAATTTCTCCCTATGCCAGTGGAAAAGATCCGGAAACGGCTTGTGGAAGCTGCATTCCAGACTGAAGCCGCAAATCTGGGGTACGAGAAGTTCAGGACTGTGCCCTCCCGCGACCAAATTGACAAGCACAATATGGACGATTATTTCCGCGCTTTTATCTGGACGCCTGCGCACAGCAGTGAGACTGAAGCTGCAGGTGAATCTGATATGTGGTCTGCACCTAGCCACAAAGGCGTTTACAAGACTGAATCCGGGGAAGAGAAGATAACTATGTTACCGATCCAGCCCAATAACCGGTTCGATTTGCAGTTTGGTCGTCGTGTCATGGGCAAGTTACTTTTATTGGATCAGCGCCTTGATTGGAAGGATTGCACGCAGACGGAGGAGGAGGAAACAAAGGATACAGATGCTTTTAAGGAGGCTTTCAAAAAACATGATTTCACCATGGAGATGGAGGAGTGAACATTACGTGGCAAGTCTCTTTTTGCGCTTTCCTAGTTCATACATGACAAATGTGTGGCATGGTGGTCGTGAGTTCTTTCTCCAGAGTGCCTCTTGTCTTGTACGATTAAATGTGACGAATGAATCTATTTTTGGAGCCAAGTATCCGAAACAGCAAGAAATATATATATATGAATATTAGGCAGACAGCAGACCCCGAAGGACTGAACCCTGATCGACCCCCTAAGTACCTACAACTAGTATTGGCGAGATCAAGACATCAAGGTCATACAGAGCCAAGCCCATGCGTCCCGATCTGAATACATGGATTTGCCTCATTGCTAGACAAGCCAGGAGCACAACTCAAATGCGTACCTAAGACAATGCGATGGACTTGATCTACACTTGCGATCCCTCGTGGCAGGTACAAATATCACACAAGTCAACTTGAGAATGCTAGAAGATTCAAGTGAGGTGAGAGGAAGAGAAATAAGAAACTTCGTATGTGAAGTGAGCGGGACAAAAGACAAATACAGCCAAATAATGGTATCAAAAATGCAGAAAGAGAAGTGGAAGGGGAAAGAGGAAATAAGAGAGAAGAAATAGTCGTTTGGTTCATGAAACGGCCTCGATCGACGAAGCTTATACTCAAAAGTTGCTGGAAGCATTGGCAGTAGGCTTTTTACCGCTTTGCAACAGACTTGGAGGTCTGGAGTTGTCGGGCTCAGGGATAGGAGTGATATTGGCGTGAGGGTTATAGGTATTGTACTCTGAGGGCGAGGGGGTAGAGAAAGCCGGAGGAGAAGAAGTAGTAGCAGCACCTGGGGAAAAGGCGCGGTATGAAGGCTGGGAGGTGTATGTTGGCGGATACTGGCTGGAGCCGAATGAGGCTTGGCGCTGGAAGCCTGGTGTTGGGTTTGTGCCTGTAGAGTGGTCTAATTCTGAGGATGGGGAGAAGGCCATTGGCACCGGGCTGTAGTTCGTGTGTGGTTTGTATGCTGCTGCGGGTGAGGGTGTTGTCACGGCGTGATAGCCATTCCCTCCAGCGGGAGAGTGGTCGTCGTATGAGTCTTGGTATTGTTGCTGGTCATAGGGATTGTGGACGGGGGCCCCGGCGGGCGATGTGAGGCCTGGGGGATGCGGGGCGTACGGGTCTTGCACTCTGGTTCCATAAGAGGCCGATGGGCCTGGAGACCGTCTTCCATAGGCATCAACCGTGGCGACTGGGACTGATATCCCGGGCGAACGCCGTTCATAGGGATCTTGAGTAGGAGCCAAGGCTGCTGGGCCAGGCGATCGTCCGTATGGATCCTGCGCAGCATTGAGTGACGCGGCCGGGCCTGGTGATCTTCTCCCATAGGGATCAATGGCTACTCCAGGGGAAGACACGCCGGGCGAACGTCGAGCATATGGGTCTTGCATGGGATTCAATGCAGCACTCGGACCAGGGGAGCGGCGCGCATATGAATCTGTAGGCGCGAAGCCTCGGTATCCTACTGCCGTGATGGCTGGATTAGGCGAATAGCCTGAGTAAGGGGCGCCAGGGGCACCAGCACCCTGCTTCCGGTCCGGCGGATTCAATGGCTCCATTTCCACGTCGTCACGATGATTGAGGTCTTCAACATGCTTGTCGACAGCTCCAGCCCATGTTGGCATCTCGGGCAGGGCATCCTCATTAATATGAGCGGCAGGGGACTTCGGCGCATCAAACCGCGCAGTCAGCTGCGCATCACGGAAGGAGGGCGCATTCGGTTGCTCACTACGGTAAACCGGTGGAGCCGGGGGCGCTTGATAAACCGGGTTGGGAGCGTGTGGTGGGTGTTGGTGGAACGGAGGGTCGTCAAAGTGCTTGGGCGTTTTGTTTCTGCGTCTGCCTGACGGACAGCAACAACTACAGCAACACTTGCAGCATTGGTAGCCGCAACAGAGGCAATTGAAGATACATGCTAACACGGCGAGCAGAATCACAGAACCAACGATGATACCAACGATGACGGGCCACCTTGCGCCGATGGATTAGCATGGTCTTGAATTGGGGCGCAAATGGGGAGCGCAAATGGGGAGCGCAAATGGGGAGCGCATGTCCCCTCCCCAAGCACAAACTTACTTGCAATAAGATTCGGTCATACATTTGTCCCAACTGGAAAAGGTCGATGGAACCGACTGGAGATCACTCGCGGTATCTCGGGCCCACAGTGTTATACAGTTCTACCGCAAAAGTTTCCGTACGACCCGCACCCCATCAAATATATATCTCCCATTTTTGATTTTAGCAAATCGAACCTGCTAACTTCAATTAAATACTATACCCCCAATTTATATAGTAAAATTATATAAAAATATATATTAGATAGGCAATTGGACATAGTATTTAATTTATATTTTTAATATTTAGTATACCACCCATTTGCCTCAATTACTGCCTCAACCCTGCGCCCCATGCTCGAAATCAACCCATCAAAGTAATCCTGGCCTAGCATCGCCCATGCAGCATGAATTAACTCTTCGAAATGATGAATCAGATCTTCTTTGGGACCTTCAAATTTATCAAGGTCCGGATCAAGGCGGTCGATCATTTCTTTAAGTTTTGCCCATGCATGTTCAATAGGGTTCAAATCAGGTGAGTACGGCGGCCACACCATCGTCTCAATTCCATTCTCCCACAACCAATCACGAATAATATGCGCAGTATGGATTGGAGCATTATCGTGCATAAAGATTCGCGTCGAATCCATACAAATTTGGGGTAAATTCTCCTCGAGAACCTCGCGATACGAGAACCTTGAGTATCCGTTGCGTGCTGACTCCGAGTCACGATTCATTTGGAATAAATCGGAGCAACCACCACCGAATATTGCTCCCTAAATCATAATTGAGATATTTTTCGACTTCGAGTATGTGGTAATATGTTCTTTTTTCCATTTTTTATTTCGGTGGTTGATGAAAAAGACCTAACGGTAACGCTTCCCTTTCCCGATTTTAATAGAGCATTCATCGGACTAAACAATCTTCTTCTAGTCATCCCACGTCCAATTTCGTCGCTCCAAAGCCCAATTAAGGCGTAGCTCGGCGTGTTCCGGTTTTAAATATAGTCTTTTTTTCGCTTTCCAATGTCCGTAGCCCGAGGCTTTGACCATTCGAAGAAGGGTATCGTCGGAAGCAGTTAAGCCACTTTGTTCGCGGATTTCTTGATAGGTAATAAAGGGATCGTTTCGAATCAATCGAATAACCATAGAACGGTCATCTGCTGATAAAATCGAGGGGCGACCGACGCGGTTTTGATTATTGCCTTCGTGTCGGAGAGGTTCTTTCTCGAGGGTATACTGAATTGTGGATTTGGATAAACTGAAGTGCTGGGCAATTTTCGCGATTGACAGGCCTAGCTGGGCTTGACCAAAGATCTGACCCCGGAGATAGGGAGATAGCTCATTTCCCTTTATCCTATTAGAATTAATAGGACGTAGAGGGGTCCTGGGAACCATGGTGAATTTTTAAAAACCATGGGTTGGGAGAAGACGCGGGTCAAAAATGTAATTATTCGCGAAAAACGCGGGTGTGGACCCCCGACCGTACGGAAACTTTTGCGGAGGGACTGTATTTGGCGGACTCATATTGGAAAGGGATAGCGGGTCCGTGGAGCGATAGAGGGGGATTCATCCGATTGCCAATGATAGCTGCAGAACAGCTGCGTGCAATTCCCTCTAGACCAATGCGATCGATATGAGATGCGGTTCGAAAGTACAGGTAAACTGTAGCGCATGCGACAAACGAGGTATAATGGTGAGCCCTGGGTCCGGGGTAGCGAGAGAGCGGGGCGCGGATGTGCGAGTGTAGCGACGATAGATGCAAAGGCCACACAGCATTGACTCGTTTCAGCGAATGGATGCGATATTTGTTGAGCGAAGGCGTAGATCAGCGAGTTCGAAAATGAGGATTAAAAACGACAGGCAGCAAGTGACCAAAATAGACCGAATTGCCGAATAGAGAGAGAGAGAGTGTGTGTGTGCGCGTGTATGTGTGAGATCCAGGGCCAACGAGGAAGCGCAATGTTTCAAAATGAATGACACAGCGAGACAAGCGCTGCTTGTCTCGGGGAAGAAGAGAGATGAGACGAAGAAATGGCTGAAACACTGAGAGTTGAGTAAGGGTTGACATCGAACCCATATGTTTCCCCTCCACCTATCACATTCCCGCGGGAGACGGCCAACGACAATCTTCATTAATCGAGTCCACCGTTTGGCGATCTCTCGTGATTTAGGGAATGTTTACGGAGTGAAGATGATACGTGTCTACCATATTAACGGAGGGAATTATTGAGATTTTTTGTTTCTTTCATTCTCACAAAGGGAAATCAAACATTTGTGGACTGGTGTCTCCTCCAATTACCCTTTCCAGACCCATTAAATCTCGAGGCGAAACATCCAGGGAGAAATTCCCAGAGGGAATTCTCAGTATGTACAGCTGCACAGCCATGATGCAATATTAAAGAGAGCCTCCGCACTATCCCAAACTGTTCGATGAGGGAATCCTAGCGTTGGACAATGCATTCAAATACAAATGCTGTTTGCAATGACTGAGAGAAGCGGTTTGCGAGTGGAATAGCGTCAAGCATCGAAATGCGAATCCGACACAGCGAGGAATATCGCTGATTCCACGGTAGAAAACAAAAACTGTACAGAGAAAAGGCCGCATGGTCAATTAAAGGGCGTTGATATGGTCAAACGAATGTTCGTAGAGAAAAGGAGATGCCAAGGTGTCGCGAGGAGAATGTTCGATAGAAGTCGTCCAGGGGGTATTGTTTTTTTTTTCTCGCGGAAAAGCCCCATTGGGAAATATCAGAAATTGGAAAGTCGGCGATGGTAGGCCGAAGCGTCTTCATGCGCATTTTCAGGTGCGAAGTTGCGGGATCGTAAATAGACATATGAAATGAGGCCACTCGAGAATCGGACGGATCGCGAGAGTGAGTTGCCCAGAGAAGATGGTGGGGGACGGTCATAACAAGATGTGACAGACATGGGTTCTGCCAAGTAAAAAAAAAAATTGGAAAATGGAAGCAAAGACCTTGGATGAGGAGGGTCTGCGAAGGAGAGGACGATGCCAATTGCTGGTATCAAAGAGGTAGAGAAAAGGTGAGTGGCGCAGTGTGTAGTCCAGCACTGACACCAACACAGATCAGATCTCTGCACAACCCGAGTAGGGGAGAGGCAAAAAGGGAAAGATAGAGCTTGGTAGAGAAGCAAAAAAGAGAAATCCGCCATAAAGGATCTGAAAATGCATCATCCACAAACACCGCGCTCCATAAACAAGAGGAGAAAAAAGGAGAATAAAAAGGAAACATATGCAAGGCCGTGCGAACTACCAAACGAAGGGTAGTGGTGGGTTAGTTTAGTATGAAAGCATCCGGCGGCCGGGTGTCCGGGCCGGGACTGGACTTTGGGAGAAAGGGGAACTGAGGTAGCGGTTTCGCTCGTTGTCTCCAAGACGGCAACGCCCTGTTGGACTGTCCTCCATTTGGGGAGACTGTTCACCGAAGGCGAAGGTCTGGGCCCGATTCAGCTTGGAGCGCTGTTTGACCTTGCCAAGTCCACGCTCACAGGCGAATTCATGCTCCTTGGCGCTCATTTCAACGTAGTTCTGAGGGAAACAGAAGGAACGGTGTTCAGCGAAGAACGAGCTGTATCCACCATCGAGAATGTACATATCTGGGTATGTGAGGTTGGGGTATGTGTCAACGTTGATGGCGCGATCTTGATGACGAAGATATTTGGCCATGATGGGAGCGCGGTGGGCAGAGTACTCGCAGTGCAAAACGAGCGCTGTGCGAGCCTGAGGGGTACTAAACAGTTCACCAGCCAGACGGTCCTTGTCGTTGTAGTTCAAAGCGCCGTTGATATGACCGCCTTCGTATTCATACTCGAAGCGGCAGTCAATGATCAAAATTTTATCGAACTGATCGCTGAACTTGCCATCCATGAGTTCCAGGAGAGTGCTCTTGTCGATGCGAGGTAGAGAGTCCGCGCGATCCTCAGGGATGAAGTGAGGCAGCTTCATGCTGGGCGGACTCGAAATGTCACTGATGGACTGGACGGGTGTATTTGTCGCTACCTTGGCCTCTTTATCGGCAAGAATATCTGCTGGGTGCTCAAACATGCTCAACGATCGCCGACACTGCTTGCGTGGGCGCATCAAAGAATGAGACGGTTTGCGGATTGAGTTTGGGGCGGGAGAGCCGTTGCTGCGGGCATGGTGAAGTGACGGCCGCATACGGGGCGGGGCCAGGTGGGTTGATGAGCTGTTGCGAGAGATGGGTCGCTCACGAGGAGGCGAGTCACCAAACATGTCCTCCAGGGAAGTAGATGTGCTGAGAGACGTCTTGGCTCCGGTTCCAAAGCGAAACGGCGGGGCTTTGCTCTCCGGTGCCGGCCGGGTCATTCCAAGCTGGAAGGACTGAGCCTTGCTGCGGGCCAGATTAGGACGCAGGAACGTAGGCCGTTTTCTCCTGTCGATTGGAACTCCGTGTTAGCCAAACCTCAGCTCATTCAGTGGCTGGCTGACAGTCACGTGCACTTACTCCGGAGGGCATAAAGGCGATTCCATTGGAGATGCCTGCAAAGGACTGGGCAATGGAGATGCCAATGGCGATTCCATCGGGCTCCCCCGGGGGTAGGAGACTGGAGTTCAATCTCTGCAGCAACGAAGAACGCCGGTTTGTGAGGTAACGGCGACATGTCCATCAGGTCCATAGCCGGAGCTGGTGAAGACGCCGGAAGCGGTGGGGTGGTCATCACATCGTCTATAAGCAAGATCAGCAACTGGTGCACTCTAGCACCGAGGGCTTGGTTTCTTACCATGTCCGCTGGCTTGGCTGAGCATGCTGGCTGTGAACAAAGACCGCCGAGGTGTGGCTAGTTGCGGACTAAATATAGAGTTAGTACAGCTTTGTTCCTTTGACACTTTGAAACAAAGGCCTCGGGAAACGTCTGGCAAGGCACATACCTCTGGTCGATATGAAAGTTTTGGGAAAGATCGGCAGCCAGACTGGCAGTGGGTGAAGATCCCCGAATGGACTTGCTGAAGTAGTCCGAACCCGACTTCTTCATAGACAATTCCTTGAAATTGAAAGGGTTCGCACCAAATCCAGACATTGGGCCCAAGGAATACGATGTCGAAGCCTCAGAACGAAAGCAATGACCAAACATAACCGAAGGAGGCTGCATTGCAGCCAGAGGTGAAGAGTGCTCCATGTCCGGTCACAAATTGCAACTGGGCCAGACGCTAACGTTGTACAGTTCGTTCAAGAGAGGTAACGGATGGAATAGACGGAACAGTGGCACTCAAAGCCTTGCCAAGCAAGTTTACCCAGCACTAGGTCCTACAATGAGGTCCAAAAAAGTTGTGTCTCGATGCACGTCTCCACGTTTGCAATTTCAACGTTATGGGTCCCCACGATCGCCGTGACAACCAGTCCGCCACAGAAAAAAAAAGGAAGAAAAAAAAAGGTCCAAGGTCCCAGACCCTAACCACCAACGGTGAGAATTGTATTGTGCTGGCAAGGAAGCTTAGAGAGCCATGGCAAGAGTTCGGAGGATTTGGAGGTCAATATGTCGGCTGTGATTGGAGGGGTTGGGGGGGGGAGCTCGTGGGTGCTGCAGGAGGGGAAGATCCAGGTAGTCTCAGAACCGGGCACAGAACAAAGCTTAGAAGGTTGAACTCCTAGTTGTCGAAAGAATGTCGACAGAAAGTATGAGAGAGAAAAGAAAAGAAAAGCAGGAACAGAGCGGTTTGAAGAAAGAACTGGTGAAGCTGAAGGGATGGGCTTGTTGCAATGGGCAACGCAGGTGGGGAGGATCTCCGGGATGTACAGTACTGACGGTAATACTGCGATTTCTCGTAATGACCGGGAATTTAATATTCGGCCCAAAATCCAGGTCAGATTTGGCTTAGTTTGGGACGGGGGTTTCAATTTGGAGATAAATGGAGGTCAAATAGCAAGGTAATCGAGGTAAATGGGAGGTATGGAGCATCAAAACAGCTAGTGGCTGTCCCTATAAGGAACATTATGCAAATCGTCCAAATGGCCTACATTAATTAAAACCAGTTTAGAAACTGTGGAGGAAACCAGGTACGATCTTCTGCGGTATGCACAGAAGACGCAGAGAGTAAAAGATAGACACTCCATACTCTGGCTAGGGGCTTTTTCTTTTTTTGGGGCGTTTTTTTTCTCGTTGCCGGGGCTCCCTTGCCGCAGCAACCCAGCGCCTATCAGAGCCCATCACGCCCTTTGCACCAAAGTCCCTACGTTGTCAGGTATTTTACTCGCTTTTTTTTCTGTTATGGGGAATCTGGTCCTAGACCTAGGTATCGAGGTAGCCAATCTGCTCCTCTTCTCTGCTTCCACGGTTCTTCTGTACGCAATTGTATCCACCGAAAAAAAAAAAAATTCTTTTTCGTCTTTCCCGTGTGTGCCGTCGAAGCTGAAAATGAAATTTCCAAAAAAACAAGACCCCAACAAAAGAAGAAAGAAAAAAGGGAAAAAAGGAACAAGGAAAGGAAAACGAACGGAAGAGATCGAGTCTAATGCGATCTCCACTTTCGTCCACGTCGGAAAAAAATTAAAGCTGTTGCTGCAAGTGATATGAAGCAAGGGACCGTCGATGGAACTAATGGGAATACGGAGTATGCAGAGCTTCTTTTATTGCTCTCAACGTCACGACAGACAAGCACCAGAGACGGGAATGACTCGGCAACGGGACGCAATTCCTAAGATATTCCCGTAGTAAGCAGCTCCAGATCCGCTACCTCGAACGCCCGATAAGCACAGCCTTATGATCACATTCATTTCCGGCCGTTTACCGAGGTGTTGATTGGCGATGGAGGTCTCGTGGATCTCATACATCTATGTACGGATCTCAAAGTCCCAAAGAGGTAAGAGTTTGCCTCTCAGATATCAAGAGCTGCGCAAAGCTTGGAAACCGGGGTTCCTCCCCCATCGTTTACCATCGAGGTGCTAGGTATTGGGCCAGGAATGGTCGACCAGAGAATCTCATTCTTTCTAGAGCGGAATCCAAATGCTGTATGGAGTACCCCGTAGCTATCACTCCGTTCATACATACCCGTGCTGCCCTTACGTTTACTGCATTCTTGCTGATCAAGGGTCCGCGAGGAGGACTTTCAATGTCGCGCATCCCTTCCATCCCCCTTCAAAGGATGCTTCACTACATTAATTGCCTACCTACATCGTAGGGCACCTATATTGAAACCTTAGTTATCTGATGATCTTTCGCTGGAACAATCGATCAAGAATCGAGCGAAACCCCCTTCAATGGAGGAAACTTGTCAACAATAGCTTTGAACCGAACCGCTCAATCGCTGTTGATCGTCCCTCCAATGCTCCCACGGACGGTGTGTGTGTGGTCCACATCCTGCGCTCAAAACTCGGGTCCAATTGACGTGGGAGTGTGATGGACGTGGTTCGTCAATCCATACTCTGAACAAGTTTATCAACACCCATCCGGAATAACCCTATGTTTACGAAAAAAAAAAAAGGATCTCCAATTCACCTTCCCGGCTATATGTTGCATGTCATATGCCTGCTATTTGCTGGGGCATCCCCTCGTCATAGTGGGCACCGGGCTTAGGATTCAGTGTACCCCACGGTGTGCTCTTCTAGACCCTCTCGTGAAACGCCGGAACCTCGAACTGCACTGATCGGGCTACATCCGATCAATCCGAGATCCAGCAACCCTGATCCTTGCAATTGGCTGCATTTACGGAGTATGCGGAATCCGTATGGATCAAAGTCTTCCAGGCTCGTTATGCCGTTAGACACTCCGGGGGAGAGACGCGGTGTGCAACTCAGTCTACTCCGTACGATGCGGAGAGTTGTCCTGGGCCCGTGAAGTTACGTCATACCTCCTCCGTACATTGGAAGCATCAATCTATTCTTGTGCCCCGTGCACATCGCAAACCTGATGTCCTACTCCGTATGGAGTATTACTCATGACGTTGAGGAATCAGCCAACCTTGGGACCCTGAAGGTCTATCGATCGCGTCGCGTCATTGATGGATTTGTTGACCACAACACTGGAACCGTTCTTCACAGATCAAAACAAGACTCTTTGTGGACTCCATAGCCGTTTGCAGGTGTGAAACCCTCGGTCTGACATATGGAGGGTGTCAGACCAGTCGGTTGCCCCGATCTAAACATGTCGCTGCGCCACGGCTAGACTGTCGCAGCTAAGGTGGGGTCGGGGAGGACCCCGATGATGTGATCCGTCGACTGCATCACAGCGCCATGCGCAATGGACCAGTCGTGTCAGCTCTCCAGCCGACTGCCTTGTCGCTGCGGGGTTCATCACACTTCTCCGACTCGTGTCCTGTCAGATACAATGCAGGTCAGTCCGTCTAGACCTTCCCCCTCCTCTCAGGGTTCCCCCTCCCAATGGTCATGATGTCACGCTTGTTTTGTTGACGGCGCGTAGGTTGAGTAAACAAAGCAGACCAGCTTTCACGAAACTCATGCGTTGTCCCGTGATCGCACATGACATCAAAGCAATCTGAGATCAAGATTTCAAACTTCTCTCAATTGGGTTTGATCTGTATTTGGTATTATACCCTACAGTACTGGAAATACCCTTACCCTGGATTTATTTCCCCTTCTCTATACTTCGTACTCCGTACTCCGTACTTGTGACTTATTTCCGGTCGGAGTGCCCGATCTGCGCCGCTATTGGAACCCCCGGGGCTGCCATTAACGCGCAAGCCCACACGCCTCATCGGCTGCGTGCCTGTCAGCCTCCCAGTTAATTCCCCTCTCAATCGCGGCACTATCAATTCTTAGCGACGACCTACTCCCGTTTGGGAAACTGGTGACTCCGCATATCGCACAGCTCCGATCGTGGTCCATGTCTTGTCAAGTTCAACGTGATACATCTTGATGCATAAATCCATTGTCGCCGTTCGACTGGTATATTCTACCAGTCTCTCATCTCTTGTATGGCACACAACATACTCAATCAATATAATATATTTCTTTTTCTTTTTCTTTTTTGTTTTCTATATCTTTTCAGCCCTCAGTCTCAGCCCGTAGTTCCCCGGACTTTAAAATCACCGTGTATGCCCCAGTGTCAGCACTCAGCCAAATTCCACTCCTAGCCCATGCTCCCCGTTTCAAGGCCATGTGATAAGGTGACAGGTGCATCAGGCAATCTGGACCACGAAACCCCTGAAAACGCAAAATCTGACGTCCGTCCTCCGTCCGCCGTACTTGTGCATCTATCACACCGGTTGCCAGGACTCCCAGGCCCACCAGAGCCGCCCAGACTCCATATATTATCACTCCGAGACCCATCCGGCTACATCAAAACCACCTGCGCACTTCCCACGAAATTCGTTTCCACATGTTGCCAGGCACGACCATGACTACTTAAACTAAAACCTCCTGAACCATGCAGATCCGCGACAGCTGATCTCCCATTCCAACACATCATTCTGACACAGAGGTAATTTTTTCCGACTACGGGGTACTCCGTACAGAGTACCTAACTCCATAGTATTAACTTCGCCAAAATGTCAATGGCATTGCCACCGCCAGAATGGATAGTTCGATGCATGATTCCTGCTTCTCTATCTAAATGACCTACCACGCATCTATATCCAATACGGAGTACGGAGCACACTCGTCGTATACTCCGTCGTACCTCTCACGGACAGTTGCATCCGCGGAACCACAGAAGCGGAGCCCGGATCCTGAAGCTCGGATCCAGCGCGCAATTAGCGGGAGTCTCGGCGACATGCAATCGTATAAATGGATGCCACTTTCCCGGTTGCCTTTGACAACAGGATATTAGCTCTGCGTCTGGACTGTCTCGACTCTCCGATTGAGGTTCTGGTGCGGCGGAATCAGGATGATCTCGTTTTTGGGATTCGTCATTACCCCTGAACTAGTTCCGACTTCTTTTCGACCCCCGGTGTACGACGCATCTGGCGACGGTCACTTTGACAGCTTCGAATACACAGCGTTTTTTGGTCCCTTAGATCGCTGTTTGCATGTTTGCATGTTTGCATGCTCCGTCCATTTTGTGGTTTTTGCGGTATCTTTGCTGCGGCCTTCAGGGGCAGCATCGGAGCTATACTCGGTACTCCGTACGGAGTACTTCGTACTTGGAGACAGTCTAGATCCGGTGTGTTTCTTGCTGGGTTTGTTACCTTTACTTTCCTTTCCAAGCGTTTCCTTGGTCTCCACGGGTTGTAGGCTTGGTAGCGTTCAAAATAGTGTCACGGTTGATGGAGATAGACCCCAGAGTTCCCAAAATCTTCGTTATCAATAATCAGACGCTACCATATATGTTCGGAATCCACAACTAACCCCATGCCACACCACAGCTACTTGTGAGGGTACATATGGAAACTAATCAAGGAATTCAATGTGGTTTTCAATAAGAAAAAGAAACATCTATGTTCGACGAGGTCGTCTGCTCATTTTTGAACCCCAGGTTGGAGCATCAAAGTCCTTATCGGCTTATCGGTCCACACTAGTCCCAGATAGGCTAAAGCGTGAATTTTTCTGAGCGACTTCGACGGCCGCAAGGAGTGTTGAACGTGCCTTTAATTTGCAGGTCTCCATTGTCAAGGCTCAAAACCGGACAATTTGATTGTTAATTGCACCTCACACCTATCCGTCATCCTGAACCCCCGCCCAGCCTCTGCAATGGGTCCCCCCTTCGCCGGTTCAAAAAAGCGCCGTCGCGAACCTCACAACATCGATGTGAAGTTGGTGGAGCTCTACGAAGACCTCGCCAGCGAGAAAGATGAAATCCGACTCAAGGCAGCCCAGGCGCTCGTTTCACAGTTCACTCCGGATCAGAACCCTGCGGACGAACAGATCAAGAAGGTGCTTTCGAGGCTCTTCCGCGGTCTCTGCAGTAGCCGCAAAGCCGCTCGAATTGGCTTCTCGATTGCCTTGACAGAGATTTTGACTCAGGTCTTCTCCTCGCCAAGAGAAACGTCACGCTTTTGCTTCTCCGATGCTCTGAATCTCTGGGACTCCCAGTCGAGTTCCTCCGGCAGCGAGTCGGGGCAGGTTGGTGGCTACACATGATCTGGAATGTCGCATGCACTAACTAGCATCTTTTTTGTTTCGTTTAGGAGCAACGTGATCACATTTTCGGTCGGCTATTCGGCGCTGAAGCGATCATCAAATCTTCCGTTCTGTTCCAGCCTACCGTGCCTTTCGAGCAATGGACCCAGGTCCTCGCTCTTGTCTTCGAGCTCGCACAGAAGAAGCCATGGATCCGCGAAGAATGTGGGTGGATCATCTATCAATGTGTTTATGATCTAGCTGCACGCAAGATGGATGCCAGGTATATTGAGGCCGCACTGGAAGGCTTGTGTTCGCACGATATCGCCCGGTCGCCCGAAGGCGTTGCTATCTGGTTGGCGGCGAAGGATGTGTTCCCCAATGCTACTTTCCCGAGCAAGGTCTGGAAGCACGACGATCCCTTGGACACGAAGGAGCGCAGCAGCTTGTCGAAGATTATGAAGGAGTCGGGCGCTGCAGCGAATGAGGGCGAGAACAAGGCAAATATTGCGAAGACCTCTGGTGTCTGGAACTCCAAGCTTCATTTCGCGTGGGATGCCGTTCTGTCCCGGACCAGTGTGGAGGCAAAGGACAAGTCAAAGAAGTCCCGTATGAGTTACTCTGATTTCTGGACTGAGGTTGTCGACAGTGAGTACATGTACCCATCTAATGGTGGGATGCTACACGAGAAGCATAAAACTAACAAACATGTTTGCAGATGGACTGTTTGCTGCTGCATCGTCGGACGAGCGCAAGTACTGGGGCTTCCTTCTTTTCACTAGAGTCATCAACGATGGTGGAGCGCCACAAGCCTCGCTTACATTCACCAAGAATCTTATGCGATGCTTGACTAACCAACTTGCTGTGGAAGACCGGTACTTGCACCGAATGGCCGTTAAAGCGGCTAAGGCAATCCAAGCCCGTGTGTCCAAGGAGCCTGAATTTGCTGCCCCAGCAATCCGTGGTTTGATGGGAACCAGCGGCACGTTGAACTTTGACCAGGCTACAAAGACCAAGACAGTTGAGAAAATCGTGGCCGAAGCTAACCATGAGGCTTTGGAAGAGATTGTCCCATTCTTCGAACAACTTATCCAAAATCCCGGCACAACGGACGAGAAGACCGCGGCGTCCAATCGTCAATTTGTTGCTGGTCTCCTCCTGTCAATTGTGCGCTCCAAGGCCTCTGCCACCGAAGAGGACGTCGAAGACCTCCAGGCAAGCCTTGAGCAAATATTGTCCATCTTCGTCCGCTTCGCGTACTTTATGGATGCCGGCAAGAGTTCAACTTCCCCTGAACCTGCAATCTCCTCGGCGACACAGGAACTGCTACGCAACCGGATCAATTCTTGTTTGAACAGTCTCATTTCCAACCAAAAGTTCGCCATTACACTTCCGTATGCGGTGGTGAAGCAGATTCGCGATGCGGCGAAGTCTGGCGAATTCGGCAAATTCATCATCGCTATCGATGATAAACTGTCGGAGTCTGTAAAGGCTGCCTTCAAGTCACTGAAGAAACTGTCCAGCAAGGTACGATCTTCCCCTACCTCGGTGTCTTCACTACTTGAACTGACCACTACGTAGGAGAAGAAGGAGAAGGGAATGGCTGCATTCAAGCTGCTTTACTCCATGACCATTATGCAGGTTTACAATGGAGACGCAGACGCAGTGTCCATGCTTGATGAGCTGGAATTCTGTTACACTAAGTTCTTAGGCGATAAGGAGACTAAGACAGAGGATGCCGGCGATGCCTCGGATGCGTTAGTTGAGATCCTCCTCAGTTTCGCATCGAAGCAATCGCAGTTGTTCCGTCGCATGAGTGAGCAGGTGTTCGGCGCTTTTGCTAACCAGATTACCGAGAATGGATTGGAATCATTGACCTCGGTATGTGGCCTCAACTCCATTTCGAATTGCTTTTTCCCCCTTTTCTAACTAGATCCAGATTCTGGAGGCAAAAGAAAGTTTGGCTGGACAGCAAGAGATGTTCGAAGAGCAAGATGACGAAGGCGAGGAAGAAGAGGATGATGATGCCGAGATGATGGATGTCGATGAGGATGAACTTGACAGTGATGTCGAGGTTATCGAGGCTGGCGCACCCGGCTCCGACTCCGACGATGATGACGAGGAGGAAGAAGAAGAGGAAGAAGACAACGAAGAAGATGCACAGGAGGTCGCCGCCTTCGAAGCTAAACTAGCTGCCGCGCTCGGCACACACGGAGCTGATGACGGCGACTCCGATGCCGACATGAACGACGACGAGATGGATGAGCTGGACGACAAACTTGTGCAGGTGTTCCGAGCGCGCCGCCAAGAAACCTCCCACCGCAAGGACAAGAAAGACGCGCGCGAGAACATGGTCAATTTCAAGAATCGTGTCCTAGATCTGCTTGAGATCTTTGTAAAGAAGAGCCACTCCCGATTGCTCGCCTTGGACATTCTACTACCCTTGCTTCGACTATCGCGTCGGTCCAGCGTAAAGCAGATTGCCACTAAGGCCAACAGTGTTATTCGCGAGTACACGAAGGTGTGCAAGGGCAATACACTCCCGAAGATCGAGGACGCTGCACAGGCCGAGGCCCTCTGGGAGCTTCTCCGATCCGTTCACAAGGAGGCTAGCCACAGTGGGCCCATGGGCCATGCAACTGCTTGCAGCCAGGCTAGTTTGCTTGTTGTTAAGGTGCTCGTTGCGCATGATAAGGATGCCATTGCGGATGTTGTGGATGTTTATGCTGCCACCCGCAAGGACCAACTCATGAGCACCAAGTGTCACGTGCAGCCATCGTTCTTCTCGGAGTGGAACAACTGGTGTGTGTCGGCGAGCAAGCAGTTGAAGTGAGGAAAATGAGTTTTTGTATAGAGATTGCGAGTATGATATATCGCTAGTTTTCAATTTCAATGTCATTGTCATGATTGTTCAACCGGTTTGGTCGGATTGCGCCATGGGTATCTCCCTATATGTCCTAGGTATAAGTATATGATTTCAAATACCAGCTGTGCATACACCAATAACGATCATTTTGGAATATGGTGGAATGACTTATGCAAAATAATATATCTCGGTGTGTTATTACATTTGCATTGAGCTTGTGAAGGTCGGATATAGCATCTCCCTGGGTAGGTCGCCCAAGATATATCACGAAGACGAAAGATAGCGACTCATTTAATTTTGGAACTTGGCTTCTGAAAGTCGCTCTGATTCATTACTATCTAGATATACTTCCCTGTGATCATGAAGAGCTGTATTCGCCGCCTAGAACCCAGTAATATATCGATGTTTGGTTGTTTCCTGTAGAACTTCTAACTTCATCCCAACCTCGATGATCCCTTCGTTGCGGGGCGCACTCAACATTCCAAAACAGGGCTTATATTTGATTCCCTCATCAATTCTGCGGTACGACATAAGCGTATCCCACGGTTGCTTTTTATGCTTTTGCGCCGTGTTCGGATCGACATTAGGTACTTGACAACGCGCACAGCGAGCCACAATGTCTAGATCAAGAGGAGTTTCAGAAAAGGCTTCGCCAGAGCCATTCGAGCCATCAGCAGCACTATGAGTCTTCTGACTAGCAATTCGAACCAACTTCCACGAATCCTCACTCCAAGGCACCCCCCGCGGACAATAATATTCGGACGAAATCTCTCCACGGTGATCGGGTCTATGCCCACTCGTCCCAGACGCACATTGAGTTCGCTCAGCGAAGCCTCCGATGCAATAAGCACCGGATGAACATCCGAAAACCCGGTTGTCTGGACGCGGCCCAGATGTCGTGGAGCGCCGTTACCCTTCAGCACGCGCGGCGTCGGGCCCTTGTAGACGAGCACGACGTCACGGCGCAAGAAGGCAGAGAATGGCGCATTGATTTCATCACTGTACATGTACCCATCCGTTTCAGTGTCCCAGATGTGGACGAGTCCTATTTTGGTATTTGCAGAAAGCCAATCCGGGGATGGATGGGATGGGATATGAACTTTATGAAACTCTTGATCTTGCTGTTGACCTTGATCGTGACCTGGTCCAGTTTCATTGGTCTGGGCTTTTGGTATACTCACGACCAACTCACTTCCATCTGCACTTAGGGCAGTACGGATGCGCGTCATGTCCGGGATTTGGCGGATAGTCAGGAACTTATTTGAGGATGCATCGACCAGCATCCAGCAACGGTCCAAGTCGAGACCGTGCTGTTTTAGAGCCGTTGATTGGACTTCCAGGCCGCGACAGGATTTTATGGGGTACATGCGCAACGAGACGATCTCGCTGGATTGTTCGGGACGCCGACGCCATAAGCGGAGAAGTATGGTTGAAGATTGGGCTAATTTGGAAAAACCTTGGAAGCGGGGTATCAGGATAATTGGGATCAGGAATATGAAACCTAGGATTATTGCTGACACCATGCTGTGCAACTAGAGGATGTTTGCTATTTGGGATGAGGTTAGTGTCACATGTATACAACCTGAGATCAGCCCAGTTTTGCCAAGAAGTGCCGCCTTGCAGTCTTATATACATCATGGACTTCGGGCGTACCTACTCCGTACATATACACACATAAGGTAGGTCTCCCCTTCGTAAGAAAGGTGTAGTGTTTTCATATCTCTTCCTAATTGAATACAGCGCTCTGTATCAATGACTTTTTGAAATCACGAGATCGCACTATCTCCGACCTATCTTTTCACCAGTCTTTTCAACTGTGCTTTTTTACCTACATATGTACTACTTAGGTAATTCTACTGCGAAGCTCCCCTGGAGTTCATATAGACTTGCTGGTTCCAGTCCTTATAAATACAGACCCAGGTACCTTATTATCTCACGTACAAATAAGTTTTCACAACACCCTTGAATATTGGCCGTCTGTAGGGCTGAAATATTAATAAAAAGTCTCAATAAACATCAACAGAAAGCTGTACATATAGATCATAGTGAAGGTGGGCGAATCCAGTATATATGGACCGGTATATATTCATGGTACCGACGAAAATGCCATATGCTATGCGATAAAAAAGAGGAACAGAACCAAAATGCAACTCAATACCGGAGAAGAAATCACCAAAGCCAAAGAACATATCATGAAAGAAAACCCACATGTACCCAAGTAGATCACCCGCACGAGGATATATGCTAGAGATAAAACTGTCTGCGATGCCGCAATTTAATCATGCTGAATGTGTTTTATCAAGCCAACACGCGACCATTGTCTTGATTAGGGCCAGTGCAACCACCCGACCTTGCTCAATATGTGCATCCTCAGATCCCCCAGGGACATGGAGGAACAAGATATTGCGATCCTGGCCTTGTAATTGAGCCAAAGACATGCTGGTGTAGAATATGAAGTCACACAGGTAATGACCCGCATCTTTGGAGATTCGAAGGTCTGACTCCGGGGCGAAAGAGCGCCATAACTCCAGAAACTGATCGCCAGGCTGGTAAGGCGAAGTAGAGGAGGGGTTATCAGTAGCACGACCAGGCGTCAAAATCGGAGGCAGTCCCAGATCTTTCCATCGTTTCTCGCCATCCACATAGCCAGGGCGACCCTCGATATCAGTGATGTGATAGTCATCTCGATGAGCTAGGATTTCGACAGAGTAATACTGGCGTGGAGCTGCGATGCCGATATGAACAACGAGATCAGGTCTGCGACCGCCATGGGAAGCAGCAAACTCCTCCAGAATCAAAGGAAGAGTTTCTTTCACGGTGGCATATGCCACTGGTATCGGTGTGGGGTGCACATGGAGTGAGACCCGACGCGGGGCCGAGTCGTGGTCTTTGGGCGACGGGAAAAGAAATGATGATGGAAGTGATGAAGCGATCAGATACGAAGCATTCACAAGGTTAGACTTAAAGGGCTAGTTCCACAGTTAGTTCTGATCGTATCGGATATGAGCAATACCTGAACTGCAGATCACCCAGTGAATCACTCACTCCAAAGCCCGTTATCAACACGGATATTTCGTTAGGCGAGACCGAGGCCTGCGGTGGATTATTCTCGACGGAAATAGGGGGCAAATGGGGAGCAGCAGAGCCATAGTCACCCATGATGACAGATATTCCTGGATATGAAGTTGAGATGAAGATGGCTACAAGCGGGGAAGTACCTCAGATGGTAGGGCACATGAGACGAACGCGGGGGCTTGGCGTAACGCAACCATGGATCGACTAGCCTAATTCTGTTAACCTATAAGATCTATAGATAGGAGTATATGGAGTATACGGAGTCCCTTTTTTCATATGTGAACTTTAGTCTGTAAGGCTATTTTCTCTCATATACCTAGGTAGGTACGGAGTACATCTGATTTGATCGGCTCGCTTGCTGGTCTCCAAAGAAACTCTTGTGGCGCCGGAAGTTGCCGAGACTTTCTTACTTCCCTTCATCCTGTACTACCGAGTAGTTTCTCCTCTAATGATTCTTCAAAATACATGCTTGAATCTGCATCAAGCCTGTGTTGTCATTGGTACACCTAAAAATTCAAAGAGTTGGAATATGCGAGTGGAGCTGGACGGGATAAAACCCTACAAGAATAGCCTGTTCGGGCAATGATCGCTGGATTGGGTTCTCGTTCTCGCATTTCGCGCATTTCTTGCATCAGATCTACGGAGTATACTACGTGTATCATAGAAGATTAGATTTTGGCACATTGGCATCCCGGTTAAAGGGGTCAGTCATCGTACACACTATTGGTGATGTGGCTGCAACGTTGCTTGGCCTTGGTCCAACTTGGTTCGGCTTGAAAGCATCCGATATTCACTCCGTACATGGGCCCCCCTATTTGGAGACGATCCAGTCACAGCCCCGTAGATTAAGATTAAAATGGAGCTTCCCTGCCTATGCCATGGCTCGACACTTTGAGAAATCCCATACCCCTCGGAAAAGCTCAATCTCTGCAAATTTGGGGTGTCGCTTCGATTGTTATACTTTTATACTCTTGACGATGGCAGTTATCACTGAATTGCTCAACAGCCCCTATGTGGCACAGAGCGTCTGCTTCGCTCTCCTGGCAGTCTTCATAACAAGCATTTGGGGGGATATCGCAAATGAGATTCCTCATAGACGGATTCCTTTAGTTGGAAAAACTTGGTGGGAGCTCACCAACAAAAAGGCTAGGTCACGATTCACCAAGTCATCTCGTAAACTCATTGCCGAAGGCTTTGCCCAGGTGAGTCTTGAGACGAATGGGTGTTTGCGGGAATCCTTGCACTGGAAAATACTAAGTGGTCTCTGCAGGGCAGGAATGTATTCCAGATCATGGGGGCTACCAGGCCGATGGTTGTATTGCACCCGAAGTTTGTCGATGAAATCAAAAATCATCCAGACCTGAGCTTCGAGGATGCCATCAAAAAGGCAAGTTGCTAGTACAGAAATAACTTGGACCTGCCAAACTAACTTGCTCATAGACCTTTTTCGATAACCGCATCCCAGGGTTTGAACCATTTCACAATGGAACATCTTTACAAGTTACCGTCGAGATCGTGCGTACGAAGTTGACTCAGGCACTTGGTATGAATGCCTTAGCAGATCTCATTCGAGAGACCAAACTAACCCATTCCCCTTCTTAAACAGGGTCCATAACAATCCCACTCTCCAAGGAGACTGCTGCGATATTAAGAGCCTCGCTGCCCCCCACAGACGGTATGCATAGATACTTCACTTGTGTCAAATTCAGCCCCTGATGTTTCTTTGCTTGGCAGAATGGGAACCCTATCAAATTGCCTCTAAAATCCCGCACATGGTGGCCCGGCTATCCTCTTTGATATTTGTTGGAGAGACCATCTCGCATGACGAAGAGTGGATCAATGTTTCCGTTAACTACGCCATCGACGCATTTAATGCCATGCGAGATCTACGAGAATGGCCTTCCATTCTTCGTCCGGTCATCCACCGGTTCTTGCCCGCTACCCAAAAGCTGCGCAAACATTTGCAAATGGCTCGTGCCATAATTAGCCGCGAGATAGACAGGCGCGCATTGATTCGGGCAGGCGAGATCCCCGAAGATGATCCCCCTCGCAATATCGATGCATTGGATTGGTATCGTGAGACGGCCGAAGCCCGGAATAAGTTGGACTTTGACCAGTCTTGTTCCCAGGTTGGGTTGGCGCTGGCGGCCATTCACACAACATCGAACTTGCTGAACAACGTCTTGTACGATCTCGCGGCATACCCAGAGTACATCCAGCCGCTGCGCGATGAGATCTGGGCAGTTGCTGCCGAAGATGGGATTTTACAAAAGACCAGCCTGCTCAAGTTGAGACTGATGGACAGTGTGATGAAAGAATCGCAGCGAACGCATCCACTTTCATTCAGTAGGTGACCCGCGCTCGATATTCTTTCACTCGATTTTTTCCGAAAGAATGATTTACTAACCGTCCCTAATAGCCTCCATGAACCGCCTCACCCTTAAAGAAATTGTTCTCTCCGACGGTACTGTGATCCCCAAGGGTGCGAACATCTTGGTTTCTACCAATACGTTGGAGAACGACAGTATCTATCCCAGTGCATCCACTTATGATGGATACCGGTTCTACAACAAACGCCAGCAGCCCGGCAACGAACACAGGCATCAGTTTGTCACAACGACTACCGAGCATTTCGTCTTCGGCCACGGTGTTCACGCCTGCCCGGGCCGATTTTTCGCTGCCAATGAAAGCAAAATCATGCTTCTTCATCTGCTGCTGAAATATGACTGGAAATTGCAAAGCGGAGAACGACCCCAGAACATCGAAAATGGGGTCGAATCTATCCCTGACCCCAGAGTTCAGCTTCTGTTCCGGTCGCGTGAACCAGAGGTTGACCTGAGTTTCTTAGGCGAGTAAGTGAATGAGTCCGGGATTTGAGAAGGGCCGTGTTCCTCTTCTGTTCTATACATATTGGATCTTGATGGGTTTTATGATTCAATCGAGGAAATTGATTTATGAGCCGTGGGACAAGCGGAGAGCCCGAGTGCCGCTTTGATTCATATCGAGTCCTTCGAAATCGAATGAATCAAGTCCACGTCTTCAGGGTCGGCAAGCAAGACTCGGCTCAAGAGTGGAGCTGATTAGCATCTGGTCCACAGCTCTGTAGTTATCCACTGTAAGCGAGATGAGATCTGGTTAGTCTGCACACCATATGTTTTACTCCGTTTCTGAATGGAACGATATCTGTGAACCAGAAAATTCAGGGTGCACCCCAATATTTCCATGCGAGATGCTCCTTGGAGCGGTGCATATCCCCAACTCTCGTAAAAGTCGACCTCGGGAGGTTCCCACGGCCACCACGTGACAGGTAACCATACAGTAACCATACGGTAAGTTTCGAGACGCGACGCGTAGAAAAATGAACGTGAAGCTTCGCCTCCACCTCCCAATGGGGTTATATGGGTCTTGGACCCCGTGTCTGCGTGTCTCGTGTGTCTCATCTCGTGTGTCCCGTGTCTCTCGTTGGGTCTTTCGAGGCTCCAGGGTTCGCAGGATCCAGACCGCACAATCAGAAAATATGCTGATCGACGGCCCCCCAGGTACCCGGACCCAAGATGGAGCTTTCCTGGGGGTCTTTCTTTTTCTCTTTCTTTCGACCAATTCGATTATAAAAGGAGAATGAAACAAAAGCACATTTGCTTCAGGAGGCTTGAGCCACTACCAGCATGATTGGAAAAGACTTGCGAACATCGCGGGACCGTCAGCTCTCTACCTAGGTACACGCCGTTGCTCGTTCTGGTTGGTATGAGCCCTTGCAGGTAACTGGGGACAATGTCTGATACTCTGATACCCTGCTCCGGGTGCTCCGTCCTGAGTACTGAGCCCGCGATCTACCGCACATCCAATATACATGGATTGGAGTACGGAGTACTCCGTACCCCGTCCCTGATCCCAAAATAACTCAGCTTTGGGGTTCACCAGCCCCCTTAGTTATAAGGCCTTCTATAACGTGTTGTATCTGTGAATCTAGGAGCCAAAATGCCGGTCATTATGTCCTTACCTCCGTGGTCTTCAAAGCTCTGTGGCCAAATTATTTGTCGGTGCATGCGTCAAGCAAGGCCCAGATATCTGCAGCCAAACACTCGACATGGAGAGAAAAAAAAATTCAAACATCTAAGAGCCAAGGAAGAATCAAAAACAACTGTAGACAACAATTCGAGAAGTTTTACTCCGTAGTCGCGAACAGCGCTTAGGATTTTCACCAGTGGGCCGTTGACCAAGTACTGGGTACCGTGTTCAACGGGCAGTCGACCGCCGGGACCACAGGTACCGTGTACCCCCCTCCCGCACGCCTCACCCTACGCCCAACCTTCTACTCCCCCATCTTCCTCTTCCTCTTCCTACTCTTTCTCAACCACCTTTTCCCATTATCGTGAGATTTTTTCTCGCTCCCTTCTCCGTTTGAGGAGACTTTTATTTCTTTTGTGTTTTCCCCGGAGGTAATGACGAAATCCTCCATTCCCTACTAAGACGGGATGGAGCCGCAGATGTGATCTGGTGATTCCGATTTCAAGTTGCCGCATTCCTCAGGAAGCCCACGCTCACGCACCCCGAGACCTCGGGGGGATTTTTCTTTCTTTCTTTCTTCTTCTTCTCTTTCTTCCCCCTTCATATTACTTCCAATCTCACTTGCTCTCGTTGCATCTTTCTTTTCTCACGATTCACGACATTGACGCGACGCCGCGCGCTTCGACTCGAAGTCGCGCCAAACCCACCTACTCACCTCCCAACACGTCCTCGAGTTCCTTGCAGAAGTCGCATTGACCCACATTCTGCGGTTCGAAATTCCGCAAGATTGCCAGCATGGCTCAACGTCAACTCTCGCGCACTCTGCCAAAGAACTTCACTTTCTCCCTAGGCGACAATGAACCCAGGACCCCCGAGCGCCCCAGTACCGCGATCGATGTGCCCCCACCTCCCCGTCACTCAATCTCTAGCTGCCGTCTGCCCAGAGTTAGGGCTCGCGCAGGTACTAATGTTTGCGCTCGTATGGACATGGACATGTTCCAGTTCCGCGGCTCAGATGTCCCGCTACCTTCAATCGAAGTGCCTCAGTCAACTACCGACTTCGAGACACGTTCATTCGGTGATTTTGCCAATGACGAGGGGTATCTTGCGCCTCCGCGTTCGCGACTAGATTTCAAAACACCGCCTGCCCAGATCCGTGGCACGCCTTTCGACTCTTGCGACACTGGAAACCCGTGGCCATCGTGGGACCAGACACCTGGCCCGAACAATATCAAGCGCCCAGACTCGGCATGCTCGAATCTATCTGACTCTTCAATTGAATCAATTGAAACATTCTCGTCGCGACCATCCGTAGGAAGCTGCACCAGCGTTGAAAGCGACTTGTTCGACTCTTACTTCCCCTTGGAGGTTGCGAAAGAACCTGAGATTGAGTCGCCTTCGCGACCCCAGAAACAAGAATTTAATTTGAGAGTAATTGACAAGTCTTGGACTTACGAGATGGACAACCATTTGTGGAATACCTACCAAATTTACCTTCAGGACCCTACTATGACCCCATTCAAGATGACTCCAGGCAGCATTCCACCCCTGGGAGTTACCTCACGTGTCGCGCGACGCGCGAAGAAGACATGGGAAAAGAAGAGTAGTCGCATTGTTCAATCTGTGTCGATGACGTCTGTTGATCCTGCTGGAATCTCTACCCCTAAGGCCATGGACGAAGGGTCGCAGCGACCTTGGCCTAAGTCCGACTCGAAGACTCGACGGCGCCTGAAGAAGCTTTGTCGACGCAAGTTTTCTATTTCCCCTCACTACCAGCGCATCATGCAATCTCGTACCCCCGAGCCTGTTGCGCAAATGTTCGGGCCTCCCGCGGATACCCGGGTGCAGGACTTCGCCGATAATTCAGCCTACACAACTCGCGACCTCGGCGTTTCTCTTGTTACCTCCTATGATCCCACTCCAATTTCTGAAGTTACACAAGATCTGCCATCTTTGAGCACAGATTGGTTCAACCACCCTGTGCCTGTTACCGCCGACCCACCAGTGACCAAGACTCCCATTCAGCATCTCCGGGTTGAATCTGCTCCCAGTATCCCTCGCCTGGGGTCTCCATTTGTCTACAACACCTGGGGTCCTGGTGAGTCAAACCGGCAAGTCCAGGGTGTCGGTGCTCGACGTGAGACCGTTCATGTTCCCGGCCATCGTGCGCGACGCAACACATACTTGGACCAGACTTTGCAAGATACCAACGATGTATTCGCAAGTATATCAAAGGAGAACAATCTCCCATCCGACCAAGATGTCGAGCGACGTTTAGAGGACTATGTTCGTGACAACAAGTTCCAAGACATGGGCCATGGCCGGGTTCGCGTCCGTAACCGTGGAGCTACCACTAGCGCTGTCAATCCCAGAGATATGGACCAACTTTTCTCGCCGCCTTCTTCTCTTAACTCAGGTCCAATCGAACCTGAAGAGACCACGCCCGACATGAAACCGCCCATGAACCACTTGTTGGATCTCGGCGAAAATATCAAACGCCTAGGCTCACCCTTCCGAATTGAAGGAGGATTCAAACGTCGCGAAGCTCCAAACCGAACAAGTCGACGTGCACCTGCACTGTCGGATCCCTTCTCGAATGGCGGTCCTTCATACATGAGACCTGATACCAACGCGTCTCCCATGCAAGTTTCACCAACGCAAGTACACGAGAAAGCCCCGGGCTCTTTACCATACAATGCCTTCGAGGATGGCATTTCTGATGCCGAACGCATCCGCCGGCAAATCTTGAACATGCCTCTTACTCGCAACTAAGTTGCCTCCTTTTGCTGCCCTATCTCCAAGTATCCGCTTCATCATGGCGTCAATTCCTGCCGATCTTATCCCCTTTGCATAATGACCTGAACGAGATACCGACGGGGCCCTGGTGCGGCCCCTGCATTTTCAACATTTTATGACAGCAATAACATTATCCACGACCGTAATGATACGTTTGAGACATTCTTCACGCTTGATCACCTTCGAAATTGCAATACCGATCCCCAACGACAAAAAAAACTTTCTACAAAATGTGATGGGTCTTTTCGCTGTTCCCGTGATTGTCGAAACCTGCGAACAATACATCGACGTCTAACTGTTGATTAACCACCCACGAACATCCATGGCCTCGTTTGACTTGTAATAGCAATCGCCTTCAACAATGTGTGCGTGGCTCTGTTTCGAAATCACCAATTTCTATTGGACATAACTCACCCGGTGAGACCGACATCGACCTCGACATCGTTTCATCATCCATTCATTTACAACCACATTTCCTTTTCTTCAACGGGGCTTTCAACTCCATCCCAAAAAAAGCAATCCAAACCCACAAAAAAATGCTTAAAATCAAAATCGAAAACCGACTCTTGCTGCTAGCAACCTCTCGCTCTCTTTTGCGACCCACGCTCTTTACCTACTCTTCTCCTTATGTTCTTTTCCCCGACCTTGACTAGTCGTGCTCTGCCTCGTTTATGCAGAAGACACTTTCGCCAACCGCATCCCTACAGATGTGGCATGCACGACTCGATAATGGCAGCCTTTCGAATTACCCTTCACAAATGAAAACGACTTCCCCATGCACCCCCTCAAAAAGCGAATGTGCAACGATACATATGCAACTACATAGACGAACTGAAACGAAACGAACGCGCATGATATTGCAACCAATGACATCCCTGATATGCAAGCGAGGTGTTTGGTTTTCTTTTGCCAGCGATTCCATTTTCTTCTTAATTCGCATCTCATGATCTCAATCTTGAACTTGATATCCTGGGTTTCTCTCTCAGTTCTCGATTCATGATCAACAATTTATCTCATGCTTTCAATTCACGATCTGATTCTGCTCGCGCTCCATGATTCCCCCTGTGGCGAGATTTATTGGGCTTGCATCCGGATAATCGCGTGTTTTTTTCTGATCTTTTTCTTCGCCTCTTCTGCGTTTTTTTCTTCTCAAAGACGCATGGATGCCTGTCTTTTTTCTTTCAGAGCTTGTTCTTTACTGGATTGTTGTGATCTTCCTCTGGAGCTTGGGAGAGTTTGGCCGTTTCATCTTTATTTCTCTTGCTTTGTTTTCTCCTGCGAGGCTTGATCCCGTAAAGGAATGACTTTGTTTTGATCGAATCGATCCAATTGATTATTTTTATCTTTCCATTTTCCTCGATTCCGGGGTAGCTTACGCTAGTACACCTGTATGCAAGGCCCTCGAATAGGGCTATCTGCTTGCACCCTGCAACATATAGTTCGTAAAACAGCCATAAATTATCCATAGATGAACGTTCGCTCATGCCATCTGTGCACGCGTAGTTCCTCTTACGCCTTATATCGAGTGTTACTTGCATACGATGACCCTCAATTGGGGCATTTTAGACACCCTGGATAGCTTAACACAAGAAAGAACCTCTAGGTCTCCAATGAACGGATGGCCTTGATACTACAGCTACGGCACAGTTACTCGGTGGCCGCAACGGGATGATCAAATGGGTCGATATCAGATATCATCTGGAAAACAGAACATATGAACATAATGGCAGAGAGCCAACAAAGGCCTCAACAGAATATCAACCAACAAGTAACATGAGAAGAAGATGGGGGTATAAGCTATAGAAAGACATTTGTAACGAGACAATTCAACACAACAAGACACAAACAAAAACATCACCTCTCCAATTTCTTCTTCCGCTCCGCAAGGAGAGCCTCAATCTTCCGAATTTGAAGAGCAAGACCCTTCTTCTCAGCATTGACGAGCAACCACTCCTCCATTTCCTCGCGGACATGACGCATAGAATGCAGGACAGGTAGAATAGGCTCGGTCGCATCCACACCATTTTCGCGCTCGATGCGCTGCCAGCGCTCGGCACCAGGGTTCAACAGGAGGTCAAAGACGTCAGCCCAGAGTTCACGGTCCCAGTATCGCTTCAGTGACTCGCGGATTCGATAGGTACGGGATGATGTGTTTTCGTCGTTGCCATCAATCGCGGTGGACTCGACGTATTTGCCGAATAGTAGGACGTGGATGACGCCGGCAATACCGTATAGATCGATCTGGTGGGTCCAGGGACGCATCTCACGGATCTCATTGCATTCGTGCGTGCCGGTCTCCCAGTCGGCGATAAATTGCACACTTGGCGAGAAAGCTTGCATGTCGATACTACGGCCGAAGTCGATCAAGGCCAGGCCTTTTTGTTGCCAGCCGTGGAATCCGCTTGGCGAGTAATGAATACTTTCGCGGGGATCCAGCGCGGTTTCATCGGTGTCGAGATCAAGAAGAGAGAAGGCCTTGGAGGGCGGTTCGTGTGGATTATAGTCATCCAGCCGGACCAGGCAGTTGTCAGCTTTGATGTCGCCGTGGAGGATTCCGTTGGCATGGAGTGCCTCGACGGTGCGGAATAGTTCGACAGAGAAGAACATTGCTAGAACCTCCTCGAGACCGCCTTCAGAAGTATGATTAGAGTTGATGCTTTCATTGCGGACGATGTTGACAAGATCAAGCAGGGTGCCTTGTCCTCGATAATCCTCAACCAGGAAACTTTCACGTTTATGTACGTGTAGTTCGTGTGCACGAATGATGCTGTCGGTGACACGAGAATGATCTGGAGAGTGTCGCAAGCGGCTGTATGTTGTGCGCATCATGTAAAACTCCCATGCGCTTGATGGTCCATTTTCGACCTTGAGTGCTTCGAAGGGGAATCGGGGAGTTTCATACGCGTTCGGCTTTCTCGATTCGGAGGTTCTGTCCTGAGGGCTTACGCTATTGTCGGAATCGGAGTCGTAAGATTCAAGACTGTCTACACTCTCGGCAAGATAGACTGGTGCATATGCACCGGCTCCAAGCTCACGCCGAATGATGTAGCTTCGTTCTGCTCCTGGGAATTCGAGGATAGGTGCGTCGAATGCCTCGTCCACGGCAGTCTTAGATCGCCTGGTATTGGTTTTCACGAATTTCTGAATCATGGAAGCATAATTGCTATCTTCAACATGACCATGATAACCTGTGTACATCGCAAGAGGCATTTCAAGCGAGTTTAGGATCGTGTTACGAATACCCTTGTCAGTCGGATTGCACTGCGCATCTCTGATTATGGCTTCCCGTCTCCTTGGCTTAGGCGCGAGTGCCTTGAAGGCCATGGGACTGAATGGCACATCAGCGGTGGATGACACGGTGCGATCTCCTTGGTATGGTGTCTCTGTTCCCAATGGACTGTACAGCGAAAGATCATTGGCCGGCGATCTGGGCTTCGAAGGCGTTTTTGCGTTATAGATGCTGTTTCGAGCAGCTGTCAAAGAAGGAATGGAACATTCGGTTCGCTCCACGATAGGCGTCATGAAAGGCAAGCGGTTCTGGGCCATGATTGCAGGGTCGCGATAGGTCCCCCATGGGGGAGCGTAGTCATCAGGCATCTCTGGTACAAATCCTTTCCTCTCCGGTGTCCCTTGCGTTGAACTATCTGCCGCTCCTTGACTGACGACGGAGTGCGAAGTAGTTTCAGCGTTCTCGATATCAGGGATATCGCGATCAGCGTTGAACTCTGTCCAATCACTTCCATCGCCATCAATACTCTCGGCCCGTGTCGTGTTGGCATAATCAGTATCATCGTAGGATTTGTGGAACGTTTGAGTCTCCTCATCCCCGAAATCGCTCGAGGCTGCTGAGATGCGTCCTGTACCTGTACTATCTCCTGTACTCGCGCAATCCTCATCTTCGTAGTCACTTCCGCAGAAGCTATCGGCATCTGCTTCAGTCTCTGCCTTCAAGGGTTGATTGAAAATACTATAGATTTCATCCGTTGCCGCACGAGTGTGCATTGTCATTGTCGGTTCTCGAGTACTCTTTCGTCGGACTTTCTTATTATTGGATGGAGAGTCGAACTTCATTTTGACTGCATAGGGCATGAGTTCGGCCTGCCCAGAGAAATGAATGGAATTCATACTCACCAGTTTGCGTTTGTGTTGTTTCCCCCTTGACCTTGGTACGACTCGTTTTGCTAGATTTGTATGCATGGCCTTCATCTTGATGTTGAGATTGAGCATGATGAGCTGTGGTGAGATTTTGGCCAAGATGCTCCGGTAACTCATGTGATGCAGTGTACTCTCCTGCCCTTGACTCGCTGTTGTCTGCATTTCTAGAAATCTGTTTCAAGGCATCTGTTTGTCTCTGCCAATTCTTGCTCATCCAGCCACGTTTCATTGCTCTAAGCTCTTCAAAACTCATCTCATATGCAGGATTCGCGCGATCCGGGTATACAGATTCTAGGTCGACAAATACACGCTCTCGTCGGCCAGTCCGCGGATTGACCGCTTCCCTTACGTGATGTTCGGGTACTTCTTTGAGTGGTATTGGGGGGTTGGATGGAAGATCTGGATTGGACTGCATACATTATAGAAAAACCATAGGTTCATGGCAGCAATTAGTCCTGTGATCGTAAATATGTGGAGGTCTGAAGAAGGCAAGGGCAACCAGGAATGGGAACTCACCTCATCCCTGAAAATGGCCAGTTTTTGTGTTGGCGCTGCCTTTTTTCCGGCCTTCAGAGTCTCGCCTGCCCATGGCTTCGCCTCCACTTCGTTCTCCTTCTTGCGATCCCGGATTGATCCAATGCTTTCCCATCCCCTTGTCGGTCCACCCGTAGCAGGGGCCGGCGCAGCCGAGTCAGCATCTGAGAAAATAGCCATTTTGGGCTTTCCAGACTTAGTTTTAGCGGCACCGGCGGCCTGAGGCGAGGAGCGTGAAGCTTGTGGGTTAGCAGAGGCATCTGACGGTGCGAACGGATTCGTCTTGGCGGCCAGCGCAGGACGGACGGTTGGCAAAGCGGGAGAGGAGGGCCCGGTGTCTTGTGGTCGTTCATCGTATCGGTATTGGAATTCGCTGTATTTCCGCGCCAGCCTCTCGACCGGCCGTGCTTCACGGTCCATGCCGAGCCTGTATACCTCATCGGCTTGTGACCACCGTCCAGCACCTTCTAGCCACCCGGCAAATTCTTCATAGAAAAGGGCCAAGCTCTCGCCAATTTGATGACGAGCAAGAAACGCGAATGTTTCGCGTGGGGCATCGGAGAAGAGTCGAACATAGTGAAGCCACAAGCGAAGGTACCGAGGATCATTTCTGTAATGCGAAGATGAAAGGAATGATTTTGTTGCCCGTTCCAATAAAGGTAGCAGACCAGACTCCGGAGTCGCTTGCGCAGACGGGTACGCGTTCAGGGTCCATTTGACATAACGGTCGTAAACATCGAGTGGGTCATCCGATTCTGCTATCGACTGCAATTCGCTTTCGAATTCTTGACGTACGGCATCGTTGATGGTCCTGGTACCATTTGGTGAAGGCGAGGGGAATTTGTCACTGTTGCTGCCGGCTGAAAATATCCGGGCAAGTTCTCTGGCTGACCGTCCACCAGGGAGGGATTGGACGTTTTCCTTCTGTGCCTCGATGATGTCGAAATCGATAGGTTCGTCGGAAGCTGCCATGTTAGCGATGATGGCAGATAAAGAGAGATCACACAGATCCCGGATTCTGTCCAAGACCAAAAATCGAGAAGTGACTTTGGCGGGGCTGCAAGGGGATTTGTTGGTTATCGATAAACATCACATGACCGTTGCCCCGGGGACAGTCACGTGGTCTTTCTTCCCTGGGTTGCTTCCATAGACCCCTCCTGACAACGTCAGAGCAGAGGATATTGCAAGGAATCATCTTCAGATGCTCAATTGTCCTTGTGAGAACAATATCTATCTCAAATTCCAGTCATTCAGAGCCTTGAGAGTCTGTAGGGTGCAATATTGATTCTCCGAGGCTTGGTAATATCAACTTTGGACCTCCGATTAGAGTACCCACTCGATTCAAGAGATCCTGCAATCTAACATACCCAGTGCTATGTGTTGCCAAGAGCCTGGATCGCCAACGTGCGAAGACTCCAAATCCAACGTCAATCACAAACGAAGTCTCAGCAATGGAACACCTAACCTCTCGCCACCCAGACGATCGAAACGACAAAAATCCACTACGAATCTGAAAGAGCTTTCTTCATCAGAGGCCGAAGAATCAGAGGCCGAAGAAGCAAATCCTGTATCAGAGAAACAGATCGACGATAAACTTCTGCCAGTCGAGACTGCCAAGGAGAAAAAAAAGAGGGTTCCAATCAAGAAAGAGTCCAACGAAGATACTAAACCCAAGAAGGCACGAAAGTCTAAGAAAGACGAAGCACACGACGCCATGCCATTAGCACCACGGTCTACAGGCCTGCGTATGTTTGTCGGCGCCCACGTCAGTGCTGCAAAGGGTCAGTGTTCTTGGCATCTTATTGATGCAGTTCATTAATAACCCAACCCTTGTCTCAGGTGTTTTCAACTCCATACATAACAGTGAGAACATCGGGTGAGTTCAAAATAGTGCCACCGAGATCTAAATGGGAATCTGGTTTTAATCTTGCAATCAGAGGAAATGCAATTGCCTTGTTTTTGAAGTCACAGCGCAAGTGGGACAACCCAGCTCTTCAGGATGACCACCGCGATCAGTTCCGTGAACTGTGCGCAGAGAAGGGTTATGATGCAGCCAAGTGAGAACCTACCATCTCGTTCAACTTGAATATATCACTGATATCCATCATCCAGACATGTTCTCCCTCACGGCTCATACCTTGTCAATTTGGCCCAAAGTGACAAAGCCAAAGCCAAGCAAGCCTACACATCTTTCTTGGATGATCTTCGTCGATGTGAGGCCCTCGGAATTACACTTTACAACTTCCAGTAAGTCCACCGCTAACCGATATCTCATTTCCCACTAAGACCCCAAAGCCCAGGAAGTACCAACCAGACACCTCTGCCAGAAGCACTTGCCCGTTTAGCAGAGATGCTCACTCAAGCCATTACGGAGACTAAGACTGTGGTTCCCGTTCTGGAAACAATGTGCGGCCATGGTAACACGATCGGCGGTTCACTGTCAGAATTCCGCGATTTGCTAGCCCTGATCCCAAAGGAGCACCACTCCCGCATCGGCATTTGCATCGACACATGCCACAGTTTCGCAGCGGGCTACGATTTGGCTTCCCCAGCCGGATTCAAAGCTTTCCTTGCCGAGTTCGATGAGCTAATCGGAATTCAATTCCTCCGAGCTCTGCACCTCAACGACTCCAAGGCACCGCGTGGCAGCAAACGCGACCTGCATGCCAATATCGGCACAGGGTTTCTCGGTCTCCGCGCATTCCACAATGTCATGAATGAGGCGCGATTTGAAGGGCTGCCTATGGTTCTTGAGACGCCTATTGATCGTGTGCCCGGGCAGGATGCAGACAATGGGAACGAAGCAGCCGAGGGCAGTGAGAGCGAGTCCGGGAAGAAGAAAAAGCCAAAGAAGGGACCCAAGAGACCTGCTGGTGCAGGCGCAGCTGCCGTTGCCGATCCGGGTGTATGGGCGCGCGAGATTAAACTACTCGAGTCACTCATTGGAATGGACCCCGAAGGCGAGGAGTTCCGCGCTCTTGAAGGTCAGCTTTCGGAGGAGGGTCGTGCGGAGCGCGAGAAGCATCAGGATCAGTATGAGCGTAAGCTTGAGGCAGAGGAGAAAAAAAAGCCAAAGGACCGAGTAAATCCAAGGGACAGAAGAGTCTTGTGGATATGATGAAGGGTGCAACGAAGGAGTAGTCATGAATCTTTTTTACACTCAAGAAGCCTCTAGGAATGTGATGTATCATCAGTTGCGTTCTTCAATATGATACAGTATCTGCCTAATAGCAGTATGTACAAGTATATCTCTTATTGTGACTACATAACCAGTTCAGATACAAGAAGAATGCATCACAAACCCTAGAACAAGGAAGAGAAAGAGGCTCAGCGAAGGTTAGGGGCTTGTGGGGCAGCCCCACTGTTCACCTACAGGTGGCTACCTGGTACCTAGGTACCTACATAGGTAGATACCCAAGTCGAATAGAAAGAAACCTTCAAATAGAGAAAAGAGAGAGCTAGAAGTAACGCCCGTCAATATGGCTTTAAGGATTCATGGCCCATAATTGCTATTTTCACATTCCACATCTTTCAAGGCACCAATATAATGGGTCCTTGAATTTCTGCTTGAGCAAAAGCTTGGTTGACGCGATAGTCCCGAGAAACTCCGGGGGAAAATGAAACTTAAGAGAAAGACGGACAGTTGAAGAAACACAATCATTTATGCCCATGAAAAAAAGAGGAAATTCGATTGATGGTATCAGTTAAGCCAAAAGCCAAAAGCCAAACAGTCCCCTTCATGTAAATAGACATGAGAAATCGAAATCGAAATCTGGCCAATCCAGAGTTCGACTGATTCATATCTGTAAATAGACATGTGAGCTCAAGAGTCACACTGATTTCTTTTCGGGCAGGTCACAGACCCGCCAAGATCAGAGGTACAGGCAACGTACAAGGCCACCACATAAATGTGAAAACAGATAGATCAAAATAAGAGAGGGGAGGCGACGAATGAATGTGGAATGCTAGTGCTATGTGAAATTGTGGTTCTGAATGGGCGAGATAGAGGAGCTCGATTGCAGAGCGGGCGAGGCCTCACGATCAGACGGGTTGAGGTGAGAGAACTCCGCCTCGGCCATTGTGGTGATAGTGGGAGGTGCTGATTTTAAAGGAGAGGGAATGCCATCATCTTCTGGGATAGGGGAGGTGGAGATTGAGAGACCGCGCCTAGTACCACTAGCGCGTACTCGAAATGAGCGTTGTGAGCCACCAGATGATGACGATGACACCTGAAGATGGTGATCATCGTTGACGTGACTTCCCGATGCGGGGCTGATGATGCTGGGGTCTTGATGGGCAACTCGGCGATAATCTCCTGGCTCCCCACTGCTATGCTCACCATCCTCGGTGTCAGATGCAGGACTCGACTCCCGACTTGATGATTCATCTTCTTGTACTTCACTGCGCATCCCTGAGATTTTTATGTAGTTGTACGTCGCAATACTGCTGATGGTGACGACCAACCCGGTCACGTTGACCGCTGTGAGCTTATCGTGGAAAATGATGCCTGCTGCACTGATTGTCACTACTTCCTTGAAGATACCACATATGCTAAGTGTGACGACCGAGGAACGTTTCAGAAGTGCAAATTCCGAGGAAATCATGCAGAACGCCAGTATTCCAGGGAAGATCAGAAGAAAGAGGCCAAATAGGTCTCCATGTTTGCTGGCAAGTGCGAGATATCCTTGGTAGATCTCATTAGGACCCTCAATAGATAGCGCAATGATAATGAGAGTAATGAACATGATAGGCGTAAGGAGGAAGAGGGTTGAGAAAGGGTTTGAAGTAGCAGGATGGCGAAGCAAGAGAATTTGTGTTAGCGCCCACCGGAAGCCCGAAAAAAACGCAGATGCAATGACGAGGGAAAAACCAAGCGCGTTGAAAGCTGTCTCGCCAGCAACCATCATCACAACTCCCACCGTCATTGTGGCGATGATGAGGATTAATTTAAACGAAGGCGTTTCGAGGCGGAAAAGGAAAGCAAATAATAAGACGAAGGCAAGTGCAGAAGACTTGCACATGGTCAAGAAAGTCAAGGAGATGAACTTCAAGGACATATTTCCGAGGCCAACGTCTAGGGAAGTTGCTGTGCCACACGGAACAAGGCGAGTGAAGTAGAATAATTTGGATATGAGAGGTTGTGGTCTTTCGAGGCCTTCGATGGAGGCGGATGTCACAGACCCTGTCGATTGTTGCGGGCGAAGGGATGGGAATATCCAAAGTATTATGGATGAAAGAGTGAACTGAACAGCCATGTGTAAGCTCGTCGTGAAAAGAGGGAAAGGGAAGACGACATCGCTCTCGGAGAACATCCATTTGTTGTACTACAGGCACACAATAAACGTTAGTTTTGTTTCAACTCGGAAAGAAATGGACGAAAGTCACTCACAATTGAGATGGACAGTGAGAAGAGGTACCACAATAAGATCAGCCCGCCGTTGATCAACAACTTCTTGACAATGTTGCGGTCTGACAGAATCTCGCGAATGTTACCCTGGCCCTTGCCATCTGCGATCCGACGATCCAACTTGCGGCGTTGCTTTCGCCGTCGACGTCGCTGGCGTTTTTGATGTGTCGTGAGTCCGGTCTCCTCGTCATATTGGTCATCATCTGAACTCATCGGGTCCAGAGCCATACTCTCTACAGCGGACGAATGATCGGACGCATCGGTGTCATCTGCAGCGGTCAAAGGCTCTTGTTCTTCGCATTTGTGAGTCCCTGTATCTCCATGCGACCAGTGCGTTTCGTCTCTACGCTCGGTCGAGACCGATTGTGAGGCTCGCCCTGTCCCGGTAAGCATGGAGCTTCGGCGACGATGGTGGGCGCCAGCGGAGAGCCCCATCGTAACAACTGGGGCAGTTACGAGGTCGAAAAGAAAAGAATGAAACCAAAAGGTGCCCCCATGAAGAGGGAAAAAAGGTTGTCACACGACAGTGCAGGACCAAACCCCTCGAGCTGAGTTCGCAGGGGAGGCGATGCTGACAAAGAAATGGGGGGTGACTCCAACAGAAAAGAAAACAAAAGGGTGAGAAAGCGTGGGGGAAAAGAAAAAGAATGTGTAAATCAAAGGAATGAGGGAAACCAAAGAGAAACAAGAGGACAAGAGAGAGAAAGGGGGAAAAAAGAAAAGCTTGTATGTTGTATACAAGAGAAATCAAACCGCTGAATTGGTGATGTGAGGGTTTCCCTTTTTTTCATCTCCCTCTCTGTCCTTAGCAACCACCTCTCTAATTGGTCCTTCGTCTTCCGCTCCACTGTCCGGTCGATCCGGGGTCAAGGGGGTCAAAATAGATGAATTCTCGGGGTCTAAAAAGAAGGGTCTGAAAAAAAAAAGGGTGATTGGTTTCGACTGTCATTGGCGGATTGAAATCTCCGGATGTCCCAGCTATGTGAGAAGCCATAGCCCTAGGTTATTTCCAATTTCGTTGAGATTGGCTCAGTGTCGCGAGAACAAGCCAACTTCGTGACAGGGCCCCTTCTCTCGGGAGGAACTAGGAAAGACATAGTCTCACAGCAAGAGGCTCTTCTAGGACGGCGATTTACCCCTTGATCGAGGTCATCAAGCTCATTCTCCCAAGAAGCCCTAACCCCCCACCTGGCATAGCCATGACCTCAGATCTAAGCATTATCATCATCATGTCGTGCTTTCTTCCATCAGTTCCGGTGATAATATATGTCGGAGGATGCGGATGATAGATGTCAACGATGAGAGTTGGAAACCTCCTCGCTCTCAATTGCTCCTTTCTTCTCTTCCACCTTTCTTGGGTTGATGCTGCTAGACAACGATTAGTTCGCTTCGAAAAACTTCGGCGGTATCCTGCTCTTGCATTAAAATCTTCAATTCGCTTGCGTTGTCATCATGGGTGAGCCTACGTACAATGCCATCGAGGACTATGGTTTGATCGGGGACATGCACACCTGTGCCCTGATCAGCAAGGCCGGTAGTTTGGACTACATGTGCTGGCCAGTCTTTGACTCTCCTACTGTCTTCTGCCGTCTGCTTGACGACAAAAAAGGAGGATTCTTCTCTGTGAAGCCTTACAAGACGGTGGTCGATGCCCACAGCAAGCAGCGATATCTTCCATACTCGAATCTGCTCGAAACCCGGTGGACTAACGAGGATGGTGTCGTGACAATGCTGGACTACTTTCCAGTCACTCCCAAAAAGGGTGCGCAGTCGGCCCGGTTGTTGTCGGGATACTGTCCTTGTAATGAGCCCGGAACCAATCGCTTCAAGTCGGGACTGCAGCACTCAGGCCTGATCAGAAAGCTGGAGTGTGGTCGTGGCTCGATGGAATTGCAAGTGGAGCTGTTCCCGGCTTTTAATTATGCGCAAGACTCGCACAATGCTCGTGCAAAGCTGGAAAACGACATGTCCCAGCACCGGCTCCAGACGATCCATTTCGAGAGTGAGTCGGAGCGGCTGCAGGTCGAGATCTTTGCCGATTCACGGGAACCAGATAAGCTTGGTTTCCCCTCGGCGAAGTTGAAACTGGAGGAACGAGAAGGTCTGCGAGGCCGCGGGTTAGTGGCCTGGATCCGCCTGTCAGAGGGCCAGACCATTCATCTGGTGTTGCACAGCCCCGAGAAGGCTGTCCCCAGTTCGGCCACAATGGCAGCTTACCTTCTCAAGATGGAGGAAGAAACCTCTGACTACTGGACTAATTGGACACGGAAGTGTGCCTTCCGTGGTCATTATCGAGAGACAGTCGAGCGCAGTCTGCTCATTTTGAAGCTGTTAACCTATAAACCCACCGGTGCCATTGTCGCGGCACCCACCTTCTCACTCCCTGAAAATGTGGGCGGATCTAGGAACTGGGATTACCGGTATTCCTGGGTTCGTGACACTGCCTTCACGCTCTATGTTTTCCTTAAAATGGGCTACAGCCAAGAAGCGGAAGCGTATGTCAACTTCATCTTCGAGCGAGTCTTCCCACATGCCGCCCAAGACTTTGACCCCAACAGCAATAGACCCTTCTTGCCGCTGATGTTCACTATTCGAGGCGAGTATGACATCCCTGAGGTGGAATTGGATCATCTCGATGGGTACAAGGGCAGCAAGCCTGTTCGCATCGGCAATGCCGCCGTGTTCCACACGCAGCTGGACATCTACGGTGAACTGTTGGACAGCATCTACCTGTACAACAAACACGGGAATCCCATCACCTATGACCAATGGAACTCCATCCGGCGTATGATTAACTATGTCGTGGGCGTTCGTAACCAGAAGGATATGTCCATTTGGGAATCGCGTGGCCAAATTCAAAACTTTCTTTATTCAAAGATCATGATGTGGGTGGCTCTTGATCGAGGAATTCGCCTCGCGGAGAAGCGTGCTAGCTTGCCATGCCCAGATCGCTTTGATTGGATCAGGGTTCGTGACGAGATGTACGACGAGATCATGACCAAGGGGTACAATGAAGAGCGTGGCCACTTCTGTCAGAGTTACGAGAGTCGCGACGTTCTGGATGCGTCTATTCTGATTGCTCCCTTGGTGTTCTTTGTTGCGCCCAATGATCCACGATTCATCAGCACCCTGAAGCGGATTCTCCAAAGCCCCGAGAAGGAGGGTCTGTCTAGCGCCAAGATGGTGTTCCGCTACGACCATCTCAAAGCCAACGATGGTGAGTGTCCTCCTGGATTGCTTTAACTTTGTGTCATGTCAAAATTCCAAGACATATGCTGATACTCATGTTGTACAGGTGTGGGAGGAGGCGAAGGTGCCTTCATCATGGTAACCTTCTGGCTTGTCGAAGCCATGGCTCGTGTAAGTGTTATGAACTACCAAACACCACATTGAGATATGCTAATTCCTCCTGCAACTGAAAATTTAGGCTGCCAACTATGATGTGCCTATTCCGAATATTTGGAAGCTTGCGCTTTCGCACTTTGACAATATTCTGTCCTATGCGAATCACCTGGGCATGTTCTCTGAAGAAGTGGCCATTTCTGGCGAACAAATGGGCAACAGTCCCCAAGCATTCAGTCATCTGGCCTGTGTCAGTGCTGCAATTAATCTAGAGAAACTTGGACGAGGATGAGCAGAATGGCCTCTTCGGAGTCGGTATAATCTGAGGGGTACTAAGATGGCCCAGCTATAGACTGACTAAAATACTCGTCGTTCCCAAAATTGTTTGGTGTAATTTGATGGTTTTGAATTCCTGTTGAAAACTAAAATACAGCTTGTTTTGTTCTATTACTTCCGAGTGATTGACTGGTTCACTTCAAGAGAAAGATTATCAGTTTTAATTTTTAAGAGCCCAATGTAGTATTTTCCTGTAGGAGCAACACTGGTGATGTATTTGGTACGCAGATACCTACATGCATACATAACACAGTCTACGGCATATTCTCTAAGCACCCCCATATAGCCTTTGACTTCCCGGCTGTTACTGTTATATACCTGCCCGCTGTCCGTTGCTGTCGCCGCGGGGACCGCGGGGGGAACCAAATGCTTATGTAATGATGATCACCGCCTCGAGTGGCTCCAGCTATACCCCAGATTCCTGTATCATTGTCCACTCCTCTCTCCTTTGTTCTTTTTTCTTTGTTGAAACCAAACTTGTCTGAACAAAGGAACTACAGGGGTCTGATTCAGCTTCAGCTTCTAGCTGGAGATGGTCATCGCCGCCCTATCGTGCTTCATTACCCACGCAATTTCACCCTAGGAATTGCCTTGTCTCATGGCGGGCGCCAGCTTGGATTGGGCTGGGAAGCCCAACGCCGATCTCGTGCTATCTTCGGATGAGGAGGACTTTGTTACTAGTCAAAGCACTGCTTCAAGAGAGTTTGAAGGTGCTACAAGGCCTAATCTTACACTGGCTTTGGGGAAGTTGCGATTGGAACAAGAGGACTTGGTTCAATCTTCCAAACAGGGCGCGACTCCAACAACACCCCGCACAGAAGGCCTGACTCAACTCTCCCGAGATCCCAAAATGCCTCATAAGTCTCTCCAGCTGCTGGATTTGCCTTTGGATGTTCTGAAAGAGATTATCAAAGAGGTAACACAAATCTACCCCGCAGATCATGAACTAATAGCTAACAAGCTTGGTGTCCAAAAGGTGACCCATACGACCGACCTGACCTCACTCGCTCTGACATGCTCTGCCCTTCACTCACTAGCCATTCCGCACATGTATTCCCGTTTTGATATCGTGTGGCCCGAATCGCTGAATCCATCAACGGATGATTACTCGGGGGTGGATGCTCTGTCTTATGGCTTGTCTACATTGGTCATGGGAGAAGATGTATTCAATAGACTACCCCTGTCCACATTCGCCCAAGATACAAAACCGTGTGTGAATTGTGGTTGCGATAATTCTCATCATCAGCTGGACTCAGATCCTGCGGACAACCGAGTCAGCGTCCGCTCGCGACGAGGCAATCATTATGCGCAGCATACCCGTACATTCTCCATCGGGAATGGCCCGCTAAGCTGGGTACAAGAGTACTCAGTGACCAAAGAAGTGGGTAAGATGTTAGGAACGCTGGTCGCCTTGGCGGTTGCACGGATGGTGAATCTGGAAGCCTTTGTTTGGGACATGCCAACTGGAGTGGTTCGCGAAATCTGGCTGGCGCTCGCCTCGTTAGCAGATCGGCCAGGGCACAATTGTCGCTTGGAACGTATTTGGGTGCGCTGGCATGATAATTCGGAGAATGCTTTACGCAGTTCATCGGGAGCAGCAACGAGACTTTTTCAGAAATACAAACATGTGGAGCATCCTTCATTGTCAGTGTTGCCTCCGCTCAAAAGTGTTGCTGTTCTTGACATAGATGAACCTGCGTATGTGGAAGAGCTGGCACTCCTCATTGAGCGGTCGCGCCGCCGTCTGACTGAACTTCGAATCGGCATTGCCCATAAAGCCCATATGAAGGCGTGGCTTCGATGTGGGAAGGACTCCGACGGCTCATCGAGTTGGCCTAGAGCTGATGGTGTTCTCGGAATTCTGACACAGCGAAATTCACACAAAAAGCAACACGATGCTACAATCAACTCTATTGGCGATAAATCATCGTCATCAGAGAGTTTAATTAACACCATCTCGAAATTGCCGACTCCCACCGAAAGCATGGATGCATCTACTTCTAGTGCTGAACAGCGTCCTAGCAATCCCAAGGACGATAAGTACCAAGCAAGTTCTGGTTTGCTCAACCGGAATGCCCGATCACCCTTGCCTTGCTTTAACTCTGCCAGCGAAGTGCTTCATTTAAAATTACTTGAGCTGGAACGTGTGCCGCTTTCTGTGCCGACACTTCTACCGGCTGTTGACTGGACTGGCTTGACTACTCTCACCATCATGCGATGCGAGGATCATGAAAAGCTTTGGAGGGCCCTCCGCCGGAAGTATACCCCTCCTGCGATGCCAACAAAACGCCCACAGGATGCAGCGAGTATCAACTCAGCTGAATATTCACTAAATTTGAAACATATCCGCACAGACAGTGTTTCGCCATATCTCATACTTTTTATCAAGGATGCGCTAGCTCCGAATACACTGGAGAGTGTCTATTTGCACGAAGCCCCAGGTCACGAATCAACGGTGCAGATTGAGGCTATCTACAAACATATCTTACGAAAACACCGACAGAGTCTGCGAAAGGTCCTGATTGACGCCACTGATCGTATTATTGGTCCTGGATTTTCTAGCACGCGATGGCACAAATGGATGTTCAATCACGATATGGTATCATTTGTCACGAGTGGAAAGATGCCGCGGTTGAAGGAGCTAGGAATGGCAATGCACTATCGCGATTGGGTAGGATATTCGTGTCTAACATTGAAAATCTGAACCAGAAAATGTGCTAATGATGTCGCCGCAGCATTTCTTCCTCCAAAGGTTGCCGAATATGTCTCAGCTGCACGCTTTGTATTTACCGCAAATCCACCATCCTGTTCATCACGACTTGAAAGAGCTTGCACTACAGGTTCTGGATATTGTCAGCATACGTCCAGATCTCAAAGTTGCCTATATTGGTCTCCACGTCAAGTGCTACCAGATTCTCGAGGCAAGATATGACGATAACCCACTTGAATTTGATGATTACCCTACGGTCGATCAATCTTCGACGCATAGCGACGATGAGGATGCAGAGTGGACCAATCCCAACCACGAATCTGATGAAGACAGCCAGGCTCCCGATGAAGAGGCTTCAGGGGCAGCTGACACAGACCTTCTTTCCAGTGATCCGGACGACTACGACACCGAGCCTGACGAAGATCAGGGTAGCTCACGAATCCGATACCGGTTGCAGGAAATTCTATTTTACGATGAAAAGGTATCTATTTTTAAGGCGCGCCATGGTGTTTTGTGATTTTTATCTTGGCTTGCATTTTCCACGCGCTGGTGTTGTCTGTACCATTTGCGGCGTTTGGGGGAACTTGAGACTCTTACACCTGCCTACAAGATACCATGGCTTTTCGATTGCTTGTTTTAGCACTTGTTATGCTGTCAATGACACATCCTTGAATTTTCAATTGAGTTTATGTCGGCATGGGTCTGATATCCTGTCCCTGTAATAAGCGATTGTGGTATGTCGGGTCTGTTTTGGGCTGTAATACCACGAATTCCCTCTCAATAGTACCTATGTACACTTCTTCCGGGAGGTGGAAGCAACCCACCTAGACCGGGCTCAACGCCGACCTTCCTGTCTGCGATGGTGGCAATTTGGACGCCATTGACAGGGAACGTGCGATAATCTTTCATCAAGATGTGGAATTTGATCAGGCTCGTTGAGGTAGGGTGCATAAGCGAGTAGATATAGAGTAGAAATTTGGGGATTAAGCTTACAGCAACGAAGCACACCTATTGGTCGATCGCCGCCAAGATGAAGTAACGGGTCCGATCAAGTATGAAGAGCGGGTACACTACCTAATCGAGAGTCGGTGGGTGACGAAAGAGCAAGAGAAGTGAACAGTAGACGGCTACAAAGTATCGTATTATTAGTGATTCTGTTGGCAGTCTATTTAGTGGTCTTTTTTTAGCTGTGTTCTTAAAGCCTTTTTGAGAAGTCATTGGTATAGATATCTTCTAAGCCCCCCCCCCCCACCTTCTCGAAATTTATATGGCAGGAATAGCTTCAATCAAGGACTATAATTTACAATGGAGTATTGACCAGAGCGGTCTAAAATCGGGCATATTCAGGCAGTTAATTCGGTTAATTCGATTTCAATCTAAATCGACCCCTGCGCGCCATGCACCTTCGCACACAGGTTCATACAGACTCCCTATATGCAATATTATACTGACCAACAATCAAGTCAGCCTCAAGGGCGTGCCTCCGAGCCATTTCTTCTTCGCTAGAGTTATCTTTGAACACATGTTCCATCTGCTCGATCATTGGTTTCTGGGACGAAGAAGTAGATCCACACTGCGGCAAGCGCGCAAAAAACGGCGGAAAAGGTGAGCGGGAAGTTTACCAAAATAAAATTGTTGAGCCAGTTAGAGCAGGTAGATAAAGCGACACCCTTGACACGGAGAAAATAAGGGAAGATCTCTAGGTCTATTAGATCGATTCAGAATCAATAGTGGGAAGGGCCAAGTACCAGACGGCATAGCCTAGAGGATTGGACCCTAGGAAGCTCTAAATGTAGGCACGTAGAATCAGAGGAACGCTACACTGGTCTACCCCTCTGCTTGATGAGATGGCCAGTCGATAGAAAGAATACCGACCAAAGCAGCAATAATGATGTGAGACAGGGCCATTAGAGCCACACTGACTAGAAGCAGCTTGCGAAGTCCGACAACGTGCATGCCCCAGATACTAGTGGTGACACCGACCAACCGCCCGACATTGAGAACGCCAGACATGACGAGTTGCATGCTCAAGTTGAGACCCATTGTCTTAAATATGGTAGGAGAGTAATAAACGAGAGCGTTGATACCGATAAAGTATAGGCGAATCAGCGAGAGTCGATCGCCCCAACATATATTTGACTCACTTGCTGAAAGTACCCCAACCCAATACCAATATGAGGGCGGCGAGGACAAAACTGGGAGTCATTTGGATAAGGAAAGGAAGTCGCCAGGCCCATTCGCCAGCCATGTATCGTGTGCCATAGGCAATCCAGAAGGCAATCACAATTCCGAGAACAATGCACCATTCTTCGAGGACCAAGAGAGTGCCCCGCTACTCGGGGGGAACTGCAGGAGAGAGGAGGTAATCATAATCTATATCGTATGTGCAGTCAAGAAAAGAAAGAAAGACAGAAAGAGAGAGAGAGAGAGATAGAAGACCAGCTGACATGCTAATTTCGGAGATGTACAATGGTGCCACCATCGACAACATGCTGATTCCAACACCCCCGATTAGCTGGGCCACCGTCAACATGGGATAACCATAAGCAGCAATCTGAAGTAGCCAAGCGTGAAGATTAGAACAGCCACTAGAATCGAATATCGGCGCGAGATCTTATCCGCTATCCAACCCTGGTTGAGAGCACCTATTAGAGCTCCTACATAGTTCAATCATCGCTGTCTATAACCCCTTCGCAAAGCCCGAGCCTGGATAGATCTCTTTCAATTCGCGGGAATCTGGCGAGAAACTGGTCCATGACCAGAATCACCGACACAACACTTTGATCATAACCAAAGAGCAAACCACCTAGAGTGGACAGGCAGCACAGAGGAGTACAAACGGGCTATTTATCAGACCACGCAGACCAGGTGGCCCATAGGGCTCTCGGTCTGAGGCGATATTAACGGCGTGATGAGAGAAGCCTTGCGCCGGATCGTGGGATAGATGTTTCGTAACGGGGATATTATTAGCCATTTGGAATGTAGACTGAGAGGTAAGTTGAGAATACCTAAAATGACGTAGTATTTAGCACTGAAAACCGACTTTTCTATAGATCTGCTTCGGAGCCTCTCCGCATATACACCTCCTCTATACCGGTGTAATTGCTCAACTCCAGTATGTGTAAGGATGTGTTCCCCAAATCGGGACCTACAGGAGAAGGGGATACTTCCAGGAAAGCCAATGAGGCACAGGCCGGTCGTCTCAGTCGGGGTAAATAATGAAGTGGATATGTAGTAGGGCTGGTGGAGCTGGGGTAAGCAAATAGAGAAGACCGGCGCGACTGGGATTGTGGGGGAAACCAGGAGCAAACAATCCTCACGGAAGATCGCAGACAGGCTCATTCTTGTAACAAGTGATCAAATCTGCCTTGCTTCAAGTCCCGAGATCCCCTAGATTTGCCCGAACAACATTCCCGTTGGCTGACTTCCGGGTTCACGCCGAACCTGTTTGGAAGTCCGGGGCAACGAGGAGCGTCTGAGCTCGGGGAATGATGATAATTCTGTGGTCGGAGTGTCAAACTCAATGGAGTCGATTTTCAGACACAGCGTGGACATGTCCTTATACCTTGACGATGGATAGAATCCCAATATAAAGTTCCTCTGTCCGTAGTTCCTCTCTTGGCCCGGCCTATATTAGCCTGTAATCCGTACAACAAAATGATCATTCCATTAATTCCATACTAATCCATACTAATCCAAGACCACACGATGAAGCAATCAGCAATAACTCAGTCTTGGAAGTTTGACAGTCATGATGGTCAGACATGATCACTAGAGACTCGGGCATCCGGAGAGCCCAGTGACAGTTGGAGTAAGGATAGGCCGATCTACCCCGTGATAGTGGCAGAGGCATGAACCTGCTGACTGAAATGATAAATCCTGGAATGCCTAGTAGATTAGTTCATAACCAGATCTTTCCGAGGTCAAAAAGAAATCTCATCAAATCGAAATTCATTGTCCTTTGTTCTAAGGAGACTAGTTTGGAGCCCAACGGTGAACTAGTGAGCGGAGTCAACATCGTTTTCCCGCGGATTTCAGTCCTCGACCCCGCGTCATCAACCCTCCACAGAAGACAACCTTCACTTTTACTGCATCATGGCTTCCTTTATGGAAGACTTGTGGTCGAGCATCTTCACTCCAGGCCCCACCCCAACCCTCTTGATCGCAACCAACGTCACCTTCGCCGCCCTCCAACTCATCTTCTTTGCCCTTCTCCTAGCCACCTACAGCCTCCACTTTGTCGCCCTGTCCGTGATCAGTGGTGGGCTATGGTATGCCATCAACTGGTTTGCCGCCGAGGTGCGACTTGCTCAACAAGCGCAGGAGGCGGAGAACGCAAAACAAGAATCCAAGGATGATAACGCGAAGACGCGTCGGAAGTCTCCCGTAGCAGACAGTGCCGACAGCGAAACAGAGACTGAAGCGCTTGTCGCCAGAAAGACTGACGACAAGCCTAGTGTTGTCGCGACCGGGAGTGCAACATCTGGATTACTGCCCACTGCACGGGACTCTAAGAAGCGGCTCAGTACTAGTGGTGACGGGTCTGGATATGGAAGCACTGATAGCGAGTGGGAGAAGGTTGATGATTCTCAGTCTTGAGAGACACCTCTAGCCCCGAATGATACACGCCCTGGAAGATTTGCTTTGAGAGATCGACACCTACACTCCCCGGCTTCAGCGGAATCGGTTGCACACTGAGCGTTATCCTGTCCGCGGACCTCTCAACGAACGCATCGGACGCGTCTATGGTCACACAGACTTTGTGTTTACCTTCTGTTTGCCTTAGCCGGCATCTGGACTGGCTTGGGAACTTGGATCTGTATATATGCAATGCCCTCTATTTATCTCGGAGCGATACCCCCCATACTATGTAGATGGTGCAGTTTACAGCAGCTCGCGCTTGATCTTGATTCTGTCAGGAACCTCTCATGTCCCTTTCCCTTGAATACATTCACTGAGCAACATCCAAAATAAACTACCAAATCTACCGAACTCGATAGAGTAAACAGAGAAACGAAGCTCCAAAAAAAAGGATACACGTGACCCGGTATCTCCAATCTAAACATCCAAGTCCATCGCAACATTACAGAGGCAACGATCGAACAACGACCAGAGCTGCATGCAAAAACAGCAACAGTACCAACAGCAAGCTGTACCTCATGATGTCCGATGTTCCCTGATCAACATGACTTCAACCGAACCCTTCACCACGGCACGCACACGCGTCTTCGGTTCCGTCTTCTCCCCCGCGTCTCTCGAAGCGTACCCGGCAAAGTCAATCTCGAATTTCCAAGATAATCAAATAACCGCATCGTTTCAATCAACTGACTCCTCGTCAACATTCAAAGCGGACTCGCAATCAACATCATTCGCGACGATTGGAGGGTCAACGGACGTTGCATCCCCGGAGGAAAATACAATAGACCAAGCGCGGCAGGCAGCGAAAGAATTTCTATCTGTGCCCGACCTGGGGTTTGATCTGCTTTATGAATTCCGGAATACCGATGGAAGTGAGGTGTTGAAGCAGTGGAATCGGCTCAGCCCTCCGTCGAAGGAGACGGCGGAGGCGCTGGAGCATCTCATGCGAACTTCCCCGTGGTCGTTATTTGACTGGTATGGGAACGATATTCGGAGGCACTTTCTCGTCAACCTCCGGGCTGGCCTATCCAAGGTATGCCCGCTGGGTACGATTTGAAACTAAGTGGAAATTCTGTGCTAACGGCCTTATAGTTGTTAAAGTCGCCGGAGAGAGAAAGTCTGCTCAGGATAATCGTGGACTGCTTACAGCTTGCGCGTCGGATTTATCTCGCTCCTGTTGTACACTACCTGCTTCCACTGATATCCACGCCACATCAAGGGGGATTTTTGGCCCAATTACAGCGTGCGTTTCATACAATGGTCTCATACAGTCTACCATGGCAGGAAATTTCACCACTTCTTGCTAGAGAAATGACGCAAGACGCTGTGGTTATTTTAGGCATTGATACTCTGGACGAAGATTCCGATGTGGATAGCATGAGTATCGATGGAATGGACATGGAACGGGCATACTCTGTCTCATACAGAGACTGGAGAATGGAATCAACCGAAGCTCAGGCACACATGATGGTTGAGGGTGAAGATAGCCGTGTGACCATTGCACGCGACCGTCTTCTGGCGTTTCTCAATGGCCTGCAGCTTGTTGGACTTGGCGGTGACAAGGCCCAGAAGGTGTTCGCTAACGTGATGAATGTTATGATGGGGGACTTCATCCGTGCTGCGTATGCCGGCCAGTGGGAGCCGTATTCAACAGCGCCCCAGCACTTGGATCAATGGGTTGAGAATGTCTATGCTCGGCTTGTAGTGCAGGTTCTGGCTATCATCCATTCTGACCCCGCTGGATCTCAGTCTGGGGCAATGGAAGTGACCCTTCCCGATGTGGAAAAATGGCAAGCAATGGGTATTGCTCGCCTCGGCAAACTTCGAGTCAGCGAGCTCTTCGATGTGGTTGTTGATTGGCCCGCAAGCAGCGGAGCGGTGGAGGATCTGCGACGTTTCGCAAATTCGCCCGGAGCGCGGTTTTATGTCGCGCATGAATTTTCTATTAGCTTACTCCAGCGCTTATTGCATCCAGGTGCTTCTACAGTCGAGATCTTGCAAGTCTATATCTCAATCATTCGGGCGTTTCATATCCTGGACCCCAAGGGCGTTCTCCTGGATCGGATCGCTAGACCGATCCGACGTTACTTGAGAGACCGCGATGACACCGTCAAGGTGATAGTCAGTGGTCTCTTGGCTGACCCTGCGACAATCGACGGACCGATGGCTACTGGCGACAACTTGGCGGAGCTGGCGGCGGAGCTGACCAAGGTTCATCACCACTCTATGCAGAATAACAAGAGCGAACTGGACTATGACGATATGTACTGGGTGCCCGATCCAGTTGATGCCGCTCCCGACTACAAGAAGTCGAAGAGCGTAGATGTCATCGACAGTCTGGTCAGTCTGTTCGACTCGAAGGAGACATTTGTGAAGGAAATGCAGACTCTTCTCGCCGAGCGGCTCATTCAAAAGCGGCAAGATTATGATCAAGAAATTACAGTACTTGAACTCCTCAAAGTCCGCTTCGGTGATTCGGCACTACAGGCATGCGAGGTGATGCTGAAAGATATCTCGGACTCGCGACGCCTCGACGTCACGGTGCGTCATGATCAGGGCTTGTCTGGCCATCGTAAGCAAACGGGAGACGCTGGCAAACTACATGCCAAGATTCTATCACGCTTCTTCTGGCCAGAGTTCCAAGAACAAGAATTCAAGGTCCCCGATGAGATCGTCAAGCTTCAAGAGCAATACGCGACTATTTTCGAGAAGCGCAAGGACTCGCGCAAGCTCAAGTGGCGCAACGCTCTGGGCCAGGTCACTGTCGAACTGGAACTCGAGAACCATACCTTCAAGGACGAGGTGACAACCTGGCAAGCGACTGTAATCTATGCCTTCCAATCCGATTCGGGTGAACCCGCCACGAAAACAATCCCGCAACTTGCCGACGAGCTCGAGATGACACTTCCCCTCGTACGCAGTGCCTGTCTCTTCTGGGTCAGCAAGCGTATTCTCACTGAGGTGCAACGCGACACCTTCCGCGTGCTGGAAGTTCTCCCCACCGAGAACGAGGAACATCATGCCCACGCAGGCGACTTGACCGATGCCTCAGACAGCGAAGCAGGCGATACGGCCAACGCAGCCGCCGCGGCCGAAGCCGCCGCCGCAGCGGCAGCGAAGGAATCTGCCGAGGCGGCTGCCATGGAGAAAATGAATGTGCATTGGCAGTTCATCGTGGGCATGCTTACGAACCAGGGGCCTATGGCTCTAGCCCGCATCGTCATGATGCTGAAGATAGCGGTTCCTGGTGGATTCCCGTTCAGCAATGAGGAGTTGCGGGAGTTCCTGAGTGGCATGGTTTCGAAGGGCAGGTTGGAGATTGTGAACGGAGGTAATTACAAGATCGTGCATTAGCATCACAGCGGTCTGTTTAGTTCACGCATTTTTGTTTTGGCGTTCCCGGGGGGGCGGATGTACAAAATACCCTTGAGCAATATGAATTATGACTTTCCTTATACCACTTACTGTCTTTCTACTTGGATGGCCATTCTTTAGATATTTACGCCACATTGACTATTTCCAAGAAGAACTGATGGAGGAAGGGGAAATGAAGAACGTAATAAGAGGTATCATTTTAAATCTATAAGTTTCATCATTTAACCCATGACCGAGCTTATTCGGCATCCAGAAGAGCAACGGGAGCTTGATCATCGACCTGAATACCACCTCGCTTCTTCTCATTGCTATCCCAGAAGGGCAACTTCCAGCCACCCTCCTCCTCGGGCGTTGCGAGCCAAAGGCGCATCAGATGGCGACGGGGAGCGGGGGGCGCGTGGTCCCTGTAGGCAGTGCGGGCATGCAGGATGTGTGCATTGGACAGGAACTGGATATCACCGATATCCAGGATCATGTGGAGGGACAGACGCATGCAGGTATCTTCTAGGACCTGCAGGGCCTCCTGCTGTGCATCGGACAAGGCGGGGATGATACCTGCGTCGCTGAAACGGCTCAGAGAACGAACGTAGTATGGGTCCCACCTGTTCATTGTTAGTTACGGGCTCTGTAATGGGATCATGTGTTCGGGAGATTGCTCACTTGGTGTACACGCGGCCATTCTCGCCACGCTCGAGGTAGATGACGCTGGTGCGGATGTATTCTTCCTGGTTCTTGCTGGTCTCGCCCTTGCGGTCGAAGTACCAGATTGGCTCGGTGAGAGTCTTGAGGACATCAGGACGTTCAGCGGCGAGGGTGTTGTAGACGTGGTGGGAAGAGACGATGTCTGATTCGCCGCCTTCGAGGGCCTTGGCGATGCAGAGGAGGCCGACGATGTCGGAGTCGTCGGCGTGGAAGTATTGGCTGCGGATGTTTGATTAGCTGACGATGTCCTATATACTTTGCTAGTGCTATCACATACCGAGCGTTCGTGCGGTAGATGCGCACTTTGTCGATCTGGGTAGAATCCTCGCCGAGATCCTTGACGTGACCGAGGACATGACCGCGGCTGTTCTGGCTGACGAAGTAGCCCAAGTATGTGCCGAGACCCATGTATGCGATGGCGGACTTGTGGTTGCCCCATTTCTCGACGGGGAAGCCCTTGAAGAGGATGAAGCCCTTGCCGTCAATGAGATCTGCGCGCAGGTCGTGCAAGTAGGCGGCCAGCTTGGGAAGCTCGAAGTTGCTCTATAGAAAGCATTAATATTGTTTTCTTGGTCTATTTGGGACTATTTCGTCACTCGCCTTTGAGATTCCGGTCAGCGGGGTCTTGGATGCGAGGAAAGCATCCGATGCTGCGCTCAGCTCATCGATCTGGTCCTGAGTGAAAGTGTGTGTCCATTTTTCGGGAGTTTCGCGATAGTCCTCGGCCTTCCAGACAGTCGGGCCAGTGACCTGCTTAGGGAACTTGTCGAAGGGGAGGATGTGGTCGTAAAGCGGGGCATGTTGGCCGGTGGTCTTCAGGCCATCGGGGAAGATCTCCCGTGAGATGGGCCCGGTGAGGTTGTGCGGGGCAGTTGGGAGAGAGGAGGTAGCAGCGGGGGCCATGATGAGATGTGTAGATGTGTAGATGTGTAGATGGTTCAACTGCAGGGATGGGTTTATTTATACTCCAGGTTCTGAGGTATGAAGCAAGAGTATCATGAGCAATACCGGGGAGTGTATGGCGTGATAAACTCGAGGATCACATCTGCCGAAAGAAGAAGTAGAGGAAGTGAGAAAGTCCGCGTCGCTGATTGGGGGGCGATGGCTGAGATGGCGCAATTTGCGGGGTGCGATGTTGTGATGGCAGGCGCCGATCGCGACTTTGCCGGCTTTTGTTTCTGTGATTTCCGTGATTTCTGAAAGAGCATCGACAATATCCCTAGGGAGGACGGAGGAGAACAGAAGAGAACAGAATCAATGAAGAGACGCATGTGCAGTCTAAATGCACTTGGTAGGGCTCGAGAGCAGTATCAATGATATCTGTACTATCTACATAGACATAGATGTCGGGGATCTACAACATCCGCTAACAGAACGTTAGATCGATGGCAGAACATATAACTCAGTCTCGGCCGACAGAACATCCATTCGACCTAAATACTGTGAATAATAGAACCCAATTCGTCTCATATCGGACGAGAGGGACCTCCCATGGTCATCGGGTCTTATTGGGTCTTGAGGTCCCCAAATGGCCTTCTCAGGACATCCAACATATATAGAGGACCCATTCCTGCGATCAGTTTGCATGCGACCTCAGAATACTTTGCATAGACCTCAACTCTCTCATTGAACGAGAACCTTGAGCCTTGAGATCCTGGGGGTTAAATTTTCAACATATGAATTCTCTTTCGATCCCCTTTCCCTTCTCTGTTAACCGATGTTCCAAATCAGATCACCATGACTCGCAGGATGCATCGACAGACTGATCTATTAGATCGCCTCCCTGGTACGGAGTAGTTCTGTCAGATCTGCAGACAGGGATTGGCTTTCCTCTTTGGGACTCCACTTGGATTGCTTACCTCCTGATCGGGTATGGCCATGCGAACCTGACAAGCTTTGCCCCGGGGGATATTTGTAACAAAAGATCATCTCTCGTTTAATACACTGCAATTCATTCAAAAAGAAATCCAAGATGTCCCAACGCAAGATCCATGTGGCCGTGTTGGATGCCGACATCCCCTGCCTTGCTGTATATAAAGCGCGGGGTCTATACAGCTCGCAATTCCGGGTCCTGCTCCAAACAGCGGCCCAACGCCTCAACAAACTCCCGGAAACCCTTCAGAATGGACCCCTGGCCGTCCATGTAACGGCCTTTGATGCCGTAGGCGGGTCGCTGCCTCCTCTGGAGACTCTACGCACCAGCCCTCAGTCCCCCGAGCCTCATGCCGGTGGACCACTGGGTCCGATAGACGCGATCTTAATCACCGGCTCAGCATTCTCAGCTTACGAGAACCTCCCATGGATTCACGCGATGCAATGCTACATTCAAACGGTGCATACCCACTACCCCAGCGTGAAGCTCTTTGGCTCCTGTTTCGGGCACCAGGTCATCGCCCAAGCGCTCCTCGGCGCCAAAGCAAACCCAACCAACCATTCAACATTCCATGTCGCACACTCGCCTGCCGGCTATGAAATGGGCATCCAGCCCATCACTCTGCAGCCGTCATTTACAGCGCGCTTCCCCCCTCTTGCGCGCGCAGCACAGAACCCATTCCGCATCCAGCTGATCCACAGGGACGAAGTTGTCCTCACCCCTGCAGCCAAAGCCAAAGCGGCGGCAGGGACGGAGGTGTCGCTGCCAGCGCCGTGGTCCAACATCGGGAGCAGTGCGCAATGTGCTATCCAAGGTCTCTATAACCCGGGACGGGTACTGACGTACCAAGGTCATTTTGAATTCGACACTTTTGCCAACAGTGAGCTTGCGCGAGAATTCGGACGCCGGGGGAATTGGCCGGCGTCTACGTTGGCAAGATATCTGGAGCTGATTAATCGTTCCTGGGTTCCTGGTCAGGAGGATGACGATGATGCCAAGGCTGCGGCGGAAGTAGTTCTGTTATTCTTTGCTGGGGAAGATGTGAAGGATTTAGGCCGGGGTGTTGGCAATGGCATGATTCCGCCTCCGTTGGATTGATGGGGTTGTTCTACGGTCGGGGTTAGAGAGCAAAGATGGGGGGGTCCATTTTGGTTTTCTTTTCTTATTGGGCTCTTCGTCTATTAAGCTGATTCCTTTTGATCTGCACGTTTGGGCGGGCTGAATCCCTTGAAAGGCAAAATAGACTGCGCAAGGGTTTGCATCGCACGAACGAGCGATGGGGAAGCACAACTCACGAACCTTGTGATCCCTCAGCCACCCCTCGGTAGTGGCGACAAACTCGGTTGCCTTGATGATGTCGGACCCTGCATGGCTGAGACGCAGCTGGTATGCTGGTCTGCAGGAGGATCGGGACAGGAAATGGAATTACGGGTTGTGGTGATTTGACCGAAGCATGGGATGTAATAGGTACATGGAGGTACCCAGTACTTCGCAGATTTGAAGCCTTTCTCATCGTACCAGTACTCCGTATACCTGGACCAATCCGAAACAGATGGTCAACGAGGCTTCTTAGCTTCGCCAGAATGAAAGTCTCGACTCGCAAGCTCCCCACCTTGTCCTACCGAGTGGAGCGGGACACACCTGACATTTCAAGTCATAGGGTCCATCTGATAACGGGACTGTACGGAGTAGTATACATTTCTCACCTACGAGTCATCGTATTCTGCAATATTTGCGAATTGGATCTCGAATTACTCCGTGCTCCGTCCTGATCTGGATGCTGTAAGTATACCAGCAGACTTTTCCAGTTCCCCCTGCACGCTCACCCAGAACCGGGATGGCGTGGGGAGTGCACCAATCAGAAGAGAGGCAATTGGTGACTCGGTGGAGATTGGGGGCCAATCAGGCTGCTTTGGGATGCTCTTCCTCTTGGGTTATACAGTGTATTGGAGGTATGGCGGTATTCACGGAGCAGGTCGGAAACCATTCGAGGTACCTAAAGTACTGCGATAGCTAATGCTACTCCGTACATATCTTAATTATAAGACATCAGGGATCAAGTATACCTTGTAGATGGCCATGAGATATAATGTCCCCTTCCCATTGTTTAGTCCTTGTCAGTCCTAGTCAGTCCTAGTCAGTTTTTGTCGGTATTGGATCTTTCTGCAGACCCAATGCTCGAGAGAGCTCCTAGCTACCTGACCTAGCTCCATGTACGGAGTCCTCCGTACATACTCTATAGCTAGCTCTGTACTGAGTACCTCTGGAGGATCCGGACTGTGTACTTGTATACTCTGGAGGTACAAAAGAGAAATTTCCAATACCAACGTCGCTTCCCCCCGTAAGATTACGGTAACGTGGCGCTAGTTCGCCACCCGGAGCTCCCCTCCCTTCTGGAATGAAGCTCGGGAGCTGGGGAGAGCTTCGGAGGGGCCGCTGATAGCGCCTATCGTGACCTTTTTGGTCCTGTCTATCTTGGACTAAAGCTGCAAATCATGGGGAACATTGCATATGTATCAAATATAGCTGATATTCTCATAGTAATATCATATGAAAAAAAAGGAAAATGAAAAAAGCATCGATGGGAATCGCTTAAGAGCTCGGTGTTCCACCGGGCTTTCCGAAAACCCGTTCGGCTGTATTCAAATACCTGTATCGTACAGCTTTTTTTTTCTTCCTTTTGCCAGTTCCCTTTCCCCTTTCTTTAATTTATTTTAACTCTCTTTAATAGTGTGGACTAAGTATGGGGGCTTATTTTTTTTTTTTTACAAGGGAAGCTTCAAATGCAAGCCCCTCTTTTTGGTTATCGATACTCGATAGGGACGATAGCCACGTATGCAAGAGTATGGAGAAAGGAGGTATTAAGCTGTGCCTGGCTACGGCACAGACAGTAGATAGAGTAAAAATCGTCTAAGATAGTAATTAGAAGAAGAAAAAAAAAAGCAAAACCCGAAGAACTACAACATACAGAAAAAAAAGAGAAAAAGAGAAAAAGAGTGAAAAAAAAGAGAGAAAATTTCGAAATCAGAAGTTTAGAGGCGAACTGCGTAATTACCCGTAATACCCCCCAGTGACTTCCACCCACAACTGTGGACGGAGGGCCCTCGAAGTACTCTGAATGTATGACCCTCTTTCTTTTTTTGCCCGTCTGATCTTCCTTTCTTCTCTCTTACCCCAGAGCATGTTGAACAGATCCTGGCTTTCAGTCTATTGTTCACATAAACCCTGTCTGTGCTCGGCTGACCTCTTTCCTCTCTCTTTCTGATCTTGAATCTCGACTCCTCCCGGGATCTCGGATGACCATATGCACCATGCCTCCCCGAAGCTCATTAACCAGCTCCTTCTCGGTGACCGATGTGAATAATGAGGTCGTCTGTCCCCTGAAGAATAACGATAGTTCCAATTGTCGCAAGCGATGCCTCGGTGTGAGTATTGGCTGACCCCACCTGGGATTTTGGCGAAGCTATACGCACAACTCGTGCAACTCCAACGTGTGAACTAATCTGGTTGGTGCTCTAGGAGAAACGCTATCGATCCATGCAGGAGCACATTCGACGTGCGCATCCGAACCATTACATCCCGAAGCTCCCGGCGACCGAGGAGAGCTTCCTGCTGATGGTGAACACCCCGCTCGAGCAACGAGTTCAACTCTCTCCTCCAGAACCCGCTCAACCTCGCCGACCTCATGGTAAGTCTTCGCTGTGATTCTTCTTTTTTCTGCCTTTTAATTTTCCGCGGTTGGTGGAATTTGTCTGGGTTACTGACGGCTCCCCACAGATGTGGCGCCGGAAAGAGACATCTATGTTGCTGATGCCAGCTCCCCGGCTACCCCTCGAGCTCTCGATGAACCCCACCCAGCGGCGGCCACGGCGGCAGTTGCGCTGGCACAATTGCACCATCACCGATTGGCGTCAGACTGGGATACAGACATGGTTTGTCGCTCCGGGCTGTTGTGGGCTTACCAGCCTGAGTCTCTCCACGGTGGCACTGACCCGCATTTCCCCAGGATACCCATTCTGATACCGACTTGAGTCATCCTCGTATGCGTGGGACTATTGAGCTTCCCCCACTCCGCGATCATTTCAAGCAGGAATCTCTCCCGCCCTTCTCTTCGCCTCGTCCTCGCGAGCTTCTTCCATCCATCTTAAATCACTCCCCGCCCGGTCGCTCATCCACATTACCACCAATTCAGCGAAGAGATAAATTTAGCCGCCCCCGCAAATCCTCAATCACTCAATCTGCCCGGAAACCTAAGCAGGATCGGCCCAAGTCCAAGGAATTCGGGCGGCGGCCAAGCCTCACTGACCGTAAAGCCCTATCGGCAGAGCCGCAAACCGCAGCTTGGGCGCAGGGCAAGCGCTGGGAAGATTTGATTGAAGCCGCGACGTCGGCCACCGAAGCAGATGATGAACGTTACTCGGAGGTGAGTCTGAATGCAATTTGGCGCATTTTTGGCGGTGCTAATGCGCCAATGCTGCAGGCTGGTCGGTCTCCAACAATTGCCCCACTCCTCTCCAACGTGACATCTGCTCCTTCTGGTGTGAAAAATCGGTCTTCGCTGCCACCCGCTTTCCAATCCACAGGACTGCCTCCTATCTCTTCACACCGGCCGTTCCCACAGCATTCCTATGCCGCCTCCCCTTTGCACAAAGCATTGACCCCGCCACCGTACGAGAATCACCGAAGCCGTGACAGCGACATGGAACCATTCCCATCCATTGAATCATCACTCGACTCCATGTCTTCAGCATCTGGTAGAAATTTTGCGTCCTCGGTTTCGGGAGTTGCGCCGTCCATCAACTCGGACTCCAGCCCAGTCATGAATCTTATCCCGCCCATCTCCCAGCGCCAACACCATCGGTTCTCCAACCCCACTCCGTCATCTTTCCGCAGTAAAGAAGTGCAGGTCTTTTGCGCCCATTGTAAACGACCTTCGGCACTCAATGAGTGCTATGCTTGTACGGAGTGCATCTGCGGAGTCTGCCGCGAATGTGTGAGCATGTTCATTTCAAGTCCGCCCTCTTCATTCAGGACCCCAGGAAATGGGCCATTAAATAATGCATCTTCACATGGACCGACAAGTTACCCAAGTCCGCGTGGGTGTCCACGATGTCGAACGGTGGGAGGACAATGGAAGGCCTTCCAAATCGACATCAAGTGAACGACTTCCATAAGACAGCCTGCATCTGGCCCACTTAACGCATTTTATGATTGATGTTCCATATATGTTCGTTTTTACATTGTTATTTATTCATGGGGGCTTGGATCGAGGGGTGTTTTTTTTTTTGGTTTTCCCATTTTCTTTTCGATGTGATATGGCAAGCTCCATCATCCATACGCCAGGAGTTGCTTCTCAGGGTTTTCATCAGGCCGGGTCTTTTCGGTGCAGGTCTCCGACAGCCAACATAAACCCGAGGAAGTTGGTCTTTTCTGTTTTCTGTTCTGTGTTTTTTCCCCCTCTCTTTTGAACATTCAAAGGTCTACATTTTCTTTTCGCATTTTGGGGTTCGTGTGGACATGTCTTTTGGTCATGAAGTATATGCTGTTTTGATGCCCTTTTAAATCTTTGTGATGTGAACTTGTACTGCAATGAATTCATTCCGCGCTGTTGATAGAAGCTGAGGCTGTGGGAATGGCTACCAGAGGCATGTCGTCTCACGCCATCTGACTCTTTGATTTATATAACTGCCAATCTACTCATCCCAGATAACACTGCTGAGCCCCTCCGCAGTCCCAACCTTCCCAGGCTCCCCAACCTGTAGAACAGCAATCTCGTCACCCAACTCGCCTGTTTCCCGATCCCGACGCACGATCGCAACCGTCGCAGAAGCCTGGTTCCCAATCGCAACCAAGTCGCCGGTCCGGTTAATCACAAATGTGCGCGGCACCTTGCCCAGCGCCGACCCAGAGTTCCGCACCTTAACCGATCCGTCCTTGGGCGATCGGTCAAGCACAACTATCGAATCATTCGGCTCGAAGCCCTGGTCGCTGCGAGTCGAAAGATAGAAATCATCTCCAACCCTACTGATCCCCGATGGGGTTCCGCCCTCCGGCATCACTCCCCCCGGGTATGGCACAAACGTTTGCTTCTTCTCAAAGGACAGACATCCTGATCGCGAGTATGAAACATCATATACCATCACCGTGCCACCGATCTCATTGACAAGGTACAGCATTGTCTCGCCGACAGCCGTCATCTTGCGCGAGAGCATCGAGCCAATCCCTCCAGCCGACCGATCTGTTCCGTCCGTCCAGAACAAACCGTGTCGCGGCCCACTGCCGAAGGTCACATTCAAGCTCGGACACTCTGACAACTTGCCCGACGGTCCGTCGTCGATCGAGTACACGCGCAGCAAATCCGCGCCCAAATCCGGGCTGACGATGAACGAACCCGTAGGGTCCAGGAAAACCTGATGCGGGTGCGGCGAGTCCTGTTGCTCGACTTTGCCTGGTCGGGTCAAGTTGAAATGGAATTCCTGTAGGGCGGGTTGGTTCGCTTTGATTGGCAAGGCGAAGGTTGAGATTGCCGAACCTCCACTGTTGGCCGTTAATACAAATAGATCCTCGTGACTGAATCGGGCAAGGGCAACATACTAATGCGCAATGGCCAGGAACTTCTTCCCCCAGTCCGATTGGTAAATCACACTGTTGACGCCTCCACCGACGGCATTTGTCGCTGCAATCTCGTGCAACTTGCCGTTCAGCGCGGCATGCAGGACCGTGACGGAGCCATGCGTGGATGGATCGGCTGTGCCTGTCTCGTCGATGCAGTAGACTGTGCGCGTCTTTGGATCGAAGGTTAGCCAGCTTGGCATGTCACCGCAGGTATCGAGAGTCTGCGTGATGGAGAGGTCATTCTTGTTTAGCGTTAGGGTGTAGACGGTGCCGTTGTAGTGCGTGGCCCAAAGATGGGCAGGTGCTGCAGCTGCAGCTGTTAAGACTGAAAGCAAGGGAAGGAAGTGCATCTTGTTGGTAATTAGTCGGACTGGGGACTATTCGATTTCCATATATAATAAAAAAGCGGGATTTTATGAAGTGGGATTGTATAGTAGTATGGAGGAAGGGGAAAAAACACCAACAGATCAACAGTCGGACTGCAGCGTCGCAGGGTTTCCTTGTTATGGGATGTTTTGGAATGGATCGACGTGTTGAAGTGGAGTTGGGGGCGAGGGGCTGGAGAAAGGGGTTCTGTTTTTAGTTCTGCATCTGCACCTGTTTTAAGGCTGTGTAGAGAGCCAGTCTGCCTTGACAGAGAATTCGACCGGGGATTTGATCTTGTCGATTCTCTCTTGGGTTCCCCAGAATCACCGCAGTTAGGGCTATCCTCAGGGTCTGGGGTTAGTCCTGGGGTATTCTCCGCATTATCCCCGGACGAGCAAAGGTACGATCTCAAGCCTCAATTTAGTCACTTCACTGTAAGTCCTCTGTACGGAGTATCAGATGCGTATGCTGTACTTCGTATTTACCCCCCTCAGCCCAATATACAAAGGGTTTCATCGTGGCTTGGCTGTGTTTCATTCCCCGTATTGCGTGGGGGTTTCATTGGATGTTCCAGGACAGATTGATTTGAAAGCTTGACATTATGGAGATCTATTCTATTCTAATAATTGTATATACATAGGGTGGTGGTGTAGAGCCCTCCCCCCTCATAATAAGCCCCCCACTTCTACCTGAATTCTCAGGGTTTGCCATATGACTCCCTAATCTCACCTATTCCGCTATCGCTAACGGGTACGCGTATAGGGATGGTAAAGCGGAAAATAGGGTAACGATTATATAGTAGAAGTTTCTGTTGAGAACCATGCCTAAGGCAGGATTCTCTCATCCGCAGGATTATCAACGCTACGCCCTTTTTGTCTTTTCTGCCGAAAAGCTCACCTTTAGGGGCCAAATTGAGGACTCCGATCCTCGGCACACAAAGGGGCATAAATAGCAGGAAAAGACAGATATTATCTAGATCTTTAGACAATTCAATACTTCCATAAGAGATCCTATTCCTAGTATCATTTGAACCTATTATTAAAACCCTATATACTATATCATACCTCTATATCTTCAATAGGTTATAAGCCCGGCTGTCTCTAATAGCCGGAATACCTAAATTACGTAGTATAGTCCATTTACTATATTTACTAGCAAATATTTACTTGCCCCTATACACCTTTTTATCTAATCTTTACCTAGACCTATATATATAGGTCCTCACCCTAGGATCTCTCTCTCCTTCTTATATATATCTTACCTCTCATTTCATACCTTATCTTTTATACCTATACCTCTCGATCTCTCGTAGATCTACCTATTTTTTTATTAATTTTATTATAACCCCTATTACCTAACGGTCCTAGCGAGATAGGGGGGTATCTAGTACACCTAGTATACCCTATACACCCTACGAACCCTCTAACTCCGACGCCGACCGACTAGACGAATTAGGGTCCGATAATAACTATAGTAACGTCTTAGGCGAGGATAGCGATAACGAAGGAGGAAATAATAGTCCTATAGCTCCCGCTAGTACTAGAAATATAGACCCCGGCTAGGGCCTATAATATCTAAACCCCGCGGATTAACTAGCTAGAGAACTCGAGTCGACCGAGTATCTCTATACCTAGTAGCCCTAAGGATTAACTAGGTAGCTCGTAGCGGGTAGACCCCCCGCTAAAGTCTCCGAGTCTATCGAGACTAATATATAAGTCCTATTAATATAGATTAATAACCTAAACCGATTTAATCGAGATAGCTCTATATTCTCGCTATGTAACCGCTACGCTACCCTAAAGAATAATACCCGAGAAGAGGAAGAAAACGCCCTTCGATACCTTAGTTTCACTAAGGACCTCGGGAAAATATTTAAAAGAAAAGAAGAATATAAAGGACTAAAACTTATAGGATTAAATAATTACCGTACCTAGGCCGCTAATATACGGTAAGTACTAAACTAAAACCTTCTCGAATAAGTTATCGACGGTAAGGTAGGATTATTACCTCCTTCGTATAAGAAGTACTATATACTAAATATATAGAAGGGAGTAGCCTAGCTTACTATCCTAAATACTATATACCTAGACTTAGCGAAAAATATTATACCGCCGAGCCCTCTAGAACCTAAGCGTATCTAGTAGGAATTATAAAATTAATATAATATAAAGGATACTTTTACCGCCGAATAAGGCGCTATTATAATAAAAGCACTATATATATCCTACGTCCGTAATATTAGAACCCTAATCGAGGTATTTAAGACTATATAGACTAATAAGACTATTATATGTCCCCCGATCGAGAGTCTACTAATTAAGCTATAAGAAATAGATAAACTCGAAAAATATATAGAACTTATAGCGTGCCTCAATAGCCTAGAATAGTACCCGTAGAAGCTTAACTACGATAAAATAGTTAGTAGATTAACTAACTAGCTAGACTAATACCTCTTCGATCGCCTATATAGTGAACTATAAAGAGAAGAAGATAACCTTACCGCCGGCAAAAAGGTAGCTATAAGGACCTTATCTATAGAAACTAGTAAACCTATAAAACCGCGAGGACCCTATATATAATAAGGACCCCTAGGATTAGTATATACCTTCTATAAAAAGAAAGGGTACCCCGCTAAGAAATACTAGCTAAAAAACCCTAATTTAGTACCTAAATAGACTATAGAAACCCTAATTATATAGGTCGAATATAGTTATAAGATATAAAACTTTTTAACTAGTATCTCGATTAATAACTAGATCTATAATATAGCCTACGATAAATATATAATTAGCTCGCTAGACTATTTTATACTAGGCACTATAAAACCACTAACTACTATAATTAAAATAGCCTTAATAAACTAGTTAGTCTAAGGTATAATCGGAGATATTAAGATTATAGTCGACGATAGGACTAGGTAAGAGAGAGATCTTATTCTTACTAGGACTATATATCTCCCTAAACTCCGTAATAACCTTATCTTATAGCCTAGGCTCGCTAACTATAGGATTATAGCGATATATAGAGACGAGGTTATTTTCCGAAAACTAGATAGTAGTATTCTTATAAAAGGACTACGAAAGGGTAAAAATTAGATATTAAACGTTCGCTACGTATACCGATATTAGACCCTAGACCTAGAAACGTTAGTTTTAACGATAGTATAGGAAGTAGGGGGCGTCGGATACCTAAAAACTTAGGCCGATACTCCTATTTCCGCCGAAAAAACTACCTATAGATACCTAATTTCTTAGGCTAATAATATAGAGGTTATCCTAAGAGACCCCTATCTCTAGCTAGGGGGCCTAAGTACGTAAAAATTAGAAAACGCCGTAAGTTCACCTAGCTAACTAGTAAAAGGCGCTATTCCGCTAAAAAAGGTAATATCTCTTCTACCGAAAAAGGGACCCTTTTCTTAGGTAGAAAAGGTAGAAATACTCGCTACCTATAGAGTAATAAAGATATAGAAGATAAACTTATCTAATAGCTTAAAATAATAGTCCTTAGAGACTACCTCGACTTCTCCTAGCGAGACTCCCCCTAATAAGCTACCTACTAAGCTTAAAAAGGATAGAGTTAATATCGATACCTAACACTATAGACTATACTATATAGGGATTAAACCCCTATAAGAAACGGCAAAAATTACGGAAGGTATTAATATTATAGGCCTACCTACCCCTAAAAGACCCTATAGTTATTACTAAATCGGAAAGGCCTAGCTCGTACCCTATAGAACCCTAGTTTTATATAGATCTAGTAAAATAAAAGATCTTATATACCTCGATCTAAGGGGCGGGGGTAAAATACCTAGAGATTAGGGAGGTAGCTACCGATACTAGATAATTAGTATCGACGACTTCGACAGATAAGAAGAAATATAGTTTACCTCCTATAAAGACTTCGTCCTAGACCTTATAATTAAAATAGTAAAACTATATTCCGCCGAAAAGGAGATAATAATTAAGATATTTATAACCCCCGATCTCCCCCCGCTACTAGTACTAGGAAGCAAAACACTACCGTCTAGTAGACTAGAGATCGGAGCCTTCTAATTAGATTATAGAGGAGAGTTTAATAACTTCCGCCTATAAAAATAGGCTAAGGACACTAATACCCGTCTATATTTCTTAGCACTATATATATATAGGTAAAATAGTAAAGTCAAAAGAATAATACGAATAGTGTAAGAATATATTAGAGCTATTCTCGACGATACTAGACTCCTAAATATACTATAGCCCGAACTAATAAAAATAATAATAATAACCTATAACCTTACTATCTATTTCGGTAAAAAAAGAGATAGTCTCCTAAACTAGATACTATATAAAATACGATTTAGTAGAAAACCTAATATCTTATTCTTATAGATACCCGGTAATAAGACTTATATTATAAGAAGCCCTAAAGAGATTAGGGCTATAGTTAGTATATTAATAAGTAGATATTTATAGCCCTACGCCTAGATAGGTAGACTTATCGGGTATAATAGCTACTATAGTATATAATACCGTATCTAGCGTCTAAATATAGATAGAAATAGAGAAAAGATTATAACTCGGAGAGATATTATTTTCGACGAAGGAGACGACTAGACCCTATATAATAATCCTAATCTCCTAGTCCTACTAGAAACCCTATGGTTAGTAAAATAGTCTAGATTCCTATTTCTAGACTTTAGGGACCTTATAGACCCTAAGAACCTTATAGACCCTAAGAACCCTATTATTAGGACCGGCGTGCTAGCGGGTCCTAGTAGGTAATATAGAACTAGAGTGAAGGAATAGCAGGGTGCTAGTATATTTATAAACTAATCGCTAAAGAGCTAAGTTCCCCTAGCAGTCTCTATATGGATGACCTTTAGCGGGTCACGGGACTAGGTCACCTAACCCGGTAGGACTTAGTCTTCCTAGTGCGGTCTCTAGCGGGGGGTCATACTACCCTTGCTAGGTCACGGGTTCTAGGTCATAGGACTAGGCGG